CCGACTGTGCATTGTGTTCGTGAAAAGCCAACAACGAAAGACAACGCCTATGGCAAGTCGACCACAGCCGCGGGCTGGAGGAAGCAACAAAAGTCATTCAACCCATAAATATTCGACGATTATGAGTCGTCGTCGTGTATAAGCCATCTCAATTTACAAAGGCAAGCTCCCGGCACCCGCTCGCCCGCACTTTCCCGTCGGGATCCGTGCATCGCGGGGGAAGTTGGGGAAATGCTGTCAACTGAACTGCAGGATGCGCATGTCACAAGCACACAGCTAAGACGCAAGTCTGCCGCACCTCGGAGTGTATCCGTTTCTATGGATTCCGTACGGAACGAATCGAACCCGACAGGATTGGACGCGCCACCGGGCGGAGACGGATGTTGTGTAATGCTGATGATGCGAAAAAGTCGACGATGCCACTGGATGAACGGAGGATGTCTCAGCCACCCGTCCAGCACACGCTGAAGCACTGCAGAATGTCTGCAGTCACTGCCCTGGGTAATAGAGCATAGTCTATCGAATTCGCTGTTATTCACCGTCGGCCATGATATCCGTCTGGGCTTGAAATGAACGATGAAGCACCGTATAGTCCCCGAAAGATTATTCCAAGATAGGCAGTCCGACAGGGAAATAAGAGGCAAGGCTACGAATAGCATCGGCGAATCTCTAGAGCCAAGACTATTCAGTCTGTAAGTGTAAGACCCAATACCTACCCCTGGATCAGCGGTCTGCACACAAGTGCGCTTGTCATAGTACGTAGCAGTGTAGCACGGTCGGTGCTTAATTTGGCTTGGGGGCACCCTTGACCAATGATTTGCAGGGTCCACGAGGGTCTTTGGAGAGTTATCCTGAGACAATGCAGCTTGTTGGTCAATCTTCTCTGTCTGCATACGCCTTCTCGAAATTCCACAGCACGCACAAAAGAAAGCCCAGCGGCTATACATAGCCCGGTATGCCTGTAGTGGAATAGGTGCAAGTGAATAAGCTGGGGCGCTGGGGCTTTGTGGATTAAAAGATCCGGGATATCTGGGCATAGAGAGCTTCTGACAGTCTGGGCCTTGATCAGAAGGCGTCGCGTGAACTCTAGACAAGGGGTATCAGGTATGATGATGCTGTTGCCTGCGCGAGAATGGAGTCAGCAATATTCGAGTGGAAAGCGACGTACCAAGCAGCAAATGAAGGAACAATAAATAAGTACGGAGAAGCGGGAACATGCCCTGTGCACAATAAGCTCCGTGTAATTATGTGCCAGTTTGAAGAACAAGATGTACATTAGCAAGTCGCTGATCGGTAATTCAGCCGGCCAATTCTGTATACGCGTCTCCGGAGTCGCTGGTCGGTAGAAGCAGAGCCGCGGCGTTACTGTTTCTGCCAAGCATTTAGTCAAGACACATCAAGAATCATTCACCAAGAATTCGTAAATCTAAGACAAATTTGTGGATGTACGCGAACATCAAGCGCGCCCTATCAAAAGAGTTGGAGTAGTTTGATGCAGGAGGATGTTGATAGGTGGAGCTGTAGTGCAGCAGTTCAAAGTGCAATCACTCAGCCTGATCTAATACGGTGCTTGCGTACAGTGTGGCACGGTGCATCGCAGCGGCACAGACAGAAGCCTTGCCTTGCATTGCATTTACATCCGTTGCACTTCCATTCATTATGGAGATTGTACGGGTAATAATGAGATGAACTAATTATTACCTGATATAGTTACCGTTTAGACGAAATCGTTACCTTATCGATCTATCCATCTTACCTGACAATTATCTATTGTATTAATATCAGAAACCTACCAACAAAAGCAAGCATTGCGGGTTCCCGAGCAGATACCGACACCTGTTACTACAGTGCAGTGCACTCATGCACGACTCAAACTGATGGATGGATCGTCCCGAAGATGCTCCGCCGATAAGGTAACGCATGTATGTACGTAAAACTTTTCTTTTTTCGTTTTGATGACCTTCCATCAATCTATCAAACTAGCCGAGTTTAATCGTACCCGTTTAAGCTTGAGTCCAGCCAATAGTTGTAAACCTTGTCGTATTGTACTGTACTTGGTTGCTTGCCTGACTGTCCTGCCGCGATCCTCACTGACGAATGTGAACAGCTTGCCCTACCCCCAGTCTAAGAAGCCCAGCCAACGGCCACTAGACGAGACGGACGGCCTGTGTGAGATACAGCAGATGTCAGGCAGTTTGTGTAGGCCTAGGACGGTACCGTCTTACCAGGTACAGGACAAGGCATGGAGTGCACACGAGTATACCTGCACGAGAGGTTCCCAAGACACAGCCGATACCCGGCTGCATAAGGCGCCATCTAGCCGTCAGATTTGGAGGCCGAGTTACAGCAGAAGTGGACTGAAGAGAAACACGGTAATGCTACCGTCGTGTTGAGGGTTATGACCGATCACTATCCTTACCCATTTGTTGGCTGGCTCCGTGATTCTGTTGCACCGGTCACGACTTGACTCGAGCAAGACGGTACAGTACAATAATAGAATACATACCTTGATATGAAAACATAATACCTGATCAAGGAGTTGTGGCTGATTCTGATCCCGAATGTTGGGACCAGGATACCAAGTCAAACCAGTCAGCGTCGCTGCATGGCCCCGAATTCTCCCATAAAGTTAAACATGGATATTCTGATCGTCCCTCCGTCCCGTTATGCCAGTCAACCTAATTTACCCGCAGTCGGTCACTAATGTTTTACGGTAGGCAATCCCGAAAGAAGCAACCCTTTCAGACCAAGATTATTATGTTGGACCTTTTCCAGTTGCCGATATCGAATTGATGCTGCTATTTTCTGCATTATTGAAGGAGGCAGGTACGATGGACTAGACTGTCAGTAAGTACCTGCCTTAGAGAGGACACATTTTTAGTCGGGCAGCTTCCTTCCACTTCCCGTACTAATCCATGCGTAAAATGGCAAGAATGGATTCTACGCGATGGCGATACGATGTTATGCGATGCGCTGCGATGCGTGCGGCTCCTCCTTCTCACTTTGTGCCCTCCGCGCTCCTCCACTGTAATCTGCCTCGCACCAATCTTCCCCATTCATCGTGATCCATCCACTGTGGACAAATCCCACAGGCCCACAATCCCCCCAAGCTCGCTCACTCGACCTAAATTATCCATAACTAACTAAACTGTCATGACAATCAATCAACCGGCCATGCGAGCGTATCAAGTTCCGTCTTTCTCTTCACACAGCCGAGTACTGTACTGTCGATCTGAAAGTAAATATACTGTACAATACACAAAGCTGCACCTCTCTAACCCCCAATCATACAGGAACTGATGCCCAGCCAACTCTGTATCACAACTGAACCCTTGAGAGCAACAGCAAGAAAGACGCTATCCCGTACTCGGTCTCAATCCCACTCTTCACTGACCATGCCACGGGCCATGGAGGGTGACGATGCCCTCTCAAGCTCGTCATGGTCGCTTCAGAACCCTTGTCCCCCATCCTAGCCCAGGCTTCCACCCCGGTGCCCCAGCCCGGTCACCTTGCTGCTTGCGCCATCGTCCCACACTGTACAGCCGAGTATCCTCGATCGCGTCCGTGTCCGCAACCTCCCTCCACGCCTGGCCCGGTCTTGCACTGTTGCTGAGTTATTGAGGACAAATCTACAAGGATACTGGACCATGGGGCCTGGGGTCCGTAGGCGCAGAATAGAACAAGCGAGCGGGCAGGCAGGCAGGCGGCGGCGGAATTAACCAGCGAGAAAGCAAGAATTCGATTCGACCATGGGCGGGAATCTATTCGGCACGACTTGAGGATCAAGGGATCATGACCGAGCAAGGGACCAAAGGGTCGAAGTGCTCTGCTGCCACTTACAAACATATCACATTGTGATGGGTGTTATGCTCTGCGCACCACGCCTCGGTGCTGCTGCTCCTGCTGATGTGCTGATGCCCTCCGTCATTGTCTCCTGCTGTATCGAGAGCCATAAGAGAAGCCCTCCTCCTTAGATCTTCTCTTTATCTTTCAATTCTACTTCTCTCTCCCGTCTTCTGAACATAGCACCCGTTCTGTTCTTCAGTGTGTTCCTCAGGGAGCGCGCTTCGTAGTGCGGTGTGCTCTCTCTTTCTTCCTCTTCACAGTTGGTGTCGGCCGCCGACGTCACCAAAGCTACAGTACCAGGTCCGACGAACAACACAACGCAAAACGAGAACGCTCCGACCATCCGGGCCGACATCTCCACCTACAACGTCTCCAGCAAGGCGGCTTGGCTTGGCCTTGGTTGTCGATGTCGTTGTCTTGTCTTAGCTGGCTCTGTAGCTGAAGGCGCCAAACCCGCTTGTGCACCAGAAGAAACCCCGGTCCTGCCGCCGACCTCGTCCGCCCATCCATTTCAGGTATTCCTGCGGCGCACTCCCTCTGGCCCTCCCTCCCCACACCCACCCAACCACATCTATCGCACACCCAGGGCCCAGGGTTACAGTAGCGAGCGATCCAACCCGGCCACAAGCTAGGTCTAGGTACCGTACAGTTCAAGAGGAGACCCCAAGACACCCCAAGGGAAAATTTACCCACCCACCGGTCGGTAGCATCTCCACTCCTGTTCCTCTTTCTCATCAATTGGCTTTGACAACTTGCCCTCGAAAACTTTTATTGTCCTCTACTCCCTCGTTCCTTGACTGGATTCATTTTCCAGCCTCTTCCAGCTCTGCTCAAGCTCCTCCGCGATATGTTCCTGTAGCTGTTCGCTTTACCAAAGCTCTTTCGGCCCATTTTCCCCAACTTCAAGTCCACTTGATTTAGCGTGGAAGTTCTTTTGCGGGACACTTACACACAAGCCTTTCGACATCGGTGCCGATAGAAACCCACCATATTCTCCCTCCACCTTGTCCGAACCAAGCATACTCGACTGGAAATTGACCACTTTGAAACCTACATATCAAGCTTTCACCAAAAATCAACTCTTGTCGCCATAGACCAATTCGCCTTCTAGCTCTCGAGTCGACTGCATCTTAGCCAGTCAACACCCCGCCAAAATGATAATTGATGGAGAAAAGTATGCTTGCGAGGCCTGCGTTCGCGGCCATCGCGTGAGCAATTGTCAACATTCTGGTTAGTCTATACTCCATTATCAACGTCTGAGTTCTTGCATAGTCGAACGTCTACTTACCATACACATTTCTTAGACCGTCCTCTTCAACATATCAACAAGAAGGGTCGACCAGTTTCTCAATGCGCCCACTGTCGCGCAATGCGCAAGTCTCGTTCTGCCCATGTCAAATGTGACTGCGGCGAGAAGACGAGCAAATGTGCCCATTTGCAGCCAACTGTCGAAGGGCACACTGGTGAGCTTCCTCTTACTTCGAGCTGTCACAGACCTCGAGGTGTTTGACAAAAGTCCCATTTCTAAACCTCTCACAGAGACATGCTGCTGCAACCATGGCGGCCACTGCAGTTGCTCGCACAAGACCGAGCCTGCTCTTGACACCGTCCCCGAGTCTGACTCGGAGCGCGAGTCCTTGACCATGAGCATTACTGGCCGTCCCAAGCCTCCTGGTCGACGACGACGAGCCAACACAGTTCACTCAGATGGTGTTTTGACCTTCGACCAGCATGGTAACCACAAGCCTGCCCACCGAAGTGCCCGAGCTTCGCAAAAGTGTGGCCCATACCAGCTCAACAGGGTGAACTCGGCTCATAGCACTACCAGTCTAGGCGCCGACAGCATGCTCCAAAAGAGCTCGCGGGAACCTCCTAGTAGTCGAGCACGCGCTGCTACCAACCGAGAACGTCGAGTCAAGTCGGAAACTACTTCGCCACTTATGACCGGTGCTAGCAGTTTCCAAAATCTGAACGCCAACCTTCCTCCTCTGGACCTGTCGAGCATCGAGTACCCTCCTTATATGGCCAATAGCACGACGTTCGATCTATTTGGTTCTGGTTTCAACTCTGAGACAGAAGCTCCTATGTACAGCGCCGGCCTCAGCGCTCATTCAGTCGACTGGAGCCATTACGACCTTGCCGAGATGAAGGGCGATACCTTCACGCCATCAAGCTACAGCCAGGCTGGCACTCAAAGCTTCAATGGTCTCTTTGACTTTGGCAGCGGCTCAGAGCACTTGCCCCACCTTGCCAATACTACATCGACTTCGGGAGAGGTTTCCGAGGTAGAGGACTTCCTTCCTGGAGGAGATGACGAGATCCATGGCCTAGATGGATTCAGCCGTGGTGACAGCTTCATCCGACAACCCGGCAATGTTATGGCTAACTCCGCCGACCTCACCACCATCGATTACGATAGCTTCTACAAGGGAGCCGATGCTGGCCCTATGGCTGGAGCCGGTCTTTCAATGGTTGAGGATGACCCTGCATTCTGGATGCCCAACTACAACGAAGGCATCGCGACAATGGACGAGAGTCCCGACCCTCTCGGCCCTGCTTCCATGCCCGGCTTTTGGGGTATGTGAAGATTGATTGAGGTTTCGAATATCCTGGCGTACATAATACCCATTCAGTTTTTTATTTTCAAGTCATTAGGTTGACGCACCGGTAGGCGTTGGAAAATACCATACGGGATGAGGCCATGAGAGATATGGCTTCTTCCTTTCTTTTATTTATTTTGCGCAAACAGCGGCAATATATACGTTTCATGTAGAGCGGACTTCCGCTCACCACCACTCGAAAAAGGACGCCGTTGTATGACGTCTGAATTTCCGATGGTGATGATGATGATGACAGGACGACATTTTCATCCAAAAGGTAGACGGTTTGGGAATCTTGATGAGCATGAATTTTCCTACTATCAACTGGGAGGAACAGGAGATATAGAACAGGCGCAGGTGGCTTTTATTTTTGAATTATACAAGACTACAGTGCAGGAGTGCACATGCATGTGTCGGCATTCAAGCAAAGAAGAGCAGTGCAAGTGGTTCGGTGAATTAGCTTCTTCTTGGAAGAGTTGTGACCAGGACAACATCGAGCTGGAAGCAAAATGTGCAGGAACATGACAACAAGCCAGGGCAAGGCGTCCCACTATCTTGCATGGTCTGTCAGTTGTACGTGGTTTTATCTGCAAGACAGTTTGCATATCAATCGATGGGAACGGGACGAAGGTTCAGCTTCTTTACTTGATTATCAGGCATCCATATTGTGTCTGTTGATTCAATCGTTGCACATCTTTCGTGCCTTCCACTGGCTCGATGTTCCTGCTTCTGACATCACACTGGGTACGAAAAAGAGTACTCGGCGAGGATCTGTTACAACGCAATAATAAACTTCATGATTGAGGACCAAGACCAGCCGAGTCAAGGTTCACGAGCCAACACCACCAAATAACTGTTCCTTCCATTCACGGGTGATCATGATCATGTTGACATGGACTTGAGAATAGCTGACACGACTTTGCTGTAAATCTTAGCGGTATCAGCTGTTATTCCTTCAAGGCAGCCGCACACGGATCTCATAGCAGTACGTCGTCGGACACCCGGAGATGAGATGGGTTGACTTGTCGAGGTATGGGTGTGATGAGGTTCTTGACAAGCACATATTGTTTGTGGTTCGATGCTCGGTGCCCATCCAACGAAAACGGCAATTACCTGAGCATGGATTCAGAAACATTCAGCGTTTCTATCATATTAACATTACACTATAGGTAGTGCCAAAGGCAGCGCTTGCTAATTTTCCCCGTCTTTTAGACCCCGTACTCACCCCAGTCGTCCCCCAGCCGGGGGATCCTTGGGGTCATGGAGAAAGAAGGTGCAACGCCAGATGGCATGATCGATTACAGTCATATACATAGATCCGACAAGTTCTCGTACTATTATTGTATTGATGGGAACTCCCACAAAGGGACATTGATCGTTGGTCTCGAAGAAAAGAGACAGGTCGTTTGAGCATCACAAAGGATGAGATGTCGTGAGCGGCCCCACCACGCCCAACGAAGATTCTTCAACGCCAATGCAGCCTATATTTGCTTTGTCAAGGCCCAGAGATGCATACAACCTTGCGTTTTGCTTCTGCGTTGTGCTGTGCATACAGTACAGTACGTCCAACGCTTGACGCTGGGCCGAGACCGGCATGGGAGTATCAGTTCAGTAATGCAGGGCCTGGCCTGGTCTATTTCTTGTCTAAAATGCAGTAGGGGGCGTACAGCAAGCATAGAAGGCTTCCATACGGCTTCTCAACACGGGCGGCCAGGTACGCACACGTACTGTAGGTGTCTTGCGTGCTGGAACGACACTGGATGACGACTGACTACGCAGCTAGCTTCAGGGATTTAAAATCGTCCAGCCATTCATTTGCACGGCTAAGCGGGGCCGTTCTATACTAATCGTATAGCGGAGGCCATCGTCTTTGACTACCCTCTGACCGACAGATACTGCCCTAATTACCAGTCTACTGACAGTAGGCTAGTCGAACTGAGAAGACTTTTATTTGATAAGGGCAAGTTACGTAAACTCGACGCCATTACTCGACGGGTCCTTAGCATCTCCTGGTCCTCGGAGACAGAAGAGAAAGCGTCGATCAGGTACAGCTTGAAATATGCACGATTTGACTTTTTTCCCACCCACTAGTTTCAGCAACGGCATGAGCTTTGATTGACTGAACTAGATTATGACAGCAAAGGGCAAAACTCTGTTTGGAACCGTCTCTGCATGCGAAATGAATTGTCGGTTACAGACCAGTTTGATAGGACAAGAGAATAACGACATCAGGGTTGTTTGATCCCAAATTAACATCTCCGTAACGTCTCAACAAAACTAGACGCCATCGTTCACAGTAGTCTACATGCTTGGCGCTATCATTCTTCGTCATCTCTCCATTTTCATCAACCCCAGTTCGATGAGTGTCATTTCGGGAATATACATACTCGTCAATGTCAGAAGAATTGGTTCCAAAGAGCCACAGAGACGAAACAATTTGGTCACTTTATGCCAGCTTAGGCCAGCACTTAGACAGCTTTACTTCGGAGCCCCAGAGACGAAATGATTTGGTTGTTTTATGCTACTTAAGACTAGCATACAGGTATTTTCGCACCTTCAACCTTACAGTACCCTATTATACACGGGAGTTGTCGTCTCCCGAGGTCGTCCCTTCATTATGACCTTTTACATCACCATCTGCCAAGGATATCCATCCCTAAGCCATTTCCAGATACCCCAAAGCCAATGACGGACCAAAAGCAATGTCATCGCCTCCCTCGTGGGCTGTGGCTAGGTCTGCCAAATGTTGAAGTCCTTGGCTTGCAGTCGATGCTTCCACAGATGAAGTAGGTCGCAGTTGCTCTGCGAGCTTCTCGCGGATAATGTCCCATATCGTAGCGGGTTTGTCCACGACGTCCTTGATCAGCTGTGTCGCTTCTTCTCGCGATCGATCCATCTTGATTAACTTTGCCAAAGACACATAAACAACCGACACAAAGTGATTGAGGAGCGGGCTACGCAGATAGTCGTTCGCGGAGAGAAGGTTGACGAGTTCCTTAGTAGCCCACAGTGTCTCTGATGATGTGGCTCCTGGCGTAAGCAGTATTATTACGAGCCTGCAGTGCCAGTATGCCATATGAACCATTGGATGCGATGCGGGCTCAATGTGCGCAGGCAAGTCTTCTCTGTAGTTCTCGATGTAATCCGCGAGGATTTTTGCTGTGTGTTCCTCAGTTGTTGATGCTCCCGGTTGCAATGTAAAAATGGCATGCCAGAGGCGATTGAGTAGCTTCGATAAACGAACAAGGTAGAAACACACTTCTCCCAAGATATTCTCAAGACCAGGAGGAGCTACCACGCTGTTGTCTGAGATATAAGAGGGACTTCCTGTACCAGTAGCGTGCCAGCGATCCATCAGGATCAGTGACCACCACAATCGCGCACAAAGCGCATCATCTGAATCCGACTCGGTGATTGACTCTATGGGGGTAAACCTCCATAATCTCATCGCGCCAGCCAGACCAATGGCGCGTAAGAGTGGGAAAGGCATGGTTTTTGATAAACGCAAGTCGGCATCGATGATGAGTAGCAACAGAGTTTGCAAATGAACGATGTTCACAGCAGTTGAAGCAGCATGCCCGTGCTGTTCCAATGCCGAAAGGAGCGAGTCGGCATGCTTGACATCACCATCGCCTGATCCTACAACAGCAGGAAGAGCATTCGCGAATGCATTTTGAAGGGACGTTGGGCATTGTGCGAGCAATTCCTGCATCCGGCCCTTTGTACTAGGCAGTATCGGATAAACAGGCTGGAAGCTGGACAAATAACTGGGTAAGAGATTATTAGCTATAGAACATTCAGATGGGTAGCAGAAGAATTGTCCTCTAAGACAAGAAACGAAATCCTCATGGTCAGATTAGGCTATCTCGTCTCTTATATTCGTTGCGGCCAATTCTTCTGACACCCTGACAGTGAATCGGTGACTAACCTGTGCAGCATGCCTTCGTCGATGTCTACAGCTTCGTGAGCGTCGGGCATCGATACATCCATAGTGGCTACAGGCGGCTTGGAAGGCGAGGTTTCGGGCTTGAGAGGTGCAGGATGTGGTGCTAACGAGTTGTTGTCGTAAGATCCATAGGTGGGTTCAGATGTGCCGGGTGAAGCTTGGAGTCGCTGAGGTTCGGAGCCCCATGGTGTCTGTCGGGAAGGTGTTGCGAAGTCATTTGTCGAGACACTGGAGAATGGTCGCTTGCGAGTAGCATCTTCACCTTGGCTCGGTCGTGGTCTATCTGTAACGAAAAGCCTATCAATGTCGTCTTGGCTGAGGCCTCCGTCCGATTCAAGCTTGTTCTCGATACTGTGGATACGATCTGCGAGCTCTTTGATATATCTGCAATACATCAGTATACGCGTTCATCAATCCATACAACACAGACATACCCTTTACTGGGACCTCGTTTCTGAGGTACGCGGCTAAACAAACATCTTATGGATGACCTCGCACAACTAGAACACGGTGCATCGCCAGTATCGGACTGAGCATCACACTTAATCTTCTTCCTGCGGCATTCATCACATGCTCTGGAGACTTTCGATCTCTTCCTGGGAGGAATGCTGTTGTCGATAGGGTACTGGGACGACATAGATGGTCCAACCTGGACGGACATAGGATGCGGTACCATCGGGTCGCTCGTGGGAGTGTCGTGAACATACGATGGTGTTTGTTGTTGATCAGACTCCGGATGAGGCATGATGTTTCGCAGATTAGGGTCCTCAACGTTCATATTGGGGTCTGTAGCAGGCATCATGGATGTCCCAGCTAGACCCTGGCCCAGCTGTGCTGCCAACTGAAGTTCTTCTAGGTTGGCGGGACGAGAAACGTGCTGTTGAACGGATTCCTGTTCCGGCTGCTGTAGTTCACTCTGGCCATGGTCCTGCACTTGTACATGTCGCACTTGTTCGGGGACTTGATGTTCGGGCTGCTCGTGGTGTTGCTCATGATGGGGCTCGACATGGTCATGATGCCCCTCTTGGTGATCTTGGACACCCTCTCGACCGCCAGTGTTGTAAAAAGGACCAGATTCCAATGCCTCAGCTCCCGGGGAGGGATATGTGACATTAGAACCGTCAGCCTCTGGCTCCATTTTTGTGCTCATGATTCCAGCCACCTGGGCATGTACAGTACAGCTGTTCGGCACTTGCGGGGTATTAAATCGTCACTCAAAATGGCAGTATGGGCCTAGTGATGACGAATTGTTGCAGTACTTCAATAAATGTGATGTTGATACGCGATATAAACGCGTTCTGCCAGAATGAGCAGTGCGCGTCGCGCAACGATGTCACTGGACGAAAGCATTGTTAGCTACAGTTCGACGCGATCATGACGAAGTCTACACGATCGTGATGGCACGAAAAGTGAAGTTTGACACTGGGGCAACGACGAGGATGCGCTCGTGCTGTGAATTGGGAAAGCTATATCTTGGTCATGACGACTTACACGACTCTTGTTCCAGCTGGGATCTCGGAGCTGAATAAATGCGATACAACGCCTCGACGGAAGAGGAAGAACTCGGCCCCGATGACTTGCGAATAGGCGGCTTGTGTGGGTGTGTTTTTGGCAAGATCACGGAGAAGGAAGAATTTTTCGGAGGGGGAAATGCTCGGGCTGGAGCTACAGTGATTAGTCAGCTACCCTAGAGTTATCGTCCAAAGTTTAGCGATAAGCTTTCAAGATTCAATACCAATCTTGGTTACAGCTCAAATGAATCACTGTTTATTTTATTTTATTGCAAGTCTAAATAAGAACTAAGTGGCTTTGTTTTGTTACCATAGGCATTCGTCATGTCCTCATGTACCTATTGGTGGTGGTGCTTTCCTTATGATCACTGACCTTCCAAACAGACGAGCGTCAGAGTTTCCTAACAGTTGGCTTCCAAGATCAGAAGAAGCGGAACGATTTGACCATAGAATCGACACTCGTGAATTCAAGGTTCTGCTACTGCCTTGTGGCCTTATGAAAAAAATACACCGCTGAACTCACATTGTTGAAACCATTGGGTACTCGATTGGTGACCTGCTCTTTGCAGAATGACAAGGTGACTCGCACACAATGATCCAGTCACATTATGCCAGCTTAGAGCAGCACTTGGGCTACTTTGTCTTGACACCCTAAGCCTTGGAGAAAAATTCCTCGTTACTCACCTGGGCTGCTAAATAGATGGTTACATGCGCAGGTAGCGATAGACTTATCAACATCATACGCTGAGAACATGCTTCGGGAATGGCTTGGTCATCTGGCCGCTGAAGAAGCCAAGTAGACGTGCCACGTAGGTCCAAGAAGCAACTTCAAGCAAAGCTGGCAAACCAAGAACTTTGCATATGTAGTTCAACGGCTAAGCTTCCAAGGTTGGAACATGAAGTAGCAAGGGTTCTTCCTATAAGGTTGCCCAAGGGTTGCTGCGCCGTTATTATACAGCAAACCATTCTTGTTTAGACGGAACAATGCCCCCTTTCATTATGTTTGTTTCGACATAGGTGCACCCCTTTATCTTGATAACATAGAAACAAAGTAAATGAAATAGAATGCAGCTTCAAGATTGAAGTCGTCCAACGTCCAATCACATGAGATTGAACCCCCCCTGACACGTGCAAGTTGGGGGTCATATCAATCGAACTGCCTAGATTTGTCTAGCTGACGGCAATATCTCTTGCATGCGCGATAACTGCGGGATCGTCATTGAAGAACGGCCTCAATGACAGGAATAGCAACCATATGACCAGGTCTGCAGACGATGTTAAAGGTTAAAGGTGGTAGAAGGTGGCCCAGGTGAAACATCGTACCACACAAGGGCTGGGGGAAAAGTGCAATTTCCGGCATATGAGTTGAACGTTGGATCCATGCCATGACGTTAGTTTTCAGAACCAACTACCTAATAGCCGTGTTTATTACTCAAGCCTCAGCCTCAGCCCTATCGATAGTTGAGTTCGTCTGATCGGACAGAGGGAGGAATCGTTTGCGCCATTGCCAACGTGTATCGCGGCTAACCGGAACTTCAAAATCGAATCAGAAGCATGGGAGCTTGTGATCTACTTTACATAGTACGACCTGAGGTCGAATGCCTCCCAATACTCGGTGTGTGATCATTAATCACCCCGACTGTATCATTCCCCCGGGTTTACATTCCTTTATCTGAGAGCCTGGAGCAACGGTCAACGTCCTCAATCTCTTTTCTTAGTTTAATGCGACATGTGCCGATCACTTTTATGCATCAAAGCATCCCTGTCCTTGCTCAAGGGCAGTTGTAATTAATTTCTGTAAGGATATATCTGGGGAAGAACGCAAGCCCTTGGCCTGAGAATCAACTACATAAAAACTTACACACTATATCCATTCTGACCTTCATTCTCAACGTCGAGTTTCCTGTAGTGTTCTTCTCGGGATTGTAGACCCTGTCATCAAGACGGCAGACGGGTCCTCGACTGTCTCAAGCCCCTGGCAGGTGGCGCCTCGGTGGAAGGATGGACGTTTCCCGCAGCGGAGGCTAGCGGGTAATATGTGACTAGCTCAGGTAGTCAGTCGCTCCAGGGGGTATTCAGGAGGGTCTCGCTCAATTGCGAATGGAAGTAGAGTCAGCCTCTGGGCAAATGGAGAAACTGCCAACCTTACGTATTCATGTTTGCTTCTGTTGGTCTGAGTCTGAAGAGGCAACGTTCAAGTAGCCAATGGGATAATACAGAGCAGTCTGACAACTTGTAGAAAAAGTGATAGTTGATACTAGAGCGTACAGTCACCTATGACTGATGGGATGATGCGACACTACAGAGTGTTTTGCTTTTTGTTCCTTCGACCGTTGTCATATTTGACAACTGAATTGTTGAAGAAATAACGGACGACTTCGGTCATACTGACTGTTCTAGAACTTGGGTAAGGATTTGCTGAGCCAAGATTTTATTGTTAAAGAGTCTGTACAATCATTGTTGTCGTTGGCTGACCAAAATCTCCGGCATCAAAAAGTCCACTTACACGAGCGATTAAGCAATCAATAATCCAATACCATGTCGCTTCAACTGTCCGAGTGAGAGGCCGGAGGCGCTCGCTCGACCTGTTCGCGAACCAGGGATCTTAGAGTGGGTATTGGATGAGCGACAGAAAGTGATCCGGCAACTCCTAGTGGACCAGCTCAGACTCGATTCAGTGATCAGAACCTCAATAAGGAGCGAGTGCCATCAGAGCGCGCTGGAAACAGAATGTGGTTGCAGCGGGAAGCGGCAGTCATAGCGAGTCAATCCCTGAAGAAAGGGACCCGTGAGCGGGAATGGAAGGGATATTTGGGTAGCCAAGAAGACGGATCTAATTTCCTTGACGATTCCAGAAGCTAGAAATCTCACACCAAGTCATGGGAAGTGTTGAGTAATACAAGGGAGCGGGCCTTCTTGAAGATCATTCGGCCGCAATCGCATCATACAAGCAACAAGCATAAACATTTGGCTGCTGTAGCATGTTCGCACTCTCGGGCTTTCTCTCGATTAGTTTACCTTTTAGTCGTCTTCGTCGTCTTCTAGCCTTCTTTTGAGCCACGTCCCTAATCTGCTCTATGCCTAGATTGCTGAAACGGCCCTAATTCTCCCTATACCCGCGCCGATAAAAAAGAGGATCCATGTGTAGCTCACATTTACCTGGTACCTGTCGAGTGTAGGTAATGTACAAGACAGGAGTTAGTACATACGGTACTACGTAGTATGTCAGGTATCCTTGTTCCTTGCCTTGTCTTTCGCTCGTCTCACGAACGTGCAGTGCAAGCTTATTAGTCGACTCGGCGAGTTATCGACCGCAAAAGTCCCTTGCCTTGCCTTGTCTGGCTCCCTAAGGTTTTCGACTAAAACCTATGGATGCGTAGCATCGCATCCACTTCTCTTTTCTCTTGTCTCAGGGACTAGACTTTATTTTTATATTCTTATTTTATTTCCATATCCATTCTTCTCTTTTTAACTTTCCTCCCTTTTCCTTCCCTGTTGAAACGCCCTTATTACTCTGTTATGGCATCATTGGTCGTTCGTCTCCTGTTTTGAGGGAAGGGTCGCTCCTGCACATTTCGCATTTGGGTTTCTCAACTTGTTGTTACTCCTCTCACACGACGTTTATTGCAGTTTCAATGACGCATGCGAAACAACCTTTTCTATCGTTCTACAACCGCCGATCTGCGTTTGACTACTTCGCACAACGACAACCGTTTAACTTTTTCATTCCATCATGTTGTTGAGTATGGATGTTATGAAGGTGCGGGACTGGACATATCTCGAGGACCCTCCCCAAGACATTGGCCCAGCTCGACATCTTCTCGAGGTTTACAGCAAAATTCCATACAATGACCTGGACGGTCACATACGCCGTGTGGTAAGTTCAGAATCTTGTCTATCATCCCGGCACAGCAACTGACTCGACCTTCTGTTTTCAGCGAGAGAAAGCCTGGTGCATCTCACAGTACCCTTGCGTTGGACGATGGAAGTTCCTTTACATCCCAGACCCTAAGGACCCTCGCTATCAACAGGCTCTCTTCCGCCTCAACGTCGCCGGCTCTAGGGATGTCCTTCTCGATCTCGGATGTGGTGTCGGGCAGGTGATCCGACAATTCCGCGCAGACGGTGTCGACGGAGCTCAACTTATCGGTACTGATCTGCAGGCCAAGTTCATCGACATCGGGTACGATTTGTTCCAAGATCGACATCAGCTAGGCGCCGCCTTTGTCGCTGGCGATATGTTGGACCCTGAAGACAAGGAGATGGCTTCTTTGCGCGGCAAGATCACCATGGTTCATGCGGGCAGTTTCTTCCACCTCTTCAACTGGATCCAGCAACTCTATATCGGCAAACGCGTTGTCGAATTTCTCAAGCCTGGCACTAAAAACGCAATGATATATGGCCGTCAGGTCGGCACGAATCATCCAGGACCGACTTCCACCAGCACCCGATCCGCTTATTTGCACGACCAAGCAAGCTTCCAACGACTTTGGGACGAAGTTGGCGCCCTAACGAAAACGCGATGGCAGGTCCAGATCGAACCCACGGGAGAGCCTGTATCCAAAGTGCCTGGCTTCAACAATCACACATTCCCGGTCAACTTTACCGTTTACCAGGTATCATGAGTAATTGCTTTGCTAAAGTGAGGCGTATCATGACAACCTAACTACACGGAATGAGCGGAGATCACATCACGATCCTTGTCTCGCCTCATTTCTCCATATTATCCGGCATTCGACCCTATCGCCAAGCTAGCATTCAACCAAGCGGCTTGCCCTCTTGGGTTTGGTCAGGATATACCCAAACTAGCGCCAGTGCACTCGGCATTACAACGACTCAGACTCACGACCAATATCACAAAATCCAATATTGGCAATTTTTGACTTCGCCCGCACTTGTCGCGTCTAGGCTCGCTGCTTCACAAATGTCCGTGGCCTACTGGTGAAGCTTATTTGGGGTTGGAACCGCAGAGGGGCGATTGCTTGACCTTCACCGACAGCTATCACCGGTAGCTATCGGCCCTCCCAACATTTTACTATTGCGGACATAAAAAGATCAACACGGCCTATATCTTGTGGGACCGTGAGTTTTTGATCTGCGGATATCAACCCGCAAGCTTTTGACACACATGAGTTGTCTGCGTCAACGCTGGCCACGGTGGCCGAAAGAATCGCAAAACAATAAACAACTTACAAACAACAATTTATCTGAGAGCAAGCACTATTCCAGGAAAGGATTGCATGTCGCGGGTAAATTGTTCGCATGATTAATGATACACAATGATATAGTCGACCGCAGCTGGGCAACAACTGGCGCTCTTCAACACGGAGCTAGTCGACTCATGCTAGTCCTCTTTTTGGCGTTAAACGGCGGGAATTATAGACGGGTTTAAGGAGGAAAAGATAGACCGGCTCAGATGGCTATAGATTAATACATAATTTACGCAGCTGCTTTTCTAGAATTGACCTTGTTTGGGTCGGCTATATCGTTTCTTGGTCTGCAAGTCATGCTGCCTGCCCACTTACACGCGAGGTGAGGACGTTATGATTTGGGTACTTCAGAGACAAGTATTTCCAGACTAGAGGTACATGAGAGTACTTTTGCCCACTCATTGGGCTTGTATACACTTTGTAGCGAGTTTGCGCCTTGGTGATCAATGCATTGTGTGCGTATTTGTTCCCGATTTAACAGAGCATGAGTTCCTATCAGACGTATTGATGATGAATAGAAGCAAACCGAAGACATTCTCTATTAGCCCAGCCATAAGATCCTAAGCCACCGGGATCAAGCCAAACTTACTATCTCTGTTTTCTATAAGCATCCCCACTCAGATAGAAAACCAATCATTACATTGTCTGCTTCAGTACCAAGTAACAATCATTCAATGGGCAGGTGCGAAGCTGTAAGCGCGTCAACTTCGCGCGCTGGTTAAACGTCGGCTAATGGAAGGAAGCTCGATGCCCCTCCATCAAGCTTGGGGAGCTGGTGGTTTGGATCCCACTTCCGTCACCGGCGTCTGCTTCTATCAATAAACCCAATATTTGGGGTTAAGAGGCTAATTCTACACTTTTATTGTTTTAACAGATACAGAACAGATACACGCGCTCAGAGTCTTGTGCGCCAGCCTCGGTGAGGTCTGGACAGAGTTGGCGCCTTCTTATAAAGCTATGTGCCTACGGATAATGCCCATATTCTGCTACAATGGACGCCGATTGGGATGAGGTACGTTTCCTGACAGCGCCGCACCTTAGACATTTTATACATACAATATAATGGAAAACTTGGCTCCGATATACATGTAGTCTTTCAAGACTTGTTCTTTATGCATACGCTTACACGCTGTTGTCGCAGGTCACCCGGATACCCTTTCCGCCTCCGGGCGTGCACGCGATGCCGACGCCAGTTACTACTATGACCTTCGACACATCGTATGAACTTCTTTGGACCGGAAACGACTATGTATGGAAAGATTGAAAGGCCGAAGGCCGTGGATGGGCTCTCGCTAATGGGAATTCTAGGGTCGAGTTACATCCTTCTACGGCACCAACCTTGAGCGATACACCTCACTCAAGGCGCATACTTCTGCCGAGGGTCCAGTTCGTCAAATACTCGTCAACGACAAAGGCGTAGTAGCTTTAGGACCTCAGGATCTCCATATGGCTATACGAAGGGGACCACCAATATGGCATATCAAGTAGGCGAATTCCAGGTCACAGAGAGCGAAGAAAGACGGGCGCTAACCCCGGGCAGGCATGATGAGATGAAAGATTTAAGATGTATGTCTTTTACATCAAAGGGAACGGCAGAGATCATTGCTGCTGGCTGGCAAGATACAATGCTTGTCGTTGACCTCAATAAGGGTGAAGTCACAAAACAAGTGAGCAGCATGCGTATGACTGTTGGAATCTTTCCTAACGAGTACCAGGTACCTACTGAACACCAATACACCATCATGAAACGGGGACGTTACATATGCGCAGCGACGAGGAACGGCTCTGTCAACCTTCTAGACCCAATCAGCTTTGCGGTCGTCAAGTCATGGAATGCACACTCCGCCGTTATTAATGATATAGATGCCCAGCACGACTTCATTGTTACCTGTGGTTTCTCCCTTAGACCGGGTCAAGGTTACATGCTGGACCCCTTCCTGAACGTGTTCGACCTTAAGAAGATGTCATCCATGCCTCCTATTCCCTTCCCAGCAGGCGCCGCGTTTGTGCGAATGCATCCCAGGATGCTCACTACTAGTATAGTGATATCGCAGAGTGGTCAAATTCACATTGTGGATCTTATGAATATTAACACTAGCAATGTGCGACAAGCCAAGACTCTTGCCGTGAGCATGTTTGAGATTGCACCTTCGGGCGAAGCCATGGCTTTGACGGATTCTGATAGCTTCATTCACTTATGGGGATCACCATCAAAGCTTCATTTCGTAGATTTACCGACTCCTATTGAGCTTGCAACTCCACAAGAGCACTTGCCAAACATCGAATGGACACCAGAAACGTGAGTTGTGCCTTATCAACATTATATACTTTATTCGCTAATCTCTATAGACCTTTGAACACAATTGGCATGCCTCATTATCGAGAGACACTGGCATCTGCCTGGCCGGACATACCTTGCGATGTTGGGGCGCCCCCTGTCAAGTTTGACGGTCAATTTCTCTCAGGACTCAAAGCTACCGAGTTCGGGCTGTATGGACGCAATTCTCGGGGATTGCGGAGAAACCAGGCTGAGAATACGCGAAACGTTCATAAATCGGGCGGTTCTGGGCTCAAGGCTCCCAAGTTTCTCAGCGAAAAGGCTCGCGAACTTGCTACTAGCAACGCCGCGGATTCCGATGATAAAGTCGATGAGCTGCTTGGTACTCTCACTGATATGGGGATCGAAAGTAAGAAGTCCGAAGTGCCGGTCATGTATCGCAATGTCGAGATCAAGTACAGCAAGTTCGGAGTGGATGATTTTGACTTCGGGTTAGTATTCTTGCACTGATAAGTGGCCTATTGCTAACCAAAAGCAGATTCTACAACAAAACCCGTTACTCAGGACTTGAGACACACATCTCAAATTCCTACGCCAACTCCTTGTTGCAGATTATGCACTTTACCCCTGTCATTCGGAATCTTGCTCTTCGACACGCTGCTACATCATGTGTAAGCGAGATATGTCTGTTGTGCGAGCTTGGATTCTTGTTCGATATGCTTCAGAAGGCTGAAGGCTCAATTTGTCAAGCAACAAACCTGCTGAAGACTCTCAGCAGCCACCCCCAAGGTATGATCAGTTACCTTTTAACATAGACCACAACTGACTAGCGCAGCGGGACCGCTCGGCCTACTCGAAGAAGACCCCCATGGCTCATCTCTTAATGTAATGCTCCAAGGGCTTACTCGATTTCTTTTGGATAAGATCGTGCATGACTATAAGGCGATTAACACGACAGAGATGGATCAGTCTGCCATGGACCAGGTAATGGCAACGTCGGCGACGACCTCGATTCGGTGCATTAACTGTAGGAGCGAGTACACGCGCCCCGGCTCGACTTACGTTAACGACTTACTTTACCCTTCTGCTGTGAGTACTTGAATACCCCTCAATGAACAAATACTTAATGCAGCCTAGAAGGTTGGGGGTCGAAATGCCAAGATGCCACGCACCACATTCTCCCAGGTTCTTAAGAACAGCGTTGAAAGAGAGACAACATCAAAGGGATGGTGTAGCCGATGCCAACGATACCAGACAATAGCAACAAGAAAGAGTATCCATAGCATACCTTCAGTACTCATGCTAAACACTGCCATCACCAACCAAGAACAACGGGCGCTTTGGTCAACACCAGGATGGCTCCCCGAGGAGATTGGAATTATCGTGGAGAGAGAACAATTCTTCTGCTATGAGGGTGAAGATTTGAAGCTCCATCTCCAACGAGGCATGCATAACATAAAAGTTTATTCACTCACTGGAATGGCTATCAATATCGAGAGTGGGCAGACGCAGAAGTCTCATCTCGTATCCATGATCAATGGTAAGTTATTGAGTCCTTGCTGGAGTCTGTAACTAACAACAAGCGCAGTGGCACATGCGGAACCCGAACCACCAGCAGAGAGCCGATGGCATTTGTTCAACGACTTTCTGGTGAGATCAGTTAGCACGGAAGAGGCACTTACCTTCAACACATCTTGGAAGGTACCTTCTGTGGTTGCGTATCAGGTAAAGGATGAGAATAACAAGATCGATACGGAATGGAAGAAAAATATCGACACCTCTATCCTCTACAAGGACTTCAGGTATGTGTTGATTCGTCTTCGTCGTCGTTTTCCGTTTTATTGACATTCTCTAGCCCAAACACAGATCCCGCAACAAAGACATACCAGGTACTCAACCCTGAAACTGAAGCCCCTGGCCCAGATACAATCATCGCGCTCGACACTGAGTTCGTTGCTATACGACAACCAGAGATCGAAATGAACTCAGATGGTGAAAGGGAGACAATCCGGCCTATAGCGTACGCACTTGCTCGAGCATCAGTCGTTCGTGGCCAAGGTGAAGACGAAGGGACGCCATTCATCGATGATTACATCAATATCAGAGAACCGATTGTCGATTACTTGACATCCTACTCGGGCATCACTGAGCAAGATCTAGACCCCCGAGTTTCGAAGCACAGTCTGCTGCCACTAAAAATGGCATACAAGAAGATGTGGATTCTTCTCAACCTCGGATGTAAATTCTTGGGCCATGGACTGAAACAGGACTTCCGAGTTATCAACATACATATCCCCAAGTCGCAGGTCATTGACACAATTGACCTGTTCTTCCTCAAATCTCGACTGCGAAAGCTATCATTGGCCTTTTTGGCATGGCATCTCCTCAAAGAAGATATCCAAATGGAGACGCACGACTCCATTGAAGATTCCCGGACAGCCCTCAAGTTGTATAAGAAGTATCTCGAGTTTCAAGATGCCGGAATCCTGGAGACGATGTTGCAAGATATTTATCGTGCAGGTAGGGACGTCAACTTCAAACCGCCTCGCAAGGGTGACCAGCAGGTTCCAAGAGCGGATACGCCACCTCCTTTGGTACCTGCTGATGGCTCAGCCGGGCCGGTAACACCGGTTAGAAACATCAACTATTTGGCACAGACGCCTGGATCTGCATTTGGAGGTGGATCTAGTTGGACGCCAGGAAAGGGATCCCCGTTACCATAGTGGACGAAAGAGGGGGAAAGCTCCAAGGATACGAGACCGAAAGATTCTGAAGATCCAGGAAAGGACGAAACTAGGGATCAAGAGGATGGTTCTTAGGATTTGGAAGGGTTAGAAGATGTGGTTGATTTCCGTATATTAGGGTCTAGAAGCGAAGACCAGAGTGGGAGTTGGTGCAAGCTTCCATTGTTGTATAGCCATGAGTCAAACTCAACAGTATCATACTGCCCGAGCGAGTAGCAATCGTCACGCATAAAAAGCGACTATAGGAATATTTCAGAGCAAAAACCACTTCCTTTCATACTACTCACTGCTGTTTGCCCTTGTGATGTCGATGCTCCTGCCACTCCTTATCGCTAAATGGTGCGTTTAGAAACCCGCCATGCGCTCTTTCCTTATTCTTATGCTAGATATTCCTAACCATGAATACTGGAGAAGGAAGGAAAGCCTTACCCAGATAGCCGCACTATACCTTACGACCGGAGCTCGTCTCTTCCGCTCTGTCATCCATTATCACCTCAAATCAATCTTGCCAATACTTCTCTACTTCCCCTATCTTACCAACCGGTGTTGCATAACCTACCTATCTACTTTCATTACCATCTGAATCACTCCAATCCATATTCTTTACAAGATGGAGGGTCACGACGACACACGGTGTCTCCCTAAGATGCCAACGCTATTCACTACTGCCCCTGATGTGCACCCAGACCTCGTATTGTTTTCTGCGTCCTCTGATACCGAGGATTCGACAAAAAACACTACTCCGCACGAACTCGATACCTGCAATGACCCTGGTAAGGATGACAGCCATGAAAAAGACGGCGAGAAAGTTCAGACGCCGCCCAGTAACGCTCCTCATTCGACACTTATGAGCCCTGGAGATGGAAAATCTATGTTTTAGAAGAACGATAACTCGGAAGAATTTCCAAAGCCCTCGAGAATGTTCACAGCACAGAATACCGAGTCACCGCAAGACGACACTTCTTCACGTCACTCCTCTGCCAGTTCCTCGTATTCGGACAAGGACTGCCAGAAGGAGACCACTACAGATTTCGAGGACCGGAGCGAGAAAGCCCACAAATTGGAAGACGATACAGCCGACGGAAATTCAAATGCTTCGGGCGAAACAACGCCAAACGGACATCCTATCGAGACTGGCACGGCTTCGCCTGATACTGAAGGACAGGCACCGCAGCCCTTGACGAAAAACCGCTTACGATCAATCCCCGATGCTCGACTCTACAAATTGGGCTCAGTATATAAGAAGTTGAAAGAGATGATAGAGGACTCTCAGGCTGCCACCACTAGTAGCGATACGCCTCGACCGGAGCTGGACGCTGAGTCCGATAGCACTTTGGAAGACCATAAAACAGCCTCGGAGCCAGAGTATCCAGCTTACTACATTTTCGACCCTCGATCGAATGGCTCTGCGTACTACATGTATCAAGATGCTGATACACAAGAAGGCTATAAGATTGAGAAAGTTTCCTTCAAGCCCGCATTACCAGAGCCTGGGCTGAGAGCCTACTATATCGAGGCATCGGAGAAAGATCGAGGCGAGCCGAGGCACGATAGTCAAGAGACACTGTGGAGAGTCGACTCTTCAAGAATTCCTGCAGTAGTCATCGACTCAGACAGCTCAGCTTCTCATGAGGCAGTAGTGGATGCCGATGAGCCGCTGTATGATGGAGATGAAGCAACTCAGAGCATCGCCAGGAAAGTGAGCGACCGACTTCAGAAGATCAGACACTTGAGAGAACACTTACGTGTTATAAATGGCAAAGGTCGAGATGTTCCGGAAGCCAGGGGATTATATCTCATTGGCGACAAGGACATCCGCGACGTTGTTAGTATTGTGCTGGGCGAAGCGTTGAAGAATGGCCATATCGACAGGCCTGAAAGAACAACTACAACAACAGAAGAATCTTCTGAGAGTCGACCTTTACCAAAGCTAGACGGTGACACGAACACTATACTAGTTTCCACGCCTACAGCAGTAGATCCAGCAACTACCATCAATCTGCCATCAACCTCTTATGCGAACATCAACGCAACAGACATGGAGGTTCACACCAAAACCCGTGGGGCAGAATCAGATGCGACGACTACTGTTATCACTCGTCGGAGTGTTGCTGAGATCACTTGGGCCCGGGCATATCCTGCAGGCCATGATCCAGATTCTCGAACACATGGCCGAACTGTTTCTGACTGCTGCTCACCCACACACGGGGGTTCACGTTCATGCCCAGATGATCGACGACAGAGTGACCAGAAAGTATCCAAAGGTGATCCTATACTGAGACACTATACTACACCAAAGAGCACAGCTGAGATTCTGGCGGACATCATGTGTAACAAGAGCTTTGAACAGCAACTGAGAGTCAGCGATGGCACTGTCATCACCTCATTCCCTAGACTCTTCTCTCGTGATCTGACTACAGAATGGACTGGCTCAACTGCCGAAGGCGGAGACTCGAACAAAACAGCGCCGGCGACTTTTTACCACCATGGTATCGATGCCCGCAGTGGTCTTCACACACCACTACCGACTCCTGCTGTTGAGCAGCCTCCAGTATTGCCTTCTTCAACATACGATAAATCGCTCTTTGACGCCAACCCTTTCAACAAATCCAAGGGCAAGAATCTTTCCACCCTGTTGGCGTCAGAGAGAAGGCTAAGTGCTTCTCTGGATGCCGACACTCAGAGACGTCGCAGCTCGCAGATAGCTGACATCGAAGAAGAAGGTTCGGACCAGACCTGCTCACGCCCTGGTCTCATGCACAAGATCAAGCATGGAGGTCACAAGTTTTTTCACAAAAGCCACTTTCGGCGGCCAAATAGGAGCGCAACAGCCGAGGAGGATGCTTTTGAAGAGAGCAATGTCATGCGTTCAGGGAACAGTACAGGAAGAGGAAGAATTCCCGAGCCGCCCAAACCGGATAGCCATGGAGCTCACAAGACCTTAACAGGGAGCAAGCTCGATGGACCTTCATATGAAGAGGGTGTCTGTTCAGAAGATGACAAACCACATCGATGTGTGAACGATTTGTCGTCTCGAGACATTTCCCCAGCCAGGGGTGATAATTGGGAAGGGAAATAGAAAACGAGTATGACTAGCACACATACCTAGACTTCACTGATAGAAAGAATGCAACTAGTTGATTACCGGTTGGTTTATTGAAACATACAATTCACAGGAGCCGTCTACTGTCAAACGAGCCAGGGCGTAGGTGGATCCAGAAAGTCATACGTTATCAATGCATATGCATCGTTATGTCCTATTAATGCCTCTTATGTCACGTCTAAAAGTTCTATACCGCCTTGCTTGCTCTAGCCTTGTTCTCCCTATGTCTCTTCTCCTTAGCAGCTGTCTTGCGACGCTTCATCCACGATTGGTTGAGATCACGTCTGTTATTCCAGAACCAAGCCTGGAAATCACTTGAACTCGAGGGCCCAGATGCATTCTTGTTTCCTTCCTCATCATCCATTTCAGCATCTTCATCTTCCTCCTCATCTTCGGGCCAGAAGTTGCGCATGCGCGAGGGATGCGCCGTATCAGGTGTAGGAGCAGCGCTTCTAACGTTGCGGAATTCAAAGTCCTGGCGAGAGAAGGGAGTCATAGGCGCGGGAGTTGCGATGGTCTGGTTGGCAGGATCTTGGTCCTCTTCTTCCTCGATATCGTCGTCATCTCCGCCGGCGCCAAAGAAGCTGAAGGGCTCGGCTTCCTTCTGCGCAGGTGTCTCGGTGGCGTTTTCGTCGGGCTTGACCCGTTTATAAAGGGCCTCGAGGGGATGGACTTTGGTGGAGGGGGTCAGGGGAGGGGGAATCTTGATGGTGAGACTGCGGGAGGAGCTTGAGGACATGGGTCTGTTGTCGTCGGCTTTGATGGCTGAGAGGGGTGTCGCTTGTTGAGGTGCTTCGTCAGAGCCTTCGTCAGCGGAAGACTCGTCGGAAGAAGACTCGTCATCTGTTTGGGGTTTGGTCTTGGTTGTGGTTTCCTTCTTTTCCTTTACGGGGGTATCGACCTTCATCTCATCCTCGCTCTCGCTCTCCTCATCTGAAGAGCCGCTGCTGCTAGTGCCACTGCTGCTAGTGCCACTGCTGCTAGTGCCACTGCTGCTGGTATCGTCGTCTGACTCTTCAACTGGGGGAGGCGTGGGGGCCTTCTTGGCCTTCTTCTTCTTGGGCGCAGGCTCTGTGACCTTCTTCTCCTTGACAGTCTCAACCACATTGCCATTCTCGTCCACCCAGCCCTTACCCTCGACGAACTCGGTCGCTGCGCTGACTTCGCCCTCGGCGACAGAGTTCTTCAAGAAACTAGGGAACTTTGTTGTCTTCGCGAATTCGTGGATCACCACCTCGCGACCCTTGCCCTTCTTCTTGCGCTTGCGAGGTTGTTCGTCCTCGGGCAGAGTGGACACCAGGTTGGGTGGGACCTTGGTCTTGAGCAGACACTCATCTCCCTCTGTGTACTTGGATTTTAGGCGCTTCTTCTTCTCTGTGTACTTGCCATCCTTCTCTTTTTCCTTGTCCTGTTTACTCTTCTTTCTTCTTTGGTCGGCGTTTTCTGTCCATCCTCGCTTGACCTTGCGGTCTGTTAAAGCGACACCCTCTAGAATCTCAGGATCACGCTTTCGTTTCCGCCTCTCTTCTTTTGATTCCTTGGGCTGCTTCTTGTGCTTCTTCTCATGCTCCTCATCTGCCTTATCGAGCTCGCCGGTAGGCTCAACTCGTTGTTCTGGCCGGGCCTTTTCAATCCGTATTTTGTTGCCCTTCAACACAGCGCCATTGAGCTTCTTTTTCAACTTATCAGCGTCCATGGTCGGAAGTTCGACGTAGCCGTAGCGCCGCTCGGGAAAAGTATCAATCGAGTGGTAGGAAATGTTTCGCGCCTTGGGAGCTGCAGAGGCCGGCAGGACGATCTTGAGAAGCTCGGGATCGAGAGGGCTGATGTGAAGCCGAATATAGTCGCTAGAAGCAGATTCAGCTTCAGCGGACATGGCGAAGCGGAGGAACGCTGATTATTAGGACGTTGTGCGACGCAAAAAAGCGTCGTTTGGAATTGGGCGAATACCAGAATTTCTTAAAAAAGGGACGGGACGAGCTTTTGCTTTTGCGATTTGGGGAAAAAAAGTTCCAGGGACCCTTTAGCGTTGGAAGAAAATCGCAGTCGTTGATTGGTTGAATGGAGCGACGTTGATCCGGGCGTTTGGATATGGATGGATATCAGAGATGTGATAATGTACGATGTTCATAAAATCAGATAAAACAAAAAACAAACATTATTTGACTTTATCAAAAAGATGAATCATTGGAGTTTTAGAATTCAACAGCAAAGATTCATGAAACTTGGTTGGTAGGCTGACTCAACTGTCTCAGTTACCGCTGAGATGGATGTCAACTCTTCATGTTACAGATCCCATTGCCCAATATGGAAAGTATATCGAAGACCTGACTGCAGTGGCTGCAAGACAGATGCACACAGACACAGACTTTTTGACGATAAGCTTACATTGGAATTGGAGTAGGGATGATGTAACCCTATGTTCTAGATTGTGGTGTCGATAGTTTGGGTGTAGTATTGCGACATATCAGGGATCCTTGAAACCCTTGGCTTGGGTTGTTGGGACGAGGAGTGTCGCAGACAGCCTCAAGACAAGAGCCATGATACAGGCACTGTCGGATGGAACGAGTATTCGGGATGGAAACACAGTAAGGTCTATCGTTTGGTATCATATTCGATTCAACTTCATGCCGAGGCTTGTTTTGCTTAACGATGGTCACATATAGTCTGAGTGTATAAAAGGCGTACAGTTCTTGTTTATTCGGATTTGTTTTGGTAGATATAATTCCATATTTTCTGTATCTCTTCAATTCTTTTCAATCCCTGGAGGATTCTTTATTTGATAATTTACTTTTCGTTCTTCATTACACTCACTAATACCATTCCCTAACCGCTCTTCACCAACCCTCATCGAAAATGCATTTCCCTGTTCTTCTCGTTTTGGCTGGAACTGCCTTCGCCGGTAAGAACCAATCTGATCGATATCAATGTCATGATACTGACTCGTTGTATTAGCACCTCATCTTGCGAAGAGACAAAACCCCTGTTTCATCGTCGGTAACGAAGTCCTGCCCGAAGAGGTCGCCTCCTCGGCCGCAGGACTGGCCTCTGCTGTCACCTGTGACACCTCGCGAACCACCATCGACGGCGTCCCTGATGTGAACTCAAACGGAGTGACCTTTTCCTCCGTCAACTTCGCCGAGTCTGGTCAATCACCTTTGGCCTTCGCTCTCGACCAATTCGCGACTTCATCACCGCTGGCGGATAACGATGTCAACAAGTTCCAGAATGAGCTGAATGTTTACCTTGCTACTGAGGCGGGTATTAGGGCTGCTGGAGGAAACCTCGCTATCAAGGTCCCCAAGTTCTTCTTGCAATTCCAGATTGCTCGAATTCAACAGGCCCAGGGCGCTGTGTCCGACATTCCTGGCATGACCGTGGAGCACCAGCTTGGAAAGGTGGTGAAAAATGCAGCTGGAGAAGACCAGGCTCTCATTGACCAAGTGAACGAATTGGCTGTTAACTTGAACTAAATGCAAGCACATGCAGCGCGCAGTTTATAATAATACAAAATGGTCCTAATTTTTCTTCACCTTCATGTTCATACAAGTGACTCCCGAACCGCCGTCGTTATAAAAATACACACCATGGTAACAATTAGAGAGGAGAAAGAAATACGCTAGAAGCATCTCCCAAACACCAGCATTCGTCGTAACCCAAGCGCCAAAGAAACGAGTCTAAGAAGAGCCGCGGAACCAAGGCGTAGGGTCCTGCTCATGTCTGTCGCCACCAATGGCCTTCCACCAGGTATCGGTACTCCAACGGATAATGCGCTCGGCCGCGCCCAAAGGAGTAGCAGCAGGACGAACATCAAGAAAGAAGACAGGCTCGCCATCAGCATCAGGCTCACCAGAGTAGTAGTCGATAACGTATCGAATCTCCTTTCTCTGGCCATTCATCTCGCGCGCGACGTACCAGTCATGTCGATCAAAAGGAGGCTCGGTGCTGTAATACGTTAGTCAGACAATCTTATGTAGCTGAAATGGTAGAACTTACCCGAACTTAGAGGGATAAAGCATGCCCAAAACCTGCATCATATGGGCCTTGGGAGTCAACTCCTTGGGTCGACCCTGGAAGCGGACAAGACTTGGCTCAGTGCTGACACCGTCCCAGTGCTTGTTGAGTTCTTCTTCAACATGACTCTCGCCTCTCTTGCAGATTTGCCAGCCCTTGATAAGACCCCGCGCAAATCGTTGCTCCCAGCCCAGAATCTCCTGCCATGCGCCCTCATTAAGAAAGTTGTGCACCGAAACCATGCCCTCAACGGCAGTGATATCGGTATCAGTGTAGCCCTTGCGCAAAAGCGCATTGTACATTTGCTGAGGAGATGGGTACTCCCAGTTGCCATCACCGGAGCCCTTAGGAATGGTAGACTCATCTCGGCTGGTCGGTAGAGCGAATTCCTGGTTGGGTGCAGGCTTCTGAGAAAGATCGGGGAACATGTAGTTGAGAGGGTTGAGCTGGGAGATCAAAGACTTGGGCTTCTCCTCGGTTCGAGCAGCATGAGGAACAGGACATCCTGAAGTGGGAGGAGGAATCTCGGCGGGCTTAGGCTTAGCAGCAGGATTCAAGGCATCGGCGGACTTTTGGTGCATGGGACATCCAGGCTGGAAGATAGTCAGTATGCGAACAGAAAAGAGAATGCTGAGGATGTGAACGTACTGGAGGAGCCTTGTCGGTAGTCGCTGGATGACCAACAGGAACCGCAGCAGCGGGAGCGGCGTCTGCCCAGAACCAACCCATTGTTAATAATTATAGATTGAAGTTGAAGGGTTTGACGAAGAAGCCAAAAAATTGAGAGGATCTGCGTGCAAATCCTAGGGTTCAGAAATCGAAAATGTCGATTGACGATGATGACAAGATCAAAGAATTGGAGAATGGATAAATGGATGAACAAGAAATTCCCCAAAAATGGATGGATCCAATACTTTGTTGCGCCTAACAAAAAATTTGAGGCGTAAAAGCGGCAAAGACCGGGGCAAATCGCGCCAAGTGCTTCCCACTTTCTTGTCACTCCAACGAGAAATGTTCCTGCCTTTGGTCAGCGCAGCACGTGCCTTCCCGAGTTGTTCCCGAGAGAATAATTTGAGCCTAGAATCAGTGCAAGTTAGAAGGCATCCGTAGGCACCGGAGCTGATAAGCCGATAGCGATAATCAGTGCGTACTTTGTACGTCACTTTAGTTAGTAGCTCGACGTCACTAACACCATTTGTTAGCTTGAGCCAGGGGGACGGCGGGCATCCCTGCAACTGAGTCGTTGCATCATTAATGTTAGCACATGTAAACGCATTCGTCTTTTTATACTAGGTACCTACCTAAAACCTTCCAACGACTTCCTTCTCACTCCTCGAATGCGATCGTCTTAAACCTCTTCCCGAACATGAGAGTGTTCGTGTTTAATCAATATTTCAACAAGACACTTTCTCCGTCGCGATGAGAGCTGGTCCTTTAATATGCCGCTTTTTCGTCCATCCGGGCCTCCGAACATGTCCGAACATCAGACCCAACATATCAATCCTTAGTCGTCGATTCGCTTCTCAGAGCTCACGCCATCCTCGATTTACAAATTGGTCTTCACCTGGTCTGAAAAGAGCAACTTTACGCGCGTCTGGTGGTGCAGCGGCACTAGGAACAGCTGCCTTTGTGGAATTGTCGCAACAGGATAATGACAATGATCAAGAAACCGGAGAGAAGCGCATGCTCGAAGCGTCGCGAGCCGAAGTGAGGAAGGGTGTTTCGGCTGAATCAAGGGGCATTGCACGATTGGGAGAGCGTATCAAATACTTGATCGATCTCTTGATCATTGAACCTGTCTGTACAGGATTCCGCTTCCTTCAGCTTGTCGTTATCTTTGTGCCGGTCATTATCACAATCCCTGCCATTTACTTTGGAAATCGACTACCCGATAGAGATAATGAGCGATCAGGGACACTCTGGTGGTACGGCTTCCTGGTCAATGAGATGGAATTAGCTGGCCCAGCCTTTATCAAACTTGGGCAATGGGCAGCTTCAAGAACCGATATCTTCCCTACAGAAATGTGCGAGATTATGTCAAAGCTTCACTCGAATGCGCCTGCTCATTCGCTCCATGCTACGCGAACCACTGTTGAAGCTGCATTTGGTGGCCGCCCTTTCGAGGAGATCTTCGAAGAGTTCCATGAGAAACCTCTAGGTGTTGGCGCAATCGCTCAGGTCTACAAGGCCAAGTTGAAGCCTGGCTTAGCCAAACCCGAGGAGGCTGATCTGCATGATTCATATCCTTTAGCGCAAAATGTCAAGCGCAACGTCGATACGGTACTGAAGAGTTCACCACAAAGGATACCATCATCATACGTTGCTGTCAAAGTTCTGCACCCCCATGTAGAGAGAACAGTAAGAAGAGACCTTCGCATCATGGGCTTCTTTGCCTCTCTCCTCAACCTTATCCCGACCATCGAGTGGCTTTCATTACCAGATGAGGTAACTCAGTTCGGAGAAATGATGAAGCTCCAGCTCGATCTCCGTATAGAAGCAGCGAACTTAGCGACTTTCCGCAAGAACTTCAAGGATCGGTCCACAGCTTGGTTCCCATACCCCTACACAGAGTACACAACTCGCAACGTTTTGATTGAGGAGTATGCTCAAGGCATTCCATTGGCTGACTTTATGGAGAATGGTGGTGGTGTCTTCCAGCATGACATTGCCGATGAAGGTCTCGATGCTTTCCTTCGTATGCTGCTGCTTGACAATTTTGTTCATGCTGATTTGCATCCTGGCAATATTATGGTGCGGTTCTACCAATCAGCCCACCCCGAGCTACGCCTACGGAAGACAATGACCAAAGCCCATCCTGATGAAGCGGAAGATGTCACTGAGCAAGTGCTCGAGAGACTCCGACCATACCGACATCGTAAGGACCCAAAGGCCTGGGAGGAAGAGCTGGCCAAGATTGATGCGGAGGGATTCCGCCCTCAGCTCATCTTCATCGACACGGGATTAGTAACAGAGCTCAATGCTGTGAATCGCGATAACTTCCTCGACCTTTTCCGTGCTGTTGCTGAGTTCGACGGATACAAGGCTGGTCATCTCATGTGCGAGCGCTGTCGTCAACCTGACGCTGTGCTAGATAAGGAGGTATTTGCACTCAAAATGCAGCACCTTGTCCTAAGTGTTAAGAGCCGTACTTTGGCCCTCGGCAATGTCAAGATTGGAGATATTCTCCAAGAGGTGCTTAGCATGGTCCGAAATCACCATGTCCGACTCGAGGGAGATTTCGTCAACGTCGTTATCAGCATTCTGCTTCTCGAGGGTATCGGTCGTAGCTTGAACCCCGATGTCGACCTACTTAGCAGCTCGTTGCCAATCCTTCGACAGCTTAGCGCACAAAGCGGTACCAATATGGCGAAGGCCGGAGATTTCTCTATGATCATGGTGTGGTTAGGCCTAGAGGCCAGGCGTTTCATGCAGGCCAGTATTGAAGACGTAAGTCCATCAAGTACTCATTCCAGCTATGCATGTACTGACATTAACCAGGTTGAACGATGTGTCAAGTACGATCAGCTTTCACCAAATATATAATTGTGTAGAGTCCTGTATTAGACTGGGATATCTGAAGCATGCAGCGCGGCATCGTTGGCGTTCGGATATGGTGGCTGTTAATTGGATTACAAGACGCATGCCTTGGAGTTGAAGAAAGAGATATAGATGTGTAGATCCACTCAAACAATATACAAACCCGATTCGTTTTAATAATTAGGAATAAATTCTGTAATAGGATTATTATAAAACATATTGTCATTATATGACGCTCTAAAAAGTGACGTCCTCGACTCATACCCTTCTATACCTATATGCTAACCAAGCACTTCCCATCCTTGATGCACCATACGCCCCTTTCCCTATAGTTACAAATATGTGGCCATGAACGCAGGTTTCTAATCCGTGCTGGCACTCAATTCTGCGGATTTCTCCCACAGGTTTCTAAGCAGAGTTGTCGTTCCATCCTCTTCCTCGCCGCCAACAAGGCTTGATCCGCTTAATCGATCTGTTAATCTACCGTCGTCGTCGTTACCGTCGTAGCTTGACGCTGCGCCGTTGGTGCGAATCGAGGTAGCACGCTTGGGTGTAACAGGCCGCGATCGAGCATCTGGCATACTGACATTACGAGTGTGCTGCCGCATCATGAGATCTCCAGATCGCTTGCCGTTTGTAGAGGCCGAGTAAGAGTGCGGGATGCGTAACGACTTTGCTACACCTGGGAGGTGGTTGAGGCGTTCGATTGAACGCGCGATAGGGTTCTGGTATCGTCGAACGACGAGATACTCCATACCGGTGCGCTCCAAGAGCTTGCCGACACGAGGGTCTCGACTGTTACCTCCGTCGTAACCAGGACCACCAACGCCAACAAGCGGCGTGTGGCCGACAACTCCCCCAACACCACCGACTGCCTGTCCAGGTTCGATCACAGAACTAGCTCGTTGCAAGTTAAGCTTCTGCTGCGTCCGTGATGTCTGGGCAGCGGGCGGCGCTGTGCGCCTGGCTGTCTTGGGTGCCAGAGCGCTATCGTCGACTTCTTCCTTTGGTGCACTCGTGGGTGGCTGCCGACGCTCGTCGAGATCGTCTTTCAAGCTAGTCACAGAACGAGCCTTGTGGGGAGTATCATCAAATCGACGAAATTCTCCTCGAGGGGCTCGATAAAAGGATCCGTCACTAGTCAATCCAGAACCAACTGCCTCGACAAATCGAGATGTCAATTCATCCGTGTTACTTCCTGCAAGAGTCCCCGACCCGAGGGCTTCAGCAGAGGCTGGTGCAAAGTGCCGCGGGGAAATCTGCGCTAGGTCGGCGCTCATCTGGGGCGGGGCTCCGTGAGATGGAGTGCGCTTTAGGATGCGGGATGTAAGATACTCCTTATGATGCGCCGTCTCTCGTTCTGGGCTCGTCGAATTTTGCTGTTCTGTTTGCTGTTCCCGTTCGGCCTGCTTGAAAGCGGCGATGTCGCTTGGTGTTACCGGTCTCGAGCGGTCGTCGGGGTGGACAGAGTGATTGCTGCTGTTAAGGGAGCCCTTGCGGGAGAGATACGGCGAGTTGGAACCACTGGCATCAACCCATTCGTCCTCCTCGTTGCCCAAATCGAAATGCACCTGCGACTTGCCGCCAGAGGTTTGAGGCTGATAGACAATTGTAGTACTCGAGGCGCGCTTGAGTTCTGCCGATCGCGTTCGCTTGCCGATTTCTGTATGTGAACGATTGCGCTTGAGCTTGGAGTGTGACGGGCTCTTGACAATCTTGGTATGAGAGGGGCTCTTGTTTAGTTTTGTACTCGAGGAATTCTTGGTCAGCTTTGTTTGTGACGCGCTCTTTGTGAGATTGCCGGAGGAAGAGTCGCGCGAGGAGAGCTTGGCGTCGCTGGCAGCTCGTCGATGGGAATTGGATGCTGCGGCGTTTCTATGCAGGATCTGCTGCTGTTCGATCTGATCGGGAGTGTCGGTATGTCTCCGGCTTAGCTTTGGCTGCTTGGGGGCTGTTTTGGAGCCAGGACCTCGGGCGTGATGGAGGTGGCCAACAGTGTGCTGTCGCTGGTGATGACGAACGTGTCGGCGATGTTGCTGGTGTTGGTGTTGGCTCTGTACGCCGCTGCTCTCGCTCTGGGTGTCGCTCTCCTGATGGTTGAGCGGAGGCCGTTTTGATTGGCCGCTCGTGGACGATGCGCTGTCCGCATCTCGGGTGTGAGGCATGGCTGTACTGTACTGTACTGGTCCTGCAGGGCAGGATGTAGATGTGGGAGGGTAGTATTAGGGCAGAGATGGTATATAATACACAACGTAAAGGTTGCGCGCAATTTCTCTCGGTAACGAATTGATCAGGTCAGTCCGAGTTGTAGAGAATTGGGAGTTTCGTTTCGCGACGGTGGTTTCCCCCTTTGTTTGTTTTTGTTTTTTGCGATTACAGTGTTATGTTCCTCCTGGCCGGACCGACGACCCGAGCATATAATATCATGAGCAAGTACTGTACTTGGAAAGGCGAATCGCAAGGGAGTTCCAGGATCGAGAATAAGAAACGTTGTAATGTAAGAAAAACAAATTCAACTCGTGTCGGATCGCGAATGGTATGGAGTACTGTAGTTCCGTTCCCGTAGCCGAATATGGAGCTCCCTTTAAGTGTAGGTCGGATTTGTACAGTCTCAGTCTAGGGCTCGCTTTCAGTGATGTCAATCTTCAATGGATCGACCAAGTAAAGAATCGGTGAGGTCGAAACTTGGTGGAGGGGCGGAGATAACCTCCGACGATCACTGAGAGAGAGTCTGGGGATGTCGATATGATGAGATATGAAGACAGATAGCCAAAAAGTAAAAGAAGGGAGGGAGAATGAAAAAATGCGATTGCGCAAAGGAGGAGAAACAACTTTTTGACGTAAAGTAGTGTCTAGTATGGATAGTCTAGGCGAGTAATTCTAGACCAAGACCCCAAACACAGACCAAGTAAAAAAGGCAAGGAAAGCCCCAGACGAAACGAAGGAGCAAACAAAATGGCGGAGATTGAAACTAGGAACTAGTGTTGCCGAGATGCTAGGACCAGCTTGTAATGGATTCAGAGAGGAAATCAAATGAAATGAAGCCTTTTTGTAAAAGAGACAAGTGAGATTCGTTGGTTCCGAAGAGGGGTGGAAGTTTAAGTTCTGTTCTCTGACAACACAGCAGAGCACTACCGTTCTATTAGTGACGATATACGCACAAATAAATTCAAGTTGAGTTGGAGCTAGTGGGTGAATGAGCGAGAGATGATTAGGTAGGTCGTCAATAAATGAGACTAGCGAGTGAACTTGTTGAGAGTGAGAGTGAGGACCAGCAAAGAGATGAGATGAGAGATCAACAGGAGATAACTGCAGTAGACATATGATAAGTTAACTTATTAACGACAACTGAGACGGAGCCGCAATCGGAACGTAAAAGGAATCTCCCTCTTTGGTAATCCGAGAAGAAACCACTTACGAAGCCTCACTGTGCCTGTGGAACTTTGTCACATAAAAAAAGAGACGAGTCACTCGTATAAAATTGGCTGGGCTGAGCTGAGCCGAACTCACAGATGCGTCACTTGTAATACAGAATGCATTAGTTCACGAACCATGGGCCGGGGCTCACGGACACGGCATCACTAATCACTAGTTGGGATAGCAAATGAACGATACCGAGCATGTCCTGGTTTTAGACTTTTGACTGTTGAGCCTGAGCCTGAGTCTGATCCCGGGCCGACTTTAGGCGTTCAGATAAACAGGTACTAAAGCTTGGGCGGGATTGGATATCAAGGTATATGAATATTAGTCGCCAGGTTGGGTGACAGAAGAATTATCTCTAAGCCTTAGGCTACTATAATAAAGTAGCCTAAGTGCTACACTAAGCTTCCGTAAAGTGACCAAATTGTTTCGTCTCTTATGCTTCTGGAGCCAATTCTTCTGATACCCTGAGGGTCAACAAGATACATGGAATCTTTAACGGAACTTTCATGTCGCCAATGCCGCGTGTCGTCAGGTTGTGCCAAACAGAGAGTTACCATCATGTGATTATATCGTTGTTTAACAACTGCATGTGTTAATATCAATCCCTACGTTAGGTGCGGATAGGCTATCTCTAAATTCTTTCTGCTGGGAAATTAAATCCGCCCGCATTAGGCTTCGTTGTTGAATACCAGCAACTGATCAGAGCACGAAACATTACAACCATACAGAGAGTCCTGCGTAACATAAAATCACTTGCGTATTATCAACAATTTGAATCCTTCCACACCCTTTTGCATCATTTCTTCTAGAAGCTTTCTTTGATGGCGGCGGGGATAAGCTGGGGTGCCTGGTGCGTGCGTGTTTGTTACAGTGCATACTTTGCACGTGACCTTTAACTTCAATCTTCATGTCAGTTCCATCGTCTGTGTATGTATTGGCAAACAATCAACATATCGCCGCCATCAAACATTTGCCAGACCTACGTCAACTCCAGATATTAGTTACTCCATCGCCGAACGCCCAAAATCACAGCAATCATGTCGTCCATCGCTGAAATCGAAGAGGAAAAGAAGGCCTACCAAGAACAAGTGCGATACCCATTCCCATTCCATTCCCATTCCCATTCTCGACGTTAGAATACATCATACTGACCAGTTTCTTTCCAGTTCGAAATCGTTCTTGGCCAGCTTCGCGACGACCCCGACAACGCCGAACTCAAAATTTTAAAGGACGAGTTGAATGGCTTCATCGATCTTCTCAATGAACAAATTGCTGAGCTCAAGCCTGCGCAAGCGCCAAAGCCCGCCCCAAAGCAGCCATCACCGCCACCCGAGCCCGAGAAGTGGTCGCGCGAGAACCACCCCGCCTTTAAGAAAGCAGCTCCGGCCGAGGAGAAGGAACCGGCTCCCGCGAGTTATCACGTCAACGACACCGTCCTAGCCAAGTGGGTTTCTGGCGACAAGGCTTTCTACCCAGCGCGCATTACCTCCATCACTGGATCCTCCTCGAATCCCATCTATGTCGTCAAGTTCAAGACCTACGATAATACAGAGACTTTGCAAGCCCGCGATATCCGACCCGTGTCCAACAAGCGGAAGGCGGATGGAACACCGACGACTTCAGCGCCCGCGACACCGCCTGCTCCTGGACTGGTTACCTCCGCAGGCGCGACGGTATATCCCGAGGCGAAGAAGGCAGCTGAAAACGATGGCGAGGTGAAGCCTCCTAAGCCAAAGAAAATCAAGGCTAAGAAGGAACTTGAAAAGAATAAGAATAAGTGGCAAGAATTCAGCGCAAAGTCCAAGTTTGGAAAGACTCAAAAGAAGGACAGCATGTTCCGCACTCCCGAAGGTGTCCATGGTAGAGGTATGCATCCCTTTCCATTAACTGATTGACAAACAAGATACTAACATTTGTTTCAGTTGGCTTCACAGGCTCCGGCCAAACAATGCGCAAAGACCCCACACGAAGCCGTCATATCTATCAAGTGAACGATGAGCTAGACTAATTACCATTCTCTCTTGGCAGGGTACTCGGTTCGACACGCAAAGGGCACGCGGGGGGCGTTTGGAAATTCCTGGACCTTTCTTCTTGTTTTGGTAACATGCCTTATTCAATCATTGCAGAGGCTAACGATTCATCTTTCTGGCGTTTATCCCAGTTCATCTTCTCTGATTCTAGTACTTAGGAGCGAGGAGGTTTCGACAGGCCAGAAGAGGTCAATCAAATAGCATTATATGAGCGCATCACGTCTTCCCCTTGGTTCGAGTGTTTTACTAAGTGAGCTGATAGGAACCGTTACTGTGCATAATCCATTGCTTTGTATATGGTGAGTCGACCTGGCTATTATTTGCTGCTCAGATCGATCTTTGGACAGATATCCTGCGCTATCTTAAGGAAGGCATTTGCCCTCTCACTCTCAGGTTCTGCCACTACTGTTGGCTTTCCTCTGTCCCCATCGTCTCCGATGTTGGGATGCAAGGGGATATCTCCCAAGAAGTCGATCTTGTGCTCTTGGCATAACTTCTCCACTCTCGCGTTGGAACCAAAGATGTTGGTCTCTCCGTGGCAGTGAGGGCATTGGAAAAGAGACATGTTCTGCACCACGCCAAGGATATTGACATCAACTGTCTTGAACATGTTGATGCCTTTAACAGCGTCTTTGGTGGCTAAGGTATGAGGCGTAGTTACGATGACGGAGCCTATTCTTTGTTAGTAGGAGTGATTTGTTGTATGTCGTAGACACGCACCGTCTAAAATGACTTGCTGTGTGATAGTCAACTGTGTATCTCCTGTGCCTGGTGGCAGATCCAGGACGAGAACGTCGAGACCACCCCATTCGACTTCATGGAGAAGTTGCTGGATGGCCTTCATAACCATGGGACCTCTCCATACAACTGGCGCATTCTCGCCAACAAGATAACCCATCGACATTGTCTTGACACCATAGTTTGTCAGGGGAATCAGTTGGTTATCTAGAAGATATTAGTGTATGTGCGAATACTCTACGACTGAATAACTGACTGTTTGATAACCTTGGCTCCCCTGAGAGGTCAAATAAGGTTGGGACCGATGGGCCAAAGATATCAGTATCTAGGATACCAGCGCGGAAGCCCAAACGGGCGAAAGCCAGGGAGAGGTTTGCTATACATAGATTAGAAAGGCTTCAAACATACAACATGTCTTCATCCGTTACCTGCAACTGTGCTTTTGCCTACACCACCTTTGGCAGATGATACAGCAATGACCTTTTCAACGCCAGTGATCTTGCGACGTACTGGACGTTTACCCCAGGTTGGAGGTGTTCCAGACCGAGGAAGGCCCTGTGATTTACTCAATGAGATTCAAGCTTCAGAGGCGTAGCATAGATCAGAGACCACTCACCAGCGGGTTCTCATGTTGAAGAGCTCTTAAGCTCTGAAAGAGCCGAGCCGTTGTTGGTCGCATCTTGAGCGCAATGAGACCAAGTACGTTATGACGTTATAAATAGCTCGACTTTCTGAGTTATAAATGGTTTGGTTCTATGGGTGTTAACAATGTGCAATGAATGAATATTTCAAGTTGTCTACCTATGTCAATAATACATGAGACTGACCAAATAAGGTGTCATGGAACTCATGCACAGTGAATGCTCCATGAACTCAAAGCTAGCGGGCTCTACAGGGCACCATCCACTAACGCTGAGCTGCGACAATTCTGCCATTTTCCACCGCCTAAAAGTTCAAGGTCGAATCTCAGAAAATTTCCAACGTGGGGGCTACTGTTGTTAGTGGAAGACCTTTGTAACATTCTACCAAAGAAAAAGTCAAATAACCAATTCACAATGGTTAAAGCAAAGGGTCGCGCGAAGAAATTCCAGGACGCCGACGAGCCTATCGCCAGGGGTATGTCGTAACTGATCCTTATTATACCGTGACATGCGTTCTAACCATTTCAAGATTACGATCCTGAGGCCAATGTCGAGGCGAGCGAGCAGGGCAGCGGAAGCGAAGATAGCGAGGACGAGAACGCCGGCACCGAGCACTATGTTTCCGTCGGAAAAAGTAAGCTGAGGAAGCAGGATGGCCTGTCGCTTGGTCCCCAGTACCGAGGTTCGCGCGTCTCGCGAGATGCTCTCGAAGAGAGCGCATCCGAGGAGGAGGAGGAGGACGACGACGATGAGGAAGAGGGCGATGAAGAATTTGACGACCCTGAGACCGCCGATCTTAAGCGCGACGAAGCTGAGGCCAACGACTCAGAGATTTCGAGCGATGATGCCCTAGGCGAGAGCGACGAGGAGCACTTCAAGGACTTTACTTTCCGCGGCAGTTCCAAGCCCAAAAAGCCTGCTTCCAAGAGAGCCACTGCCGCCGACTATATGTCATCTTCCGATAATGGCGAGGATGACGCTGGTGCAGAGCTTGAGGGCTCCGACTCTGAGGAAGACGACATGGATGATGGTCTGGACGCTCTTGTCGATGGCGAGGACTCCGAAGATGATGAAGAGGAGGAAGACGACGAAGAAGAGGGCTCTGGCGAGGACGGAGAGGATGACGAAGATGACAGCTCCAGCGATGAGGAGGACTCCAAGGCCAAGGCTCAAAACGCAAAGCCCATGATAGCAGCTCTGTCAACCCGACCTGACGTCGACAAGGGTCTTGCCATTCGCCAACAGCGCAAGGCCTACGATGGACTCCTGAACATTCGAATTCGTCTCCAAAAGGCCCTCATCGCCGCCAACACCTTCGAGACCCTCGACGCCAGCCCCGAGCCCGAATCGGAACCCTACGAGGCCGCTGAAGAGGCTGCCATCAAGCTCCTCAACACCATCAGCAGCCTCAAGGACAACTTCGGGCCCTCCCACGCTGGTGAGAAGCGCAAGCGCGAGTTGAATGTTTCCATGACTACAAACCAGATCTGGGAGCAGATGCAGGCAGAGGAGGAGAGAGCTATCAAATCTAGAGAGGATCGCTTGGAGAAGTGGTCTCGCAAGGTCCAATCTGTCAACGTCACGGCGCCAAAGGGTCTCGAGTCGCGAAACAAGACACTCATCAGCGCTCTCAAGGATCAACTTATCGACCCCGAAAACCGTCTCGCCAAGCGCTCTCGTACCCCTCGCTCATGCGCTCCCGCACAGGCTGCCAAGGGCATCTCAGAAGACAGCGACATTTACGACGACGCCGATTTCTACCAACTTCTCCTCAAGGAGCTTGTCGACCAGCGAACAGTGGAGGGCTCATCAGGAGCTGGCGCTGGCGAGGCCGTGCCCACAGTGGTTCTCACAGCAGCCAAGGATGTCAAGAACCGCAAGAACGTCGATCGCAAGGCAAGCAAGGGCCGCAAGATGCGCTTCACTGTCCACGAGAAGATGCAGAACTTCATGGCTCCCGAGGACCGACGTGCGTGGGAGCAAGGCGCTATTGACCGTTTCTTCGGCACACTGTTCGGTCGCAAGATGCAGCTCAACGAGAACGAGAGCGACGACGAGATGGAAGATGTTGAAGAGGCGGGACTTAGACTGTTCAGAAACTAGAAGGGAAACACATTTAAAAGTTGTAATTTGTAGATACACACACATCATAGACTTATTATCTAGGCATTGCCGAATAACCAAGTTCCAAGAAACATAGTCAACAGTACGATGTGAACACCCAAATGCACCACCGGTCCACCTAGCGTTTTTGTCGTTGAACCTTCTTCCTTTGTGTATCCATTCATGCGCATGTAAGCGCGATAGCAAGGCCAGATATGCCAGAATGCAAAAGCGAGAGCGACATGGCGCGCAACGTCGTCCAAAGGCCGACGAATAAAGACCAGAGCGATGAGATTTGTAGCGAGTAAGAGACCACCAAAAGATTGAACAATTAGAGCCGCGGATGGAGGAAGAGGTTGTAGTTGAGAGGATGGTTTGAAGATGAATGTGAAGGCCGCGGGTGTTTCGATGAGGGCGTGTGCGACGAACGGAGCCGTTGCTGCAGATACCATTGTGAAGACCATGAGCTGTTGAGGGATTTAAAAGTAATTGCTCTGGTGTTGATGTCTATTGAGGTGAATGGAAGTTCAAGATACTTGGATGTGCTGTTTATTCAATTGGGTGACTTAGTAAGCTCGGTCTGCTTACCTACCCACCGTGATGATGAGAAGGATCGAACAGACGGGAAATTCTGTACCTCGACGAAGCTCATTCCTCTATAGTTGGTCGATTCTGTTTAACTTTTGGAAGGTTTTGTAATTCTCACCGCGCCATATTCACAGTCTTCTTGTTGCTACTGCTGGCGGATCATATCAAAAAGATTCTTTCGAGAAATCTAGTCACTTATTAAAATTATACTAGGTTCTAATATAGACGTCCTTCAACATCTTTCGATAGATCATCAATACATCTCCTTAAATTGTGCGAAGACGGTGCCATCGAGTCCATACATGCCACTCTGCGGGTCAGATACCTCCGGGTTCGAGGTTTGTCCTTGGCCCTGCCCTTGGCCTTCGTTCTCGTTGTACTGGAAGCCGTTCAAACCCACATAGCCCTCAAACATACGAGACATCTCAGCCTGGATACGCGATCCGTTCTGAGCCACCGAGTCTGATGTTGATGAAGACTGTTGGCCTGGCACTGAGGGCTTGCGGAAGCCCTGCTGTTGATCCATATGACCTCGTGCGAGTCCTATCATCCCTAACGCAGCTGTCGACTGAGGATCATCTTCGGGGTTCAGTCCGAAACGTGGTGCCACATCTTTGAGCGAGCGGATTGTCCTCCATAGCCTCTGTGATGCCCAACTCTTGGCAGATAGGTCCTTGACTAGTTCCAGGGCCATATAGAATTCTTCGCGACAATTAGAACTGAAGCGTACCGGAGCATGGACGGACGCGAGGAAGACGACGGCAATGGCTGATGTAAGAAATTGGTGATAAAAGACCTGCACACGCCTGTACAGGTTGGTCGTGTTATTTAAATGGCTGAGGTAGCGGATGGTGTCTTTTGCAATGTCGACAACGCGCTCTGACTGCGCAGGGTGCGCCATGATGCTTGTAGCGCTATGCAGGACAGGTGTGTAAAGCCAGATTCGCATCTAAAGATTGTCAGTTTGTCTGTGACCAGATTCCTTTTCAGGGTACTCACTTGATTCAAACGCAAATATGTCCAGATTCGCAACCGTTGGAGATTATAGGATGGCGTTGAGGTAATGTGCTTCTCTTTGTCCCAGTTGCGGACTTTAACCTCTTCGGGAATCTGCTCATACCACTGCAGCAGCTCTTGGTCAACGTTTTCCAGCTCCTCGGACCTTACATCACGGGCAAGGATTGGACCGAAATGAGCGACCTGCCGCCACACCTTTGCGCCTATACGGGAGTAGGTGATCATGGCGACGAGGTATGGGTATTCCTCCTATTATCTGATTAGTCAAGTTGATCTGCGTACCATGGAATCAATACTTACAGGGAACGGGAGCTGTGAATCAATCTCCTCATCTTGAACGACGAAAGGAAGTCCGGTTGCAAAAGCCCACCTTCTGTCTAGGACATAGGCTGACCAGAAGCTAACCAGAGCATTCTTTCGCTCCTCTTCATCCTGGATCCTCATCAGACCCGTTCTCTGATGGATACCAAGCTCCAAGCATAACCTGGCAACGTGACCCATAACGCGCCACGCCAGAATTTCGTCGTTGGACAGGAATCGGTAGCCAGCGACAAGGGCCAATATTGGTAGCGTTCCGACATCAGCAGCTTCAGCCATGAGCTTTCGGTTAAGTACTGTCTCCATGCTGTCGAACAAGCGAATTGCCTTATCGCTATGTCCGTGGTCTTCTACCACTAGCGCACAGCACATGATAATCTTAAGTTGTAGAGTTTTGTCGTCATTGATAAGCTCTCGGGGATTTTGTTGTCGGACTGATTCGAGATAAGTCGATAGACCCTTGGCATGAGATATGACAGTTTGGATATTCAGCACCGGATACATGATGCCGATCTCTTCCTCGTGCAAGCGGCACAGACGGACCATCTCGTCCTTATCGAATTCGTGGAGGGGATCTCCTGGGCGTGAGGACATCGTGCCCGCTCCTTCATTCATATGTACGTTCTCTTCGTCAGAGATACCCTTGTACCCCATGTTGTTGATGGTGTTGTTGGCAACATCCAGACTAAAGGCCATGCTCGTAGGGCCACGGAAAGAACCATACTTTGAACCATCATTACGATTGAACGAAGCGGAGCTATGGGACGGTGAAGGCGCAATTGTTGGCGTGCCATGACCATGTGACATTACTCGATCGCCACCCGAAGAGAAACGTGCAGGTTCGGTCTGCATGGTCTTGACTGTCTGGTGCAGCCAACCAACCTCTTCTTGAAGCCGGCCAAGCTGCGCTGTCATCTGCTTGAACTCGTCTGATTCTTTGAAGTTTCCGGAACAGCAGTTGGGCGCATACAGGCAAGCGAGGTTGAGGTTGCCGCACCGCTGGCATGGAGTTTCACCGTTGCATTTTATCTTGCGTCTCTTACATTCGTTGCTGCGACATGTTAGCTGGATCCGCCGGGTTAGGGTTGATGATGAAGAGGGTGCGCCATTGTGTGTTACATGCCAACGACGACAATGGATAGATATAGCAAGGAGAGTGTACTGACCATGCTATTGATATATACTATCATTGAGAAAATTGTATGTTAGCCAAGTGAACTCGCATGACACATGTAGAAGGGGTTTGATGCGTTAGGAGTAGGGACAGAGGGGAGGACTAGAGGTGTTGGTGACCCAGCAGCTTGGGTCCGATTATGTTGTGTAACGAGAAAGCCGAGATGTTTGACGCTTAGAAGCCTTATCATGTTTCGATAGGCGAATATCGCCAAGTCACGCGCTGCTGAGAAAGATCCTCATTGATCGTCTTGACCCTCGTCTCATATTTCGGAAACGACACCTCTTATCTCACCCCTTGTCCCATTCGATCTCATTTCTTTGACATCACGACGACCTAGGGCGGGAGGATAAACATAGCAAATGGGCAGGACTCACTCTGTTTCTTTTACTTCTTGTTTGCTTCCCATTATTTCCTTGTCCATCATCTGTTGACTTCCTCTTATTGGCATTGGACACACTCGCACCGTGGGCGGAATTGTCCCCGACAGAGGCGGAACTTGGGCTTGGTTGATTCTCGTAAGCAACAGCTGCACCCGCAGATGCTCCTACGGCGCTTCCGGGGGTCCGGGCAGGAGTTCCACCTCGTCCGGCGCCGGAACCGGGGCCGAGAGACGGGCTTGAAGTAGGATTCAAAACCGGTACTTGGGTAAGGAATCGCAAGTCGCTTGCTTGTGTCTCAATCTGCTCCATTGCGCCAAAATGGCCATTGACTGGGGCGGGATTTCCGGCAAGGGGCGATTGAGGATGTGAATGATGAGAGAAAAGTATCTGCTGATTGTGTAAGGGGAGTTGAATGTGGTGTGTGATTGGTGTCTGAGGATGAGTATAAGCCTGAGACTGAAGGTGCGTTTGAGGATGAGAATGAGGGTGGATGTGATTGTGAGCGCGAACTGCTAATGGTGACGCGAATTGGGCGAAAGGTATCGAATCTGGGGCTACAGCAACTGGGCCTAGTCCTTGGCCTTGACCTTGGCCCCGTACGGCTGGTACGGCTGGAACTTGCACCGGGCGCTGAGAACTGCGCCTACGCCAACGCCAGGTGCCACCTTGACCGTCGTTATTGCCAGGATAATGATGGCCTAGAGGTGATCCCACGTGACCCGAATATTCCGCAATGGAAGGAGCGGAACCCACACTCCGACCCTGGAAATCATCGGCTTCAACAACTTGAACTCCGCCGTCGTCAACATCCCCTTCCATCACTCCAAAGACGGAATAATAGTCGTCCACTTCAGTCTTCATTCAATAGACCTTTCAATTGACTTTTTCCGTTGAATGTTTCTTTCCTTCTCGATGACACGACGCCAAGCTCGAGGCGCTGCCGGTAAAGGAAATCTCAGCCGCAGCCAACCATAAGCGGCTGTCTCCTCTTACACGATCCGGATCCGCAGGTATTGACTCAAGTGTCGGAGCCGAGTCCAAAGCAATACAAGCCAGTTCAACAAGCAATCAAGCTTGTGACACAATGGCCTCGGTGCCAAAATCCCAGCCGTTTGGTATTGTCTGATAGTCGACTGGCTGACAAATAACGCTTGAGTTCCGGCTATGTCGATGTCGTTGTGATGCTTATGCAGCTCTCCCGTGGTGAACTTGTCGATAACGCACTTGGTCGTTGGGGAATGGCGTCGTCAAATATTCAGTCGATATCGAGAAATGAACCAAGTTTTCGCATACAATTCTTCGACGTTCTTCGTTTGCGATTTTCCAATGTCGTGGTTAAGCATACTCTTTAGCCACGACCACTCAGGGGATTTCCGGGGATTTCCTTCAACTTAAACAACTGCACCAGCGCTGAACTGTTCGACTATCAACTCTTCAAAGCGCCCAGCCCTTGTTCTCTGCCTTACGTGTGGAGATAGCATACACCCTCTAGTTCCCCTGGAACGCCGTCGTCCTATCATGCCGCACGCCTAGCCTCGTAGTCACAGTCTTCATATCCTCTGGGCGGAGTCCCCTCAGCTGTGCGCTGCTGGTTTCCTCAATTGGCATCATACCCTAGCTGCCTGACCAGACGTCAACTATGTAGCGCGGTCTCGAAGCGAGCGGTCCGGTATCGCACACTACACTACTTTGAATACCTTCGCCTAAGGTTACAAAACGCTTGGTACCACCCCCGCCATTGCATACATCACGCATTCGAAAGAAAGGGGTGAAACTATCTTGTAACCTCACCGGCTTAAAGCCTCGATGATCCAGTGTACGGGGAATTATATGTTTCTGGATAGCGTCGACACGGACGGATGTACGCCACGATATGTATGTAAACCTCGCTTCTCGAAAGAAAAAATCAAGCCGCTTTCCCCACGGCTGGATCATCAGAAGCCATTCTGCGCGCCGTGCACAAGAGTTTAAACCCACGAAACCATCTTCACCTCTCATACGACTTGAGCTCGGCTCGTATCAGAAGATAGTCGTGCCGCCGTCGATTATCTGCGGGAAACCTCATTAGCTACCATGCTAGTGCGAGTGGGGACCACGTTGTCAAATCTGCAAGCCACAGGGTTGCTTCTCCAGACGAGTTCCTGTTTCGGGACTATCGCTTCTTCCACTTGTCTTTGATTGGATCCAATAACGTTTCGGCAGCTGTTGGGCTCCAAGTTGCCTTGGAACTCAATGGGTTATCCCATGACTAGTTGAAGCCTCAACCTGCTTCTTGGGTCCAATCCCTATAAAGGCATGTTTCAGGGACACGGACACACAGCCAGATGGTCAGAGAGCCCTAGCCTTGTCGATGCCACGAGGTGGTTGATCACTTTACCCACTTAGCAAATTTAAGCTGAGAACACTATGGGGCAGGATCCACTCAGAGGTTCGCAACTCCTACGGCAAGCCCCATCACTCTCTGTACCGGTTATATGGCTTCCTCCACGGCAGCTAGTTCATTTCCACTAGGTTACCTGTCACGATGTCACTCTGATTAAGTTCTGCACTGATCCTGAAACCTCGGCATGAGCCATCAAACCTGGCATATCACTCAACGTCAAAAGTGATCTGATAGATTGTGCTTAAACCCATCGACATGGGACGAAGTGAGAAAGCTCAAAAACGTGTCTGAGGAATATTCCCTACTGGCTAGCGTGTCTATCTTATTGCCGAGCACTCCACTAGCCTCGGCATCTGAGATGAAGATGCGGATGCGGTACACCTCCATCAATGCACATTCCAGCCTCGAAACCACTCGCTTGGGCGATCTCGTTCACGTCAGAGTGGTCGGTTCTCGGCAAGCTACTTTTCATGAGTCATACGGATATCTTCGTACCACGCCTCAGTCTGGCTGGGTAAAGTCTAAGCTGGGGAGTCCACTTCAGTACTGTAACTATTATGTACAAGGACGTTGGATAATCTAAGGTATGTTGTTGTCATTCACGCCTTTTGCCCTACAGGACCCCTCTTGCCTTTCCCCTTGCATGGGACCAACGCTTGTGGTTTCAACCCTGGTTTGCCTACATTCTAGCCGTTGGCGTGAAAGTGAGGGCGCGACAAGCATACATCATGAACTGCCAAGCGATCTTAAAGACAACCCAGTCGATATTGCGATCAGACCGCTCGACTATCACTAAACCTTTTTGAGCCAATTATAAGCCAGTATATGAGAGTCGGCTACTATATTGCTTTTGTCCAGTCCCTGGGTATCGATATATTGGAATAGAGACAAGATGAAATTGGTCTGATCATATCAGCGACCAGCTTCATCCTCGTTCGAAACTTCAGACATACCCCATGTCGGTGAACCACGAACTGAGGCACGGTCATAAGGTTTCATCTCGCTCTCCAAAAACGAAAAGCGGATCTGGCTCAAATCGGCAATGTATTCGGCAGCGACTGACACATCGCGAAAGATTTCTTGGCAACTCAGCGAGCTGGGGTCACAGTACACCTATCAACAGGTCTCTGGATATTTGCTTGTCGCCAGACGTATGTCCTACGGATGTTGTTACCCGTCCTTCTCGAGGAGTGCAGTTACAATACTAGTCCCAGTTAAACAACATCATGGCTGTCAATGCAAATTCCAGGGCTCGAGCGATAGACGAGAAGGTCGTAGCCCTTGGAACAGACGTACAAACGTACCTGGCATTATTATCTACCAAACTGTATTATTTGGGTCGGGTTTGAATACTATGGTCCGGTCCACTAAGCTGTCCCGCAACTGGGACAAGCCACCACGTTTTTGTGCTCTATTCTAATCCAGATCTAGAGACTCTAACGACTCAGCAATAAACTTGGTGTACTGATCTTGCGACTCAGATACAGAGTTCCGTTCGGCCGGCGACCCGCTGTTCTCGGTGCCCCATTCGCCCCCGTCTCCGGCCTCACTTGGCTCCGTCTCGGTTTCGGCCGGTGTTTCCGGCGGTGTTTGCAGGCCGGTAATATCCGTTCTAGGAGTCATGTTTCTCTTCAACATACACATCTCAACTGTTATACCAGGACCAAAAGCACATCCCACAACGTAGTCGCGAACCCGGCCATCCGGCGCCATGGCATTCATCTCTTTTGACCGCAAACGATCCATGACGCTGAAGATTGTGGCAGAACTCGAGTTCCCGTGGTTGATGTAAGTGTCATAGCTTGCTCGCTGATGTTCTGGAGTGATGTCCATGACTTTCTCGGCACCAGAGAGGATGGTAGCACCGCCGGGGTGCATGGCCCAGTCGAAATCCGCTGCTTTTTGGTAGTCCGGAGGCAGTTGCGGTAAAGAAGCTTTGAGATCTGTGAAAGCTGGACCGATCGAGGCAGCAGTGAGCTTCGGCACGCGAGGTGTCAGTATAACCTTCCAGCCTGTACGGAGATATCATTGTCAGTATTTCATTTCGACCAGTTGGAAGGGCCGGAGCTTACCGACTGGGTCAACGTCAAAGCCCAGATCGTCCTCTGTGTCAGGGATGGTCCTGTGATCCCAGCCGAGCAGATCATACACAGGTTCAGAAGGCTCACCGATGCCGTTGCTCAATACGACGGCACTACCACAATCAGAAAATAGGCATGCGCCTATCCTTGTCTCCTGCAGCTCGTTGATGCTGTCTAGCTCACTGCGCACCATAGTGGTGCTGACTTCTAGTGCTACACATAGAACTCGGGCCGGCAGTCCCCGTGCTTTATGTCCCAGAGCCAGATTCGCGCCTGTTCGAAGCGTCGCCAGACCTCCACTGCAGCCCACGCCATGCAACAAGACCTTCTCGACGCCGTGAGTTATGCCCAGACCTTTTGCGACAAAGTGATCGAACCCCGGGTTTGCGCTGTCGGTACATGTTGTGGCGACTATGTGTGTGATGAATCGCGTATCGATCTTGGCCTCATCGATAGCCTTGCGAGCAGCTCTAATTGCGAGTGGGACACCGTCAGATTGGAATATGCTGTGGAGCTCAGCTATTGACGGGGCTTCTTTCTTGTTCACAGCAGGGTGGTCTGGTGTTCCAATAGACGATCGTGTATCAATTCCAGTATATCTGTTGATTCCGAGAACTTTCTTCATACTATCATGATCTCGTTAGCTATTGACACGGTTACAGTCCAGGAATATGCTTACGCAGGTGTATCAGGATAGAACTTGTCGCCGAGAGTATTGAGGCAAGTGTAATCTAACGAATGAGGCGGATATTCAGCGCTCAGGCCGATAATGGAGAGGCCCAGCTCTCCAAACGCGCTTGGAGCTGCCATGGTTGAAGCTTTTCGTGAAATTTGTGGCGTTTTCTATCCCCAACGTTTTGTTGAGGTTGAGATGGAATGAATACACAGCGATTGAGCGTTGCAACGTTATCTCCAGTATGATCAGACGAAATACTGACTCAATTGAATTGTTTCGACCCGAGGCAAAACAATGTCGTTGACGTGTGTAATCGCTAATATCCGTTATCTCGTTCGTCTTGTCCGCGTGAGCTTAATCGATGACGCTATCTTGATGCCAGAGCTAGGGGGTAGCTGCAGGTTGAATGCAGGGGTGAGGAAAGAGTGGAAGAGGGGAAATATAAGATGGTGATGTGTGTTTGTATATGGAGTATTCGTATTGAGGAAGAGGGAGAAGGTAGGATATTGATGTGTAAGGAGGATGGATTTGTTTACGCGACGGGAGGTAACCCAGAGAGTAGGTAGGCATGTAACAGTACTGTCTCGGGTATTGTTTGGAGGGGTTGACGTTGACGAGGGGCTATTATGCGATGATATGCTTGGACCAAGACATATGCAAACATTCAATAGACACGACATGAGCTGCCTATTCTGTCTTCTAGACATGGCAGCTTAAAGTTTCGCTTGTCTGTTCTGGGCAATTATTGATATTTAGCATATATACGCATTCAGCTGACGCAATCCAAGCTTCTATACAGTCGTAAGGACAGCTTTAATCGCAAGCGAGGAAATCTAGTCTAGAACTATCTTGTGATAACTTCCATTAAATCTGTGAAACTAATGCTGAAACCTCGTTGGTTCGCCCCTGGCTAAGAGATGTTTTGGTGGCCCTCGGTTGCAACGTCATCCCGCTGAGGTGGTGGGCTTATGTCAATCACACCGACGGAGGGATTGATACTCTAGCTCAGGCTGACATGGAGGTCTCTTTGCATCTTTTAGCTGCTGTGATGCTAATTTGTCAATTGTGTAAAGGTTGCCATACTTTGTCGCTAACGAATACGAGGAGCGATAACACCAGAGACATCATCGCATTAGTTGCGAATACGTCTCGTACTGTATCACAAATACTAACGGATATTTTCTGGATGAGAAACTTTTATACAGAAGCCAATTGTTGACTGTCTGGAAAGTCAATGAAACAAACAAGTTTCTTTCATTCAATGGGTCGATTTGAGGTTACATCATGATCTCGTACGTTTCGAGCAGGTGATACTGCAACAACTTCGACCTTGCAACCAAACACCATCATCGAGCCGATCATGGCCCTGCTCAGCCTCAACCTTCGAGATGGATTCATATTGGCAGTTGTGGCGATCATTTTCCTGTACATCTGGGAGAAGAAAACACTAAAAATCACTCGCAATGGCGAGGCTCTTAGGTTTGTCACAACTTACCCTATGCTCGCACCATCTCAAGTTGGCCAACATATACTAACCACCAAGCAGAAAACCACCAAACACGCTCCCACTCGTAGGAAATGGAATCATATTCCTTCAACCTCGTCAAAAGCTCTTTTCGTGGTTTCACCGCTGTGAGCGTCTTTACGGTTATGAGACCCTTCATATCACGGTCCCCTCTTTACCACCAGGTGTAATCGTCAACGACCCGCAGAATCTGGACTTCATCTTCCGCAACGAGGGCGTTTTTGAGAAGGGTGATTTCTTTAAGCAACGCTCCTGGGATCTTTTCGGTCATGGTATCATCAATGTTGACGGCGAGTTCTGGCGGCTTCAGCGTAAGGCGGGATTACGATTCTTGTCTGCAGCAGCGTTGAAGACTTTGACGAACGAGAGGTTACCTGAATATTTGGAACAGGCTATATGTGTTCTAAAAGCGAAGGAAGGCGGAGGAGAAGTGGTGGATTTGCAAGCTGTGGTCCATGAAGTGACAACACAATTGATGGGACGCATGGCGTATAACATGGAGATGCACGCCGATGATGATTTCACGGTTGCCTTTGAGCATGCTTCGGGGGCTACTGCAGAGAGATTCCAGAACCCTCTCTGGTTTCTTACTGAGATGCTCACCGGAGCACGAATGCGACGCTCAATCGCAATCGTGAAGGCATACGGGAAACGCATAGTTACGAGCGCTGTCGCTGATCGCAAGGCAGTGGAAGGCAAGACTCAATCGGACGCACCAGGAAGTCTCATACAGTCTCTACTCGATTCTATCGGGGACGAGACTCTTGTGGCAGATGCAGCCCTGAACTACCTCTCAGCAGGAAGAGATACAGTCGCACAAGCTCTGACATGGACTCTATATCTTCTCATGAAGCACCCCCAAGTGGCGACCAAGCTCCGCGAATCGGTCGAGAGCCTCCGAGATGAAGACGGTACCAAAACCGACGATCCTGAACTTCTCACACCAGTACGATTACCATACGTCCTAGCCGTCTTCTACGAGTCACTTCGCCTTCGACCTCCCATCCCTTTCGAAATCAAGCAAGCCCAACAAGCAACCACCCTTCCCGATGGGACATTCCTACCAGCTGGTGCAATCGTGGTCTGGTGCGCCTGGGCAATGGGCCGTTCGCATACGACATGGGGCTCTGATGCAGATGAGTTCCGCCCGGAGCGTTGGTTGACAACATCATCATCTGGAGGTGTGACCGTTGCTCAGCGTCCAGCGTCTGAGTTCCCTGTCTTTAACGGCGGACCGCGAGTGTGCCTGGGAAAGAAGATGGCAGAGTTAGTTGCGGTACAGACACTGGCAAGACTAGTGCCTCTGTTCGATTTTGCACCTGCTTTCAAGGGTGAAAGAGTGAGCAAGAGTAGCTTGACTCTGCCAATGGAGGGAGGTTTGCCTGTATATGTGCAGCATCGAGAATCCCCATCTGTATCATAACGAGCACCATCACTCTATATAACCAAACTTTTATTGACTCCTGGTATCGCTATGCTTTGTGTACGCCTAGTCAAAAGTAATCTTTGATCCTGCAAACGCCGCCGTCTTCTCCGCATCCTTGGCCTGCTTCCTCGCCGCCCAACTAGGATGTAGCGGTCCCTCATCGTCCTTCTTCGGCGGCGGCCTGTTCACCTCAGGCTTGCTCTCTACCCTCGCACCACCAGAGAGAGGGTTGCGAATGCCCTTCTTCCAAGGTGTTCGCGGGCCATCTTCTGGTCCTACAGCACCGCGCTTGCCATCCCAGCCAGAATCACGACCGCGCTTTGTTTCCCAAGCTGGTTTTTGCAAGTGCTTGGCCTTGTTACCGTACTTCTTCTCTGCGATGGCCTGTCGTTGTTTCTGACCGAGTCGCTTCTTGGGAGGCGCGACATCAATATCGGACGCAGACTCAGAGCCTGAGATGTAACCGCCCATGAGTGAAGGTAGGAATGTCGAGCCCCTAACAGTGGCGGGTGCTGCTGCCTTGGCCTTTTTCTTCTTGGCTGGGGGTGGTGAAGGAGATGCGGACACCGACATCTCTTCTTGAGCGTCGGATTCTGATTCTGATTCGGAGCCAAGGTCGGGTGCTGCGTCTGAACCGGAAACGGAGATATCGTCGAGGTTAACCTGTTCCTTGCCCTTGAACTGCGCATACTTCTTCATGAAGTCTTCGTCATCCTCTGAGCCTGATGATCCGCCTAGTAGATGATCGTATTTCGACAGAGATTTCTCTTCGTTCGCTGCATCGTCGCTATCGATATCTTCGGGTTCTTGAACAGGATCATCATTATCCGAGAAACCTCCCCATTCCGACTCTTCCTCATCCTCTTCTTCCTTCTCAATCGATGCGCGCACGTCTTCCTTAGCACTCTTCGCCTCTGCCTTGGGTTCCTCTTCTATCCTGTCTGACGGCTGCTCCTCTTTCTCTTCCTTCTTGTTCTTTCGCACGCGCTTCGCCTTTCCAGGCAGAGGGACGTCGAGGGCTTGGCAGAATGTAGCGATGGCGCGGGTGATGGCTTGCTTGACGAGCTCGCGATTGTACAGTCCACTTGTGACATTGTGTAGGGCAGTTTGTTCGTCGGGTGTGAGTTCGGGTTTGGGGACGCCGGTGCGAACCTCTTCGGGCAGGCTGGGTGATGCAGCGAGGTCCTTGACTTTAAGAATCGACGAGTACAGGTGAGCGCGGGCGGTTTGATGAAGATCGAGCGACTAGTAGACTCCAAGTCAGAAAATATCCAATTAAAAAACCAAAATGAGGAATTGTTACCTTCAGGACGGTCACCTCTCGTTCCAATCTTTCCTTCTTCGCAGGCTCGACTCCATCTTCGTGAAGTCTCTTGCTGTATCGCTGACGCTCCAGACCCTTTGCGGCTTTGAGAGCCTTTGAAACGTCATTGCAGCTCTTCTCGAGCTTCTCTCCCAGATTGGGTTCTCCGCGCTTTCGTTTGGGCATGGTTGGGTCTTTTTATGTTGGTTGGTGGTCACTTTCGCTGTGTCGCAAAAAGTTCTAAATCGGAGCCGCGACAAAACTTACTTACAGTGTGAAGGATAAGACGATAACAGTACATTACGGGCGGATAGAGTTGAATAGTACGGTGCGAATTCCTGCACTAGCTTCATTCACATGGTGATGGTGGGGTTCACTCTAAATGCCCGCGTATCAACTTACATAAATTAATTCTTGTGAAGACTATGGTCTGAATGCTCTGTAGCGACTTAGCATTTCTTTAAAGAATACTCAATTAGGCATGAGAGACGTGTTTCTACTCCGTAAGCTACAGCACCAAGTCGTCAATGCACAAACATTCAGATACATGTCTAAGTCATTAAGCTGGTCAGCTCAACCACAACGTTCATCTAGGTACCTATCGTGAAGTGCCATGAGATAATGAGTCCAAAGCTTCTATAAGTAAGTCTATATTTATCGAGCCTTTTCACTGAGTAGACATACCCTCGGATATCGACCGAGTCTAACTCTTTAAGAACATAAATGTTTTTTTTCTTGATATAAGGCCCGGACGCTCTTAATACCCGACGTCATATAAAATTAATTGTATGCCCTCAAAATACCCGCGGCAGTGCTCGGTAATAGTATTTCAAATAGCTCAAAATGTTGATGACCGACTTCTTGGCGGTGTATTCATCTTCCGTGAGTCTTTGATGCACGTTGCTACATCTCGTAATCCGAAAGGCTCTCGACCAAGCTCGGGTCGATTAGTTGCCGATTAGTTACCGCGGACAAGCTACCATGATATAAAACATCAATCAAATATGTAAGACGTCGTTGGATAGTGTGGATCTAGACGGCAGGATCGCTAACAAGGGAACATAAAAAAGAGTGCATTCCCGCAACTTGAAGTCCGGAGACCCACTGGTTGGTGTTGAGAGGCCAAGAGGCTGAAAAGCATGGGTCAGCATTGAGAGAATGTTTCGGTTGAGTTAGAGAAAAAAAGTCAACTTCATGATTTGTTGTAGAGCCAGGGTTTTCGCACATCGAAAGCCGGTGCTTATAGCCAATCCTTTAGCATCATGTTATCTGGGACAAGCGCAAGGGATGCGACGTCGCGAACTTTACATTTCCGATTAGACAGACAATATGACCTTTTCAGGAGAGGCATAAGTCTTGGCTTACTCGCGACGTAATGAGTTACCAGGTTCTCCGGTCAAAACCGGCTGTGTTGGGGAGAGAGGTTTTAAGAGTACCTTAGAACAAGACATCATGATGGTGGAGTGCTTTTAGGGGTCTATGAAGTGACATGATTGGGGAATGAATATGAGTGTCTACGAGATGACTTTACCCAGTGTCATGAAGCGTCGGTAACCGTTCTTTGCCGTATCATGGCATAGCAAAATATGGTGAGTGTTTTGGGACAGCCCCCAAACACTCTAAACTGTCGTTATCATGATACCTCAACGTTTATCCACCGACCTGTCCCCAAAGTCAAATGGACTCTTCCTCAGATTCCCATGTGAACAGGCATTCAGGACCGAAAATACCGGTGAAAGTGAGACTATGCGAGGTTTGAGGCGCGGTGACGAGCAATGTTGTTGTAAGCAGGAATCTCGCGATTTTGGGGTCAACTGCTAGGGCTGAGGCTCTTTGGGGGTTGGGGTTCCATCATGAGAACACCATGTCTCAACTCCAACTTTTCTTCACTATTGGAGACAACGGACCAAGAATACTGCACTTTTGTTGAAGCCCCAACCCAATTCACATGCTTTTCGTATTATTAGGTATGATAAGATACGTAGCAATGGAAGCTAGCGGTCTGCTTATCGGTATTTGCGACTCCGAAGATTGGTTGCTCCTCGGAACATACTTCCTCGGACCCTGCACCGGACATGTAACAGCGCATATCAAACATGGAATTTTCTAACTCACGCCTTTCTTTCTAGAGACACCACCAGACAGGGTATCTTAGGTTGAGGCTCAGTTTCAAGGTAACCATAATGCCGATAAGTATCTCATTGTTGAGCGTTTACAGCATGTTGCAGATTACGTTAGAATAAACGGGCCGTTACAACTGCCAGGATATCTCTTGTTGAGAAAGTCGCGGCTGGCTGTTAGAGACAGTTTACATGTGAAAAAGGCTTGTCTGAAGTTAGGATGCAAGACAACTTGTGACCATGATACAGTGTCTCGATCAAATTCAACAAGTTATGTTCCTCGGATTCGGTTCCACAAAGCCCTTGGAAATGGCGTCGATACTACTCGGTAACCTCATCCTCTGAGGTTTCCATGTAATAACCGAGGATATTAAGAACGAACGGACCAGTGTTGCGGCTTTAATGTGACAGTGGTTTCTGATTTAGACGCCGGTGAAGAACAATATTTACGCATCCTTGCATCATTCAGGACTTCAATGTCCTAGTCTCAGACGACCCTTGTTGATTCCTGATGACGATTGACCGGGGGTGAGACGGGAATTGGAACAGGCTAGTCGGGAATTAGGCGCATCAACTGTCTTGTTTGAGAACTAAATGGTTTCGATATGCAAGTTTGATACTTCTTTCATGATGCTCAAGTATTTCAATCTGTATTAAGAGCACACAACAGTTGCAATATCTAGGTATAAATAGAGTTAGCAGTTGACGGAGACAAGATAGACTCTGTGGAGCTGAGATTCGGTAGCTGTAGTGGAGTCCTTGTTCGGTTCGGCAGTGTTTGACGCCTGTATCCACCAACATCCACTGCGAGCCGCGCTGACGGTTCAGTTGTTGAGTGTCGAAGACGAAGTGCTATGGTTTTGATTGTATTCCAGCCTTCCAGGGAACAAATAGAAGCAATCGTCCGAGAAGCGCCGATACATATCAGATCTTTATTGGTCAGGATTGTATTGAATGCTCAACGGGCCTTTTCAAGGAAACTCGGTCCTGAACTGCGGCGGCATAAGCGGCGGTAGTCATTCCATATATAGGGATTCCATCTGAATTGAGCTCACAAACAACTGTTTCTACCCTCATTCTACCAAGATATTACCCTTTCTGTTCAAAGTGCTAACACTTCATCCTTTCGTCAGGCTAGTATCAACATCTGATGTTGATATCATAAATGCAACCAATAAGATAGCTCCCGTTTATTACCGTCTGTTGCGTCATTGCTGGAGTTTCATTCCACCACTCCCATCAACAGAACAGCACTTTTGAGACGAAAGCCTAGACCTTGGCTACATGTGACTGTACTTCTCCACGTCTGGCGTTGCTGCAGCTGCAGCCACAGAGGACGCTTAATTGCTTATGGTCAAGGCCAGCCCCTCACTTGCAGCGTAAGCAGAGTTAAAGCTTAAGGTACAAGGCAGCTCGAGTTATCAATTTACTATCAATTGATATCTATAAATTCATTCGAAACTTTGGTGAGAAGCATATCAGATACTCAGATTCTATAATTAGTTGTTCAACAGTTTTGACACAGCTCATTGGCGCCCAACATGGCCTGTCAAATAGCAGAGCTGTCTACTGTTACAATAACTCTGACGCTGCAACAGCTCTTGGTTACAGCTACCAACTGAGAATGAGGGGGTGTCAATCCCGAGGAACCAACGGCGTTACGTTGATTACAGCTTGAATTGGCTAAACAACGCGTTAGCTGGGACCTTGATCATCATACCATTAACCCGCTTCAATCATGGACGAAAACCCAACGCAAGCCTGGCAGACCAGACCAGATCAAAGCACAGCCATCAACCCCGCATTCGATACAAGAGCCGATGGCCCGTTGCACTGTACCGTACTCGACAAAGCTGAACGCGTCGACACAATTACTTCACTGTGTTACTGTACAGTACAGTATCGACGGACTGAACCTTGGTATGTGACCTTGTTCGGTGACTGGCTCGGCGGGCGCCCTTCTCTTCCCTCTCTGGTCACTGGTGGAGGGTCGCCAGTGGTTGATATCGACGCGCCAGCTTCACAACGATGAGCTGGATCAACATCACAACAGGTCTCGTGCTTCCTTTTCTGATGTAGCAGTAGCAGTAGCGACAGCAACAACGTTTTGTCAAGTCTTTCGTTCGCCGTTCTCTCGGTCGTTCGGAAAGATTGTGATCAATCCCCTCTTTCGTTGCCCATCTCAAAGAGGTATCAATAGCCTGTCCTCTCTTGTCGCTTGCTGTTCTATAATTCTTGCTTCCTCCCACATCTCACTCCTCCCATCAACATCTGAACGTGACGCCGATCGTAAAGCCTCTTTTTGCTCTGCTACAGTACAGGACTGCACTGAAGCGTTGTTGAGACCCCAAGCACTTACCTCCGTCTTGTTCCCTTGAGATTCCAATTTCAACAGCTCCGAAAACTCCCTCTGCTCAACCATCAACAAGTGGCTTTGCGCCTTGTATCAAAGAGCTTCGTTTCGTCTTTCAATTTTTCCTGTAAGCTCTCCTCGCCCGGCAGTTGTCTCTGTTTCCTGTTTGTCGCTGTACCTAATGCTTCGCGGCAATTAGATACGGAAACGTACGGGAGCTTGAAATCCTCGGATATCAACCTTTTCTTTCTGCTTGTTCTTTGGTAAGCTCATTTCTGTTTCTGGTGATCCCCCATATCCAGCTCCAGCAAGCCTAAGACATGGCGGGGAAGGCCCACTGTGCCGCGGGCGGGACCCAGCAGCGGGAATCTACCCCCGCCCCGTTCATGCCTGGCTCTTGTCATCTGCACACCCCTCGAATCCTTCTTCAGACCCCCCGAGACAAGACTCAATGTCCCCCACACCCAAGGCACTTCAGGTCCGGGCATGCACCTCCATTTTCGAGCCAAGCTCAAGCTCAAGGCTATGTCACTACCCTCGGATGTCTTCGGTTCCTGAAAGATGGCTGTAACTTGGTTGTATTGGCCGTAGTTGGCCATGATTAGTGCGGCCCTCCACAAGCAGTCATGATATTATAAAGACCCAATCATGCCCACGACATGTATCTGAACTTGCACTTGCACCAGACCAACCTCAAGCAAACTTACTTACCAATCCTCCTAGAAGACAACGACTCACTCGAATCGGTCGTGCCTTCTTTCAGATCGACTTCTCTTCGAGCAAAACTCATCTCCATATATCCATCATGAGCCAAACATTTAAGCAGGCAGCTGAATCAGCTCGCTCAAAGGCTCGAGGAGACTCAGCCGCCATCGCCAATGACCTCCTCCACACTCCTGCCATGAGGGCCGCTCTCCCTTTCATCAACGGTGGTATCGCCGGCATGGTAGCCACAACAGTCATCCAACCTGTCGACATGGTTAAGGTCCGCATCCAACTCGCTGGCGAGGGAACTGCTACCGGCCCCAAGCCTAGTCCCTTGTCTGTCACTCGACAAATCATCGCTAGCGGAAAGGTCCTTGACCTTTACACTGGTCTATCAGCAGGTCTTCTGCGCCAGGCCGTCTACACCACCGCCCGCTTGGGCATGTTCGACACGCTCATGGGCACCTTGTCCGCTAGAGCGAAGGCTGATGGCCGATCAGTTGGTTTCAAGGAGAGAGCCACTGCCGGTCTCACTGCTGGTGGTATCGCTGCCATGATCGGAAACCCCGCTGATCTTGCTCTCATTCGAATGCAGAGTGACGGTCTCAAGCCCCTCGCTGAGCGAAAGAACTATAAGTCGGTAATTGATGCTTTGACCAGCATTGCAAAGAGTGAAGGTGTCGGTGCTCTTTGGGCCGGTGCTGCTCCCACGGTCGCCCGCGCTATGGCTCTCAACTTTGGTCAACTTGCTTTCTTCAGTGAAGCCAAGGTTCAACTCAAGAACAACACCGATCTCTCCGCTCGAACCCAGACCCTCACCGCCAGTGCCATCGCCGGTTTCTTCGCTTCCTTCTTCTCACTACCATTCGACTTTGTCAAGACACGTCTGCAGAAGCAGTCTAAGGGTCCCGATGGCAAACTCCCCTACCGAAGCATGGCCGACTGCTTCTCCAAGGTTGCTAAGCAGGAGGGTCTCGGTCGCTTCTACCGTGGCTTCGGCACATACTACATCCGCATCGCTCCTCACGCGTAAGAACTCTTTCTCGCTGGATCTCGATGAACATCTCGCTAACTTGACTCGCAGTATGGTGACACTAATCGTTGCCGATTACCTTGGCTTTATCACCAAGTGAACGAATCGATGAATGATAAATGAAGCGGAAGAATAATCGGTCGGACGGATAGAATTCGACTGTTTGGCGTTATTTGGCGTGCTGGAACTTGGTATAGTTTTTTCGGGTAGGAGCTGCAGATACCATTGCTGCTATGGTTTAGGATTTTCTTATGTTATTATGAAGTAGTTCATGAGATATTGATCAAGTAAAAGAACACTTGTCAGAAAGATCCGTTGTTCGGGTGATGTTTGTTGTGCAGATGGAGCTGTAGTAAATTGGCTCATGTGAGGTGTAACTTCCTTTTCTCCGTGAGCTGACTAAATGTTAAAGGCAGGAGCAGGAGCAGGAGCAGAGTAGTGAATGGAAGGATCAGAGTTTGGTTTCCAAATAAACATTCATTGTAAATTTTGATCTAGAGTAAAGGTATGCGTTGCGTAAAACGGTTTATTGCAATCGTTAAATTCAATTGCGCTGAGCGTTTTCTGCTCTGGAGCTCAGAAGCTTCCACGAAGCTCCCTCCCGATAACGGAGTGGAGTACAGTGAAGCCCTCATATATAGGTTCTACCTGATCCTTGTCAACACAAAACGCCGTCATCGTATAGGGGTCAGTACATCAGTTTGTGGCTCTTTCGAAGCACTGAAAACGCAAGTTCGAGTCTTGCTGACGGCAAACCAATTATTCTTTTGCACTTTTTGTCAGTATCTGTATATAGCTGAATGGTGTTGTTAGTTTTTGGTGGTGAGGAATGATGACCGACTGCCCCTCCATTATAGTAAGCTGATGGTGGGGGAGAACCGAGCTGCCGGTCCTGGATCGACAAGCTCTTCTTTTTTTAGCCGTTCTCAAAAGCTCCATGTTTCTCTCGCTAGAGAATGGATAATACGGAGAGTTAATGTGGTTACTCATTTGCATACAAACAGAGTTGCACCGGTGCAGAACGGTATGCCTTCAACGTTTGACATCTCCAGAACTGTAAACCCAAAGCTTCAACATAAGTGTTAGGCGACTCTTGAATGAACTATATAAGGCAGGCGCATATCTAACACGACAGTCAGTGCACAGCGCCTCTGCCTTTATCAGAACACAACAATACGGCGGGGCACAAAGTCGTCTAGTAGATGGGAGACACAAATGCATGCGCCTTGTATTATCACCGCAACAAAAGATAAAATGTCCAAAAAATAAAAAACTGATTTACAAGACAGGCAAAAAGAGAATTTCCGTCTGAAAATCAAACTTGACGATTTGCCGTCAGCAAGACTCGAACTTGCGTTTTCAGTGCTTCGAAAGAGCCACAAACTGATGTACTGACCCCTATACGATGACGGCGTTTTATTGGTGATTGACAGCAGAAATATTCTAACCTATATCCCCTGCCTCAGTCCCACCATCACCCACAGTGATGAACATCGCGACATGGGCCTCTTCTTCACACTTGCACAATGGTTTGTCTTTGTTTATGTTCCTTGTTTCTATTCATTATCAATTTGGGGGTATACTCTATATGTTCTGATTAAGTCCTTCTCTTCCCAATACCTGTTGTCTATTAATCGTGATGCCATTTCCCGTTTCTTCGTTGAGCGCTGACCTGCAGCACTCCCTCCCGATCCAACTCTTCTACATCCATTCTGAGTTTACAATCCGAATTCAGGAACCGTGCCAGTAGCCTCGGTCCTCAGCATCGTCCCTGACAACCTGGAGCTTCTTTACGGTAAGCTCATTTACCAAAGCTGACTTGTCCTCATGGTCTCGTAGGATCTCCTGAACCAATTGCCAACTTGCGTGGAACAACTCACTTTGAGCCGCAACTGTCTTGGACATCTGGTCGATCATTGCCTCACCAGCCTCAATAGGGCCTCGGGCTCTGCACCCCCAGTCGTTAAGTACGCGCTCACACTGCACACCGTGAAAAGCATTGTGCATCTCCCGGCGAATCTGAATATCGTCAAGGAGCTGAGCCAGTTTAGCTTCTAGGGCGACGATGAGACGACCTACATGCAGGAGATTGCCAACAGCCCCATTGAGGTGCGGCGAGATGCTCTCCATGTGTGGTATACCCGTGGGAAAGAGAAGATCGGTCACATCCAGGACTGGAGCCCAGCTCTCAGGTTCGTCCTGGGCGGGAGGCAGGCTCCAGATCGAGCTGGTGCTTGTCTTCCAGATGTTTCGCCGCCGGGGTCGAGCCTGGACATAGCGATGAAGCTCGATAACCTCATTGCATTCGTGGATGTCAGGACACCACTTCATTTTGGCGGTCTTCATACAGCAACCATGATCATCGCACTGGAGCCAAGGACGATCAAGATGCTCGTTAGAACAGGTGCATGATAGGGTATCTGTAAAGGGATCCGAGTAAACGGTAATTCCGCTGGAGATGACTGGGCGCATATCGCAGCGTAGTGTGTGAGTAACTACTCGATAGCACATGTTGATGGTGTTGTCGTTCGTTTTCTGCTGTTTGTTGATACTTGGTCGATAGCTCAGCTTGCGCTGATGATTTAGTTGTGTTGATATTGTCGTAACGCTGGTTTAAGCTTCAGATTGCGGTTCTGGAGGCATGACTACGACAGATATATACTGGATCTGAAACTCTCGAACAGAACCACATCTGAATAGTGGACTGTTGACCCTTTGTTCATATCACGAACAAGGTGTATGTAACTAAACTTTCAGTGAACAAGAGTGATGGTTAGACAAAGGCTGAAGGCGTTGTTCACTCACCTCTGGCATGTTCATCAGTCAACAAAGACATCTATATGTGAACACATTGTAGGTTCTTTGAGCATACTATATATCAATGTTATGTTCGCGAATTGTTTGCTCTGAACCTCCATGATCTCTATTCTGTGCGCAACTCGACTCTAATGTTCACTTTGCCAGCCATTATTTTGGCAAGCAATAACAAAGAAGTTAAGATACAAGCATAATGGGCAACATCAATATCTAGAACACAAACAATTTGTTGCCAAAGCTGGCGATCAGATGACTTTTTGGACGTATTCGTCTGGTTACTCCGTCGGTATCAGCCTTGAAGTAAAGATCAGTACGTCTTACACGGGACAATGATTAGCTTTCCATCTAACGTTAACATAACGGGGACCAACAACGGCAATATTGTAACTTTTAGCGTCGCCGTGATAGGCATGGAATTCGTAAGGCTAAAATACAATTGTGATACATGAAGTGAACGAATGCAGGTATGCTTGGGAAATGTAGTGCGACACGCAATTCGAATATCGAGGCAGTGCAAGTCAAATTTCCTACCAGTTATCATGCAGCCAGCTTGGCAGTAAGAGAGCTTAAGTAGAATCTACCTATTATATCAACTGGAGGAAATGTCGACCAGTAGATACTTTCCAGAACAAGAGTAAATTCGCTATTTGTCTCCATCACAGTTCCATAACTCTCAATTCCTTCAATGTGACTCTAAACACTCTGGTCGGGCGAAGTCTAGGCTAGAGCAATTAAAGTATGAACGCCAAGGGCTTGGACGCGACGCTACAAGGGTTGCAGCGCTGGGCTGACAGCATAGACATTGTCATCGGCATGATTTATGACCCGATTTCCCGACATGGAATTCAGGAAATCCGGAGTGGACTCTATCATGCCATTAGTTTCCCATTGGATGCTCAAGTTTTCCCCAGGATATCTCGACGAGAGTGACATTCTCGGTTATTGCCCCCAACTACTTGTCAAAAAGAAAGTACGTATCATAGATATTCCAACAGGAGGTGGCTCTGGTTTATATGCGGGTCCTCTGTCACACAGACGATGGATTTGATGGGTCTGGTATGGATGGGAGCAGTAAGCTCCGATCCTCCGACCCTCCGAGACAGAAGGAGATTGGGAAGCCTCCAAAGCATGAATAACTTGATGACTAGTAACGAGAAAGTAACATTATCGCATTCACTTTTGATTGAATTGTCGTACTCCGTATTCCTCGTACCAAACTTAATTGCACGGCCCGATCAAATACTCATCAGACGTCGTTGCATTTAAGATCCCGCCACACGCATTAGATCCAAGCCTCCAGTTACAGGGGTTATTCGTCTGTCTCAGCGCCTCCCCTAACTAAGTGGTCGCCTAATCGCGTAACGATCCTTTAAGGGAAAGGCAGTGTTGATGTAGGACTAGAGTAAAGACATGGCTGTACTAGAATCAACAAAAGTAGGCGAAACTCATGGCATGTCAGCTAGACTAGTAAAAAGACATATGAAGATGAAAACATCCATCTCTTTTCTAGAAAATCAGATTATACTTACTCCATTACCCGGTCCCAAACTTCCTTCAACTCCACCCCGCTGTTCCTTCCCCGAAATCCCTTACAGTAGCGCTTTACTTGTGGGCCCTGGACTGAGCCACTCTACTCTGATTAGGGACTACCTCGCTTGCTCCGACCTGATCTTATTAAACTTCATTCTTACACCGAGCTTTTTACAGGTTTCTTTTCTTCAAGTATTCCTTTTAATTGATACCCCTCCCTCGTGTACTCGTGGCCTCTGCCACTCTGTACTGGACCATCATGGCCTTCCTCAAGCAGATCGGGACCCTCATGGGGAAGAACTTCCGCATTCTTCTCTTCAGGCATCTGGCGCTATGTATTTGGATGGCCTTCATCTTACCTATCTTCCTGGCAGCTTTGTTTAGTTTCACCAAAAACCTGCTCGTTCCTCCAGCTAAGTTCGGAATCGGCGATGCTGCTCCTTTAATGCCCCTCAACCAAGCCATCGAAAAAGCAACCGGCAATGGACGTGAGAAACTAGTGCTGGTCAACAACGCCAACAACGATAGAGACATCAACCGCGTATTCAATACCGTGAAAACCCAATTCAAGGATGCTGCTCAATCTGCTGGCGTTGACTTTGAGGTTGTCCTTGTTGACAACGAGGACGAATTAACCACCAACTGCCCAAGTAATCTTAGAGGTGTGTCAAGGTGTTTTGGTGGTATCGTCATGGAGTCCTCCCAAGGTATCTGGAATTACACTATCCGTGCCGACGGAGCTTTTGAGTTAGCACCCACCAAGTTCCGTATAGACAAGCCCAATGATCAACAAGTCTATATCATACCACTTCAACATGCCGTCGACCAAGCTATCTTACGCCTTAACAGTTCGGACAGCACGGCCTTGGACAACGTACAGGAATGGGCTTATACCAGTATGACGCCAGAAGAACGCGATAGAGAGATTCGAAGACGGTTTCAAAAGTCGATCATGGGCTGGATGGGCGTGGCCTTTTTGGGCACTGTCGTTTGGGTCACCTACCATCTTACTGGCTTCATCGCTACAGAACGTGAGAGTGGAATGTCTACTCTGATCGATGCTATGATGCCAGTTCGGAAGCCTTGGCTCAGCATGGTTGCAAGAATCTTTGCTCACCACTTCTCATTCTCTCTCATTTATCTTCCCGCTTGGATTATTGGCTCTATTATTGTGCGCGGTGGTGTTTTTGCCAAAACCAGCGTTGCTGTTGTCCTCATATTCCACGTCCTCGCCGGTCTCGCCTTTTCTTCTATTTCTATGCTGTTTGCTTCGTTCTTCAGAAAGGCTCAGCTGAGTGGTATTACTGCTATCTTGGTCGTCGCAATCCTCGGCATCGTTTCGCAGGTTCTTACTCAACCTGGCACGGTTCCTGTTACTGTGCTATCGTTACTATTCACCCCATCTGCGTTTGTTTTCTTCATCGCAAATATGGCTCGCTTCGAAGAGCAGGAACAGCCGACCGATCTTTTGAAAGTGGCCCCAAACAGTCCTTCAGCTCTTCCCGGCATTGTGTTCTGGGTATTTCTGATCATCCAGATCTTTGTCTACCCGTTGATTGGAGCTTTTATTGAACATGCTTTGTTCAGCAATGACACTCCGGGCCGAAAGATTCTACAAAATCAGTCCGACATCGATCGAATGGGTAGCAACGCTGTTCAGTTACGACAATTCTCGAAGACATACAACCCTAATTTCTTCTCACGAACCTTCCGTAGGGGTGCTAATAAGAAACAGCCTGTTCACGCTGTGAGCGAGCTGGATCTAAACATTGGCAAAGGCCAAATCATCGCCCTCCTCGGTGCCAATGGAAGTGGAAAGAGTACAACGCTTGATGCCATCTCCGGAATGAACAAGTTGACCAGTGGATCGATCGAAATTGATGGCAGAGGCGGTCTTGGAATTGCTCCCCAGAAGAACGTGATCTGGGATGATTTGACGGTAGAAGAGCACATTCGAATCTTTAATCACCTTAAAGCGCCCAACGCCAGGGCCGACGCTAAACAAATCGAAGAACTCATCAGATCCGTCGACCTTTACCCCAAGCGAAAGGCCTTTGCCAAGACATTGTCGGGTGGACAGAAACGAAAGCTTCAATTGGGTCTCATGTTGACAGGAGGCAGTGCTGTATGCTGTGTCGACGAAGTCAGCAGTGGTATTGATCCTCTGTCCAGACGCAAACTTTGGGATATTATTTTGGCCGAACGTGGAAGGCGAACCATGATTTTGACGACTCACTTCCTTGACGAAGCTGACCTTCTCGCCGATCACATCGCCATCTTGTCCAAGGGCACTTTGCGTGCTGAGGGCTCTTCCGTCGAGCTAAAGGATAAAATGGGCGGTGGATATCGGGTTCATGTTCCCAAAGATATCGGTGTCGGTATTCGTGAAACTCCTGACGTTGACGGAGTCGTGAAGAAGGATGCATTCGACCTTGTTACATATACCGCGCCATCCTCACAACTTGCTGCTGTTGTTATCAAGAATCTTGAAGCTGCTGGTATCCGCGAATATCGGTTCTCCGGACCCCAGATCGAAGATGTCTTTTTACAAGTTGCTGAAGAGATCAGAGATGAAGAAGCTTTCCGTAACAACAACCAAGCCTTATCTACTCCCTCAACCGAAAAAGTGTCTTCAAAAGAGAACGGTAGCGAGAAGCAGGGCCTGGAGCTTACTAACGGGCAGCACGTTGGATATGTGAAACAGGCTATCATTCTCTTCCGCAAACGTTTAACAATTCTCAAGCGAAATCGACTGTTGTACCTGTTCGCCTTTCTTCTCCCCATATTTGCTGCTGGATTGACCGCAATCTTTGTCATGAACGAAAGCACGCCAACTTGCAACCCAGCAGACCAAGCCTCGCGAACCACTGATCGCGAAGACATTTTCAGCCAACAGGATACTGGCAAACAAATCTATTTCCTGGCAGGACCAAATTCAAAGCTTGAACAGTCTCTATCTGGCCTCGCCGGCCTCGGTTCTCTTCTTGGTGGAGGATCTGGAGCTTCGAGCTCGTTTAGCTTCTCCGAAGATAATCTCCTTAGGGTTGACTCTTGGCAGGAATTTCAGGATACGATCGAAAGTGACCGGAAGAGAATAACCACCGGATTCTGGCTCGGTGATGATACGCAGCCTCCTACTTTTGCCTGGGTCGCGAACCTTTTCATTTCGAGCCCTATCCAGGCGCAACAGATTTTGGATGTCTTATTGACCAACATCACCATCTCGACGACATGGAGCGACTTGGAAATTCCTATCAGCCCATCCACAGGCGACGCGCTTCAGATGATTGTGTACATGTCAATTGCGCTTTCAGTTTATCCAGCCTTCTTCGCTCTGTATCCGAGCAATGAACGACGAAGGAATGTCCGTGGTCTTCAGTACTCAAACGGTGTCCGGCCTTTCCCTCTCTGGATTGCATACCTCTTATTTGATCTCATTTTCGTTTTGTTCGCCACGGCCATTGCAACTGCAATTTGGGCTGGGGTGTCCAACATCTGGTTTCACCTGGGCTACGTTTTCCTCATTCTCTTCCTTTATGGAATTGCCTCAACCCTCTTTTCATACCTCATTTCTCTCTTTACTTCAACGCAACTGGGGACTTATGCCTGGGCTGCGGCGAGTCAAACCCTTGTCTTTGTCGTATACATCATTGCATACATGTCCGTCCTGACATACACCCCCGTCACCCAAGTCGACAGCAGCCTGCGTGTTGTGACCTTCGTCATTTCTGTGTTTGCACCCATTGGGTCGGCATTGAAGGCTCTCTTCATCGCCACAAACCTTTTTTCTACAGCATGCGAGGGCACTGAGCTGACGGACAACCCGAGTGGTATTCTTTACTACGGTGGCCCGATTCTGTATCTTATTCTTCAATCAATTATCTTGTTTGGCCTCTTAGTTTGGCTAGATACCGGATCAGCAGGAGCCTCGATCAGGAGCCTTCTCCTAGGGAAGAAGAAGAACAATGATTCAGACGAAGAACATGTCGACCAAGACATTATCGATGAGCGCAACAAGGTCATCAATAATGCAGAGAACGAGCACGGTCTTCGAGTTATGAATCTTACGAAGAGCTTCCGCAGCAATACAGCTGTGGACAATGTCACATTCGGTATCAAACGCGGTGAAGTGTTTGCACTTCTTGGACCCAACGGTGCTGGAAAATCGACGACTATTTCTCTGATCCGTGGCGACATCAAGCCTGATCGAAACGGTGGTGATGTGTTGGTGGAGGACGTCTCCGTCAGCAAGAACCTTCCCGCTGCTCGCGGTAACTTGGGAGTGTGTCCTCAGTTTGATGCTATGGACCAAATGACAGTTCGTGAGCACCTAGAGTTCTATGCTAGGGTCAGAGGCATTCAAGATGTGGAACACAACGTGAGAGCAGTCATGCAAGCAGTGGGACTGGAGTCTTTTGCTACCCGCATGGCCCATGCTTTGTCGGGAGGAAACAAACGAAAACTGAGTCTCGGAATTGCTTTGATGGGCAATCCCACTGTTGTTCTGCTTGACGAGCCTTCTTCTGGTCTGGATGCAGCCTCCAAGCGTGTCATGTGGAAGACGTTGGAAGCCACGGTCCCTGGAAGGTCGATTCTACTCACGACCCACAGCATGGAGGAGGCCGATGCACTTGCCGGCCGAGCTGGTATTCTCGCACGACGAATGCTTGCACTTGGAACACCAGATAACCTTCGTCATCGCTTTGGTGATGCTCTGCATATTCACCTGGTCTCTAGCACCGCCCCACGCACATCTGACGAGGAGATGGCACGGATCACAGACTGGATTCGCCAGACTTTGCCATCCGCCGATGTCGACGAGAAGACATACCATGGTCAGATTCGCTTCTCCGTCCGTGCTGCTCAAGTGCTCGCAGCCACTTCGGGCCGCCGGGAAGATGAGATCACCAGCAAGAATGAAGATCTCAGCCAGAGCGCTATTGGACATCTTGTTGTGCTGCTGGAAGAAAACAAGCAGAAGCTCGGTGTTGGCCATTACAGCGTTAGCCCAACGACTCTGGACCAAGTTTTCCTAAGTATCGTGGGTCAACACAACGTCAAGGAAGAGAACTCTGAAGAAAAGAAGGTTAGCACTTGGAAAAAGATTTGGAATTTTGGGAGATCATAGGTGCTTCCCTTTATTATCCTAAGCTTGGCAATTGCGATTATGTTGAATTATGATGGTGCAGTACAGGCTGTTGTGAATTGGCGGTTTGCAACGCCCTGATGGAATAGTTTATGTTTTATTCCGGTGGTTCGGGTAACGTTGAATATAGATTATGGCTAAATAGATTTCTGCACATCACATCTGCCATCATGCTCGAAACATGCACCAGGGATATATATGACTACCAAGGCCACTGTGATACATGGCATAACAAACGCCTGTGCTACCCATTACTCCTTCTATAGCCTAATCCACGATAAAACCTCCACCCATATCATCATCGTCGGCCATATCAAACTCTTCAGTAACATCACTCGGCGCGTCCTCAATCTCTTGATCAATCTGTGCCTCCTTAGCAGCCTTATCATCAGCCGCCTTCCGCTCATCAGCATCAACCCCACTCCAAATTTGTTCCCTGATACGCAACGCCATCAAAAACTTTCTCCATGTCTTCAGCGCACGGTGTCGTCTTCGCTCATTCTCTACCTCTTGCTCCAAATCGCCCAGACTGTCTATTATAGTTCGAATAGCTTCTTCGTGCTCTTTTGCGACGACGACGCCTGTTAACACAGCTGTTCCGTGGCGTCCTTTGAAGGAGAAGCCTGTTAGGGCGGGGGCGTAGTCGACGCCTGCTAGGAATGCTGCTCGTGCGGCGTGTTCGTGGACTATGTGTGCGCCGCCTGCTGGGATCATGCTTGGGACGTAGACGTCGATGTTGCCGAATTTATTCTTTGGAACAATACCGTTACGGACAGGAGGCGGTTCGTAGAGCTCGGTCTGATCTTCGGTGTAAATCGGCGTTCCCGCATCTCCTTCGGTATCTTCTTCGTGGTCGTCGTCCAGGGGATTCTTCGGTTTGGCCTTCTTCGGCAGCCATTTAACCGGTATTTCTAACGGTTTTACTTCTCGTCCCATGGAACGGTACCATTTATCTGCTGTTCTGGCTATCCGTACATCCCTTCTTCGATATATCTTCTCGAGTGGACCTCGACTGCCTGCTGCAACGGTTCCCGATGGTGTAGCGCCTGGGACAAGAACCTCGTTACGTCGTAGATGTCGTTCCAGAGCAAAAACGGGGTGGTCTTTGAAATCTTGCACATTCCGCGGCATAGGCTCTCTAGCCTCGATACCCACGAGTTCGTTATCCTCAATTTGATCGAGATCTGTCCGCCGCCTTCTGCCGTAGAGCTTCATGACCCTTCTCCACCATGCATCGCCATCCTCCGCAACAGTTTCAACTCTTGCTCTTCTCGTCTTTGCCGTGTAAGCTTTCGCATATCTCCTCGTAACATCTCTCGCAGTACCATCTGCATCGAATGCCACCACATAAGACAAAAAGTTCTCTTTATCGGTAATAGGAGGCTCCAAAGCTTTAGGCTTCCAGAACGTATGCGTGACAACTGCATCTACTGGTTGCCATTTTTGGTGTCCGACATCCAAAATCTCGACCCAGTATACCGGGTATGCTGACTCTTTTATTCGTTTCCGAGTTTCAAAAATAGGTTGTGGTTTTGGAGGTGATATCGTTGGAGTGAAATTATATGCTGTGGCATTTGGGTGGCCCAGCCTTCGACGTGCCGTCGAACCACCAGATGGTGAACCATACCCAGCAGTAGCCATTTCCTGGTACTTAGCCAGCGCAGCCTTTACTTGTTCGTTCTTCTCGGCCTTCGTCAGTCCTTTCTTGGGCTTTTGTTTTGGTTTCGGCATCGTCGGTGCTGAATTTGTACATGCCAAAGGCTGTAATGAGCAAACAAGTCGAGCTTGTACACCAACACCGCGCAACAAGGCGCAATACAATTGAGCTCCGACATCCCTGGAGCCTTGTAGCTTCTTTGCTGCTTCGCGAAAATCATCACGGTCTAAACAGCTTTCCATATCATCAGGTGGCTCATACTGCATGTCTGGTTAGCAGTAAACCAACGTTGGGGTAATTCTACATACGTCTTCCAACTGTTTAGGATCTTCCGCCCAGAGAGATCGTCGAAGACCCCGTTCATTAACTTCATATTTCGTCTTCCACATACTTTCGGCTTCTTTGAGACCCGTTTTCAGACTCTCAGTTCGCCCAAACTGTGGAAGATGCGCACCAGGCGTTAGATAGTTGACTGTCTTGTCGGTCAAATGAGGTCTCAAGAAGTCCTGAACTCTGCCATCGTTGCACCAATGATTGCGCCGTGCTGCATGAGCTAACAGGCATAGTATATGCGCTTTGTGAATGTCGGTCCGGATCTTGCGCTCTTCTTTACTTATTGGTTTGCGCCTTTCTACCGCCTTCTTTGCTTGCGCTGTGGATGATTGCTGGGCTGATAGGTTGAGTTCTAGCGATGTTGGTTCTTCTGGCTTATCTTGGAGAGGTGCTGTGAAGTCCACATCTTCGAACATGATATCTTCGTCGTCATCTTCGTCATCAGACTCTAATTCCATGGTCTGCATGGTAGGTTGTGGTAATGCGACATCTTCAAACTCAATATCCTCGTCCTCGTCTTCATCCTCTTCCTCATTTTCCTTCACTGCAGCTTGCGGTTCAGGCTTCTTGGGTGAAGGTTCAAGTGACTTTCTGACTTCTGCAACTGGTTTCTGAGGCGTAGCGCGACGCCGTTTCAATGGCCGTTCTGGTGATGACGGAACTCTTGGATTCACGCCAGCTTCAGCGAGCATATCCAGATAGATCTCTCCACCGGTTGGTTCGGCGGCAGAAGCAGCCCGACGGGCGCTTGACCTTGTCGCAGGGCGTTTGCGACCTACCATTTTAGTAGCATGTTGAGAATTGACTTATAGGGTGATTGTTTGGTGAGGGCGCAAACTTGTCGCAAACTTGGTGTGAGTGAGTAATTGCCTACTCTGGAACCGGTTGCGTCATGGGGGCCGCGCTGAAGATCGCGAGGTCACGTGCGTGTCTGACCCGGAAATAGCATCGCTTATCGACTCCAGGTCTTTGTTCTATATTAATTTCTGGAACATTGCTCTCTTGAGCTTCGTAGAGTTCATTGTTTGATAGACCAATTATTCTTTGTTTAATTTGACTGCTATAGTTCCGCCGAGCCACGGACGACTCGAGTCGGGATCAGTAATTCGAAAAATCCACTAAAGACGCCGAAGCCGACGGAGTTCATGTGTTACTAACACTCCCGCTCTATTGCTTACTCACCCACTCAACAAAGAAGTTCAGCTGCAACACAAGGGGACATCGTCTCAAGCCATCTTGCGATCACTAATCTTTCAGCAGAATTGCATCAAATCACTTGTCTTGAAGCTGTCACTAAGTGTGCTGATTATGCAATGCTCTAACCGGACTTCTTACAACTCTGGCTGGAAAGATGTGCTCTACCACGATAGCTTCAAGGATGTTGCAATATTCGCATTTGTCAGTGAGGAATTTGAATAGTATAAAGAAGAAGCATCATGCCAGTTTATACGATAGTCCCAGCAGAGAATCATACCTCATCAATACTATTTAATTAATTCCATTCTCCATATATGACCCATCATGTCTAACAAACCCATCGTCTTGGTGACTGGCGCAAATGGCTACATCGCCGGCAGTGTCATTGAAGCATTCCTCAAAGCCGGCTACGCCGTTCGTGGCACTGTTCGATCAAATGCTTCTGCGGATCCTCTCGTAAAGGCTCTTTCTTCATACGGAAATGATCTCGAGATTGTTCAGGTACCAGATATCATTGCTCCCGGAGCCTTTGATACCGCTGTCAAGGGTACGTTGTCAGGTTCATCTGTAACAAACGGTTTCTCACAGTATCAGATGTCCATGCAATCGCCCATCTAGCTGCTGGCGTGAGTCTGAGTTTCACAGACCCTGATCCTGTTCTTGAAGTTGCTATTCAAGGAACACTGGGTGTCTTGGAGTCTGCCCTCACTGAGCCATCCATCAAGTCGGTCGTCTTGATGTCATCTATTGCTGCTATTACTGGAATCGACAAGGCGCTTCCTCATAGATTCACAGAGGCCGACTGGAACGATGCTGCTTTGGCTGCCGTCAAGAAAATGGGCAAGGAGTCACCTGGTCCTCTGATCTACCTTGCAAGTAAGGTGGCTAGCGAGAGATCTTTTTGGAAGTTCCGCGACGAGAGGAAGCCTTCGTTCACGATGACTGCTCTTAATCCTACGTAAGTCTGGCTTTTCGGCTCCCATTTATATGAGATTCTAACAGTTATGTAGTTTCGTTATGGGACCACAGCCAGGTCTAGACTCGATCTCCAAGATTGGCGGCACGACCGCTTTCATCTGGCAGGTGTTTTCAGGCCAAGAGATTCCACAGCCCTTGACGCCAAACCCCAGCTACGTCGATGTTCGAGACATCGCCCGAGTTGCGGTGTTCAGTGTTGATCATCCTGAGAAGACCAACGGAGAGCGCTTTCTGTTGACATCAGGAATGGTTCCACCTCAGGCGGCGGCGGATGTTCTTCGCAAGGCTTATCCTGACAGACAAAACATCATCAAGGCCGGACAGCCAGGAGAGGGATACTATCCAGGTTACGTGTTTCCCGAGGAGAAGGTCCTTGACGCTTCCAAGACTGCCAAGCTAACGGGACAGGAGTTTTACCCAGTTGAGCAGACAATTGTTGATACAGCCAAGTCCCTGCAGAAATTCCTGTAGCATAGGTAGCTTAGTAGCTGGTAGGTAGATATAGTATTCCGCGAATAATAATATGTGTTTCCTTGGCAACATTCGTCCTCGTGCTGGTGCATCAAGTCAAGACATTTGCATAGACTCAATCAAAGGCTCGAGAAGCTTCTTATTTATCAAGAAGACGTCAATACCTCGAAGCTTAACGAACCTGATAAGAAGAAAGTGTTGTAGTTGGTAGGGTTTCTTGATATGCGCTACCTATTATCGGTATCGTCCCTGACCCACCCAACATTAGCGGGAGCGTTATGAATCCCGCGGGAAACCCATCGGTCCATTTACAACATCAACAATTACGCCGCGGAGAGATTCACCTATCAAGTTTCTCAATTGGAACTCAAAATATAAATAAGTTATGCAGCAGGAAACGCCCAATGCGCGGCCATATCGGTCTCACCTCCGACCGGCCTGCATCCCCTGTCGGAAACGCAAATCCCGCTGCCAGTCCGAGGAATCAAGTGAAGCATGCCTTATGTGCAGAGCTCATCGGACTGAATGCATATTTCCTCCGGAATCTGGAGGAAGTCAATTGTCGACTGCTAAACAAAGGAGAAGGGCCAAGAGAGACTCTCGGACTCCGAGAAATGGTAGCTTGGCTCCTGGGCCTCGAGCAGATGACTCGGTTATTGAACAGTCCGCACTCGATATAAGCTTAGACTCAATGCCGAGTTCAAGTCGCGGGCCTGATAATGGTACAATTGCGAGAAATGCGGTGCCTATAGCGCCGTTCATACCGAGAAGCGCAGAGCGGCCGCAACAACAACAAGATGCTGAACCAGAGGAGTCGCCGTTGGCGCTGGGGTCCAGTGACGAACAGCAACATAATCTTCATATAGTAGGACCTGCCGTAACATCAGATAACCAAGTCTTATCTGACTATCTATCTGCGATGCCCAGTTCAGCACGGGGATCACGAATTGTGAGACCAGTTCCAGGAAACAGATCTCGTCCTGTCCTGTTTACCATGGTCCAAAAGAGACCAGTAGGCTTGGACTCAAATCAGAGTTTCCCAGAGGAGAGACTCCAACTGATTGAGAAAATACTGGAGCCTTTCACCCGTGATCTTATAGACGTGTAAGTTAATAGTCAACTTCCGGTGAGCATGCTAACATCTTCTAGATATTTCGAAAAAGTCAATTCTTCCTTCCCTCTACTTGACGAGGTCCATTTCCGTAAACAGTACACAGAAAACAAGGGTGGAATATCCCCTGCGCTATTAAGCTGTCTGTACGGTCACGCCATCACCTTCTGGAGTAGCTCTCCTGTTCTGGCTCGTTATCGGCGTCCTGATGGACGGTTCATATGGAACCTTGCTACCGAAGCTATATACTCACAATTACACAGGTCTCCTGGGTTATCGGTGATAGAGGCCGCTATTTTGAACATCGGTGGCCGAGAGGTTACTGCACTTATTGGCAATGGAGTTTTGTTCGCTTCATCAGTTGCGATGGCGCATTCGCTGGGGTTAAATCATAGTCCGACGCAGTGGGAGATACCACAGTCGGAGAAGAACTTAAGGATGAAGATTTGGTGGGCATTATTGATTCACGATAAATGGTAAGTGTCAGTCTCTATGTTCAATATTTGGACTAATATTGTGGCAGGCTGAGCTTAGCCCATGGAACACCTCCGTTGATCTCTACAACCCTGAACGATGTCCCGAAACCTCTAATAGAGAACCTCTGCGAAGAAGGCGCATCTTCGGACAGAGTCCTCAAGTCTACTGTATACATCGCCCTTGTTGGGTTGACCGATGTTCTAGACTTACATCTCAGACACGTCCATCAGCTCAGGAACGCCGACGAAACTAGAGATACAACACACTTGGAGCTAGCATTGAACAATTGGGTGGAAGATCTAAGCGACGATATACGCAGGGTCGTCATTCGCGGAACCAACCTGAAGATCCCCGGAGGTGCGAACTTGCGCTTGTCGTATCTAACAGTCAGACTCTTATCCCAAAGAATCGAGCTCGAATCCGAAAAGCGCATTCGCGAAGCTGGCGACAGCCGTCTTCTAAACCGCTACATGCAAGCCCGCCGAACCGCAGAAGACATCCTCATCCTAGCACAAGAGTTAGAGCCAGAACATCTCTCCGACTTCTGGCTTCCCAGCAGCGCCTTTGCATTCTCCACAACAGTCAGCTTCCTCCTCCGCTGCGCTCTAGAAACAGAGAACTCAACATCAGGACTTGTCCAAAGTTCCTCCTTGAAAATTGCTTCTGATCTGTTGTCTACCCTGCGTTCACATAAGGAGAAGTTTGCTTGGGATCTTGGTGATATCTGTTTAGCGCAGCATAGTGAAGTTGTGGAAAAGCTGCTTGCAATTACGCCGCCTGAGGATCCAAGTGCGGAGGAACCGCAGGACTTTTCGAGTTTCTTTATGGCTGATGATGCGTTTATGGATCAGTTGTTTCCGAGTTTGTGGGATCCGTTGCAGAATGTTTGGTAGTCACCTTTTCCGCAGCAAACTTGGTCAAGGGAGGAACGGGATATGCCCAGCTGGTGCATCAAAGAGGTCCAATACTCCATAAAAACAAACAAAGGATCTGCAGAATAAACTGAAGCTCTTAACCCTCTTGTAGACAGACCCCGGAGTCCAAGCTATCCCTCTTCCCCTTCTCATCACCCTCTTCAATTTCCTGAATAAAAAGACCCTCCAGCAGGAGCAAGCTCTCCTCAACCTCCCCCTCTTGTGGATGCAACGTCTTCCTGTCAATAGTTCCCTCTATATACAATTCTAGACAGCGACCACATGTGTCTCGTGCGTACTTGATACAGCCACAAGTCTCACACATCTCTCTTCGTCGATGCTCTATACGTACAACGCTCATGGGACTTATTCCCATGCGCCATACACAGTGGTGGCAACGCATCTTCCATATCGTCTCAGGTGTTTCCTGGACCATGTCTATGTGCTTCTCTGTGAACTTCTTCTTGGGGTAGATCCTGCAGCATACGTAGCAAGGGAAAGCTGAAATCTTGTCAAACTTCGTGTTCTGAACATCTTTTGTCCATTTCTCGTGGACGTATTGGTATCGTGCATGTAGCGGGATCCATTGATTCGGCTTAACGGTATCGTTTAGCGTGCGACTAACTTGTGCGAGGTGCAGAACATCTGTGAAGCCAAGGAACGATGATATCTTGGCCAGGATGTGTACAGGGAGGTTCTCAATGCCCTGTCTTTCCCGTCGTGGTTTCGCACAGAGAGCTAACGCCTCAGCAACCTCAGCTTTCTTAGTATCAGAGTCAATCCTCTTTCCTTGACACTTCTCAGACTCAGTTCGATACTCTCCACAATTATGACAAAAGTAATATCTCAAATTTCCATCCGCGTCAGCAACTGACACTAAATGGCGATGCGTTTTTAAAGTCCCCGTACAGTCAAGACAGAACCTTGCCGACCAACTGATATCGTAGAAGCTATTCGTCTTGATAAACTTCTTTTTAGGTAGTAATCTCAGACAATTGCTGCAGGCGAAGAGCTCGTGGCCTATTTTTCGAAGGAGTCCATCGCGCTCGGTGACGAATTCGAGGGCTTCTTCGGCGCCTAAGATTGCCCTTGGGTTGAGGGCTCGGCGGAAGTGCCGATTTGTTGCTGCTAGTTTGAGAATTTCGTTATATGGCATATGCTTTGCTATTTCGAAGTGGATGTCGTAGGGGAGGGCTTGGAATACGTGTTGGGACATTTTGGCTGGTAGGAGGATCGTATAAGTCGTGTGAAAGATATCCAGATTCGTCCTAAAAGAATTGTTTATAATGAAGTTCTTCTAATCGATAGATAATGATGATTATTCTTTGATGATGTTCAGTATATCCTCTCCTAATGTCATCCTCATTGCCGTTGTTTATATAAGTGCTGTGTAAACTACCTAGGCAGGTTACCGTTTGAGTCACACAGCACACAGCGCAATTATTGGCTACTACAACTACAGGTGCCTGATATAAATCGCGAATCAAGTGCGATTCTGCCAATGGGAGACTAAGTCCCGTTCACGGTTCTTGGCTTCCTTATGCTGACGGTGGCTGGGGATCTGGACAATTAGGCAGATAGTGGATTAATGACAACTACCGACATCCTTCCTAGGCATATTCAAAAATCAACATGGTACTTTGGAACAAGAGATATTATATCATAAATTTGTTTTAGGGAAGAAAGCTGAGCTGGGAAATCAATTTGTGAGTCATTCGCTACGGCTATTGAGAGCAAAGGAATGTATGCGCCTGTATATACTTACTTGCCTCTTAGACCCAACTCCAGTCGCTGTCTGATTCTACTCCAGAGATACCTTATGTATCAAATTCTGCCAATCGCTCTGGAAGATCCTTATTGGTGAGATATTGTTGTGACATAGCCGGCCTCATATCGGAGATCTTGTCATGACTCACTGAAGTCTCAAGGCCAGCCCGTCAGATAATCGTGAGATCTCCAATGGCTTGCAAAGTGAGCTTGCGATTCTTAGACCATTTCCTCAGGGTCCAAATTGCCGGTATAGATCTTGTGTTCAGGATGCACAAACTGGCCCAAGGAACTCTCCCATCTCCAATCCTCTGGCAAAACCCAAGTCTCATTCTTGGCAATCCTCATCGCAAATCCCGTCTCACTATAGCCCAAAGCTACCAGTTTAGCGACAGACGATTCAGGAGCAGCTCGTGGATCCTTCTTGTCAGCAGCGAGGTCACCCTTTTTGGTGAGCCTCTTTCGGCATTTGTCGCAGTGAACATAGACAGAGAATGTCAATTTCTCTTCCGCGCAGTCAAGTCGGCGACAGCGGTTCTCGTTAACAAGTCGTGAGCGCATATGGTCTTCGAAAATGGCCCGGACGGCAAGTTCTCCTTGACGAACCAGGTGGTACACAACCCAGTTCTTCTCACCACCTTCAAGGAAAGCTTTGACGCCCTTTACACCCATCTTGAACTGACAAACCTCGCATACCTTTTGCTCCTGGTGGAAAGGGTAGTACTGGCAATGAGGGCACTTGCGCTTAGGTCTAGGTTGCCAAAGACTAGGGATATCCTCGACCGTGGTCGACAACTGTGAAGTAGGAGACATGATGATGGTTGTTACTCTGTACAAATAAGCAGTGTTATCAACAATTGTGAGAGACGAGGATGTAACGTCAAAATGTAAATGGCATTAGCTAACAAGAACTGGGTATATATAGTCGTAAATCATCATGTTCCCGCTGCAAGTGAACAAACGCATTGTGCATACTGAAATCCTGCGCAAATCAATGAATAACCTTCGTCCCCTTTTTTCCAAACAATGAATAACGCCTTTTGTCAAATTGATTGTCGTGAACAAAGGAATAAAATGTAGTGATCGTCGTAGTCGTTGTTCATCCGCTTCACTTTTTGGTCATCGTTCCCCTCTCTTCTTGTCGCAGTTCCAAGTCGTCATAATGTCGACTTCTCGTTTTCGATGTGCATATATTGGTGAGGCGCATAACTTGTCGAAGGAGTTACTGGTCGTATCGATTTGGGTCGTCGGTGGGCTTTAACTCTCTTGACAAGGGCGACAGAAATGACGCCCAGAACCATAAGGACTTCCACCACGAGAAGGCCGATGTAGACGATGTTGAGGATTTTTTGCTCACGCAGGTAAGCAAAGGTGGTCATACTGCCGGGCAGTGGTGCGGAGCTTGGAACGAGAGGCATAGCAGGTTTTGTGTCTGGTCCATTTGTTAGTGGCGAGACAATGAAAGAGGAACTGTCTAATACATACCTTGATATTTGACAAGTCTGCGAAATTGAAACAACTGAGCGATAGATCCTTTTGTCCTTCTCTGAGCGATAGAATGAAAGAGAGAATAAAAATTGAAGAATAAAGTGAGCGGTGAAATCACCAAGTGAGAGAAAAGTGACAAAGCCCCCAAAAACTGGGAATATGGGATGTGATGGGATGGATCCTTTTTTTGACCTGGGTCTCTTAACTTACATTAACTTAGTTTGTTTCCTTGGCGCGAAACAAAAAATAGTTATGGGATGGTGTGCTTCCCTTTCATGGTTAGATGTTAATGGCCTAGGGTTGCAAATTCGCTTCAATGCGGTCTGGTTCTGGTTGCTCTGCGTCTGGGGGAGGCGTTAGAACCCAAGTCCTGTCCTAACCCAACCGCTTCGCTTAGACCGCCTTGAAGCCCGTGATGGATGATGGATACGAGAGGGGCGTTCCCTCATGGCTTACCCGTAATCAATACTATGCAGTGAGATCTGTATATACAGTGCAGTTACTGTAACAATACCATAAGCTACCCTCAGATCGCCAGGTGTCCTCTTCATTCTTTTGAAACTCTCTCCTTTCTTCCGTTCTCGATTGAGATTGATGAAGAGAAAAAAGTCAAGTCTCGTCCGGTTGGGAACAAGGATTATCAAAACCCTGGTCTTATAAGTCGATCGCCAACCTGGCCGTGTGACCCTCAGCGCTTGTTCTAAGGAAGCGGGAGAGTGGATGTACTTGACCAGATGAGGAAGCGTTTAAAAAAAGAGTGGCGAGAGCTATTAATCGATGGAGGCGTTTATCGCGTGATGGTTATCCGTATTCTCATTGATACTGATGGTGTTTAGGTTACAGCCATGTTAATTCTAACGTTATTATGGCATGACCATTCCCCTTGCTGAAGGAGTAGTTGTCGCAAATTGATGGCGGATGGAAATTAAACGATTAAATTGAAGAGTCGCATTGGAAAAATCCATCAGCGCTTGATGGACAGGGGTTTGATGCGATAGAATGGAGACGTGTTAGTTGGCAATGACAAGCGTGGGCAGGGTATCTGTAAGGTAAAGGCGGTGATGAAGAGCGCATGGTCTGGGCCTTTTCACCAAATACACCAATTGTTGAGTGAATGAATGAAGAGTCTATTGATGAAACTATTCGCATTAGATGAATAGGACTCTAACGCTGATGTCGACACTCCTGTCCTTATGCGCCATGCATCAAACTGATTAATTTAGGGGACGGCAAGGTTCTGTACCTTACCCACAGGACGGGAACTATTAGCGCCCATGAATGTGCTAAACCCAACACATAAAAGGTCTCAAAGGTGTCACGTTCTCGAAATGCAGGCGCCTATCTGATGACCTACAGCATATAAAGGCAAAACACCATGAATGCATCTCAAGTACATACGCACATACGCGTGTCAGTACGCGTAGACAAGATATCTCATGGCAATATTTGTGGCTTATTGTTGAGGAGGCAACACCGAATAAACCCATGATGATCACCTGCCAAGACGATCCTCAAGAGAAAAAGGGTCTTCACATGTAAAAAAGAAAAGAATAAACTTCATTCATCTGCATCTTGATTTGGTCTGAGACTGTTTCATCACTTCGCCACGGGACGACGTAAGGGATGCGTTCCTGAAGCCCAGCATGAGCGACAGCTTCTAGTTTCTTCCCCAAAAGGCCAATCCCAACAATTCTTGATGTTGCTAGAAGGTACTTCCTCCGCCACTGCACATCGACGGTCATGGAAGTCACTCTGTAACACTATTCACGTGCTTATCATGCCATCTCGATGACGTCGCTCTCTGCCCCGCAGTCCAGCGCCTCCCCTCTCCCCTCCCCTCTAAGGCCTCCACAGAAGCTCCCAGCTCAAGTCAAGCTCCAGCCAGTTCTAGCCCGCAAGCCAAACCAAAGACACAGCCTGGTTGCCTCGTCACGATCCATCACTCTGGTGTCGTCATTCCTACACATTTGCCGCTTTATAAGACCTGTCTGCCCTTTCACCACCTACAACCTTTACACTACAAGATTGATACCTCTACCAAACTACACCAAATCTCACACAACAACACATTCAAAATGTCTGCCAGCTCTACTATCAACGTCAAGAACATCGCTCCCGCCACCAGCGACAGCGAGATCAAGGACTTCTTCAGCTTCTGGTAAGCTCATCTCTTCGTACCTATCTCATGATTCGTAACTAACAGCATCCAGTGGCAAGATCTCTGATATCAAGGTCACCCAGGAGGGTGAGACCAAGTCCGCAGAGGTCATCTTCGAGAAGGAGACTGCCAAGAAGACCGCTCTTCTCCTCAACAACACTCAGCTCGGAAACAACCATCTTGAGGTCACCAGCGCCGGCGGCGATGGCGAAGACGATGTTCCCACTACCAAGAACGCTGATCGCGACTCCGACGAGATCACCCAGGAGGAGAAGCCCCGCGCCCGTATCCTGGCTGAGTACCTCGCCCATGGCTACGTCGTAGGCGATGCCGCCATCCAGCGTGCTCTCGACCTCGATTCCCAGCACGGCATCACCAACCGCTTCTTCTCTACCCTCAAGGGTCTCGACGAGAAGTACCACGCCACCGACCGAGCCAAGGCCACCGATGAGAGCTACGGTGTCAGCCAGCGTGCCAACAGCCTCTGGCTCGGTCTGAGCTCCTACTTCGAGAAGGCCTCCAACACCCCCACCGGCAAGAAGATCGCCGAGTTCTACACCGAGGGCAGCCGACAGGTTCAGGAGGTCCACGCTGAGGCTCGTCGTCTCGCTGACCTCAAGACTCAGGAGCACGGTGGAAGTGCCTACAAAGCCTCTGGTCTTGAGAAGGTCTTTGGCAAGGAGAAGACTTCCGGTACTGCCGCTCCTGAGGCCGGTCACGGTACTCTGGGAACATCAGTTCCTGCTGTCTCCTCGGACGGTCCTACTGTGAGCGCTCCCGAGGGTGGTGAGAAGCACTAAGCAATCAAAATCGGAGGAAAATAATGAAGGATGGATGTGCTCTTTTTCAGACCTGATGAGATAGTACTATTGTGGCTCAATTAGCCTGTTAACGAATTGTTACGACTTTTACGCACGGCACAATCGATTAATACAAGGATTATATCTTAATATGTTTTCAATGTGACTCAAGCCTAGTACCCAGTAGACTAAAGTGTTGTTGGCTGCTCCCATAGTATATAAGTCCAACCATCTCAATAACGACCATGGTTGTATATATATATGCCTGTTAGTGAGCGTCGGTTCAAGGAAATTGTGGACGACCGTGTTCAAAAATCACTTGAAATATCACAATATGTGATAGGAACGAGCTTAGAGACAAATCGTGTCACAAGTTCACATAGCAATATACGAGTGGAGACAGGCATGATGATTATTATCGTGATTTATTAATTCTATCCATACACTAGTTCCATCAAGTCATTACCATCGTGGTATCATTTGTTCTACCAGGTGTTAGCAATTGATCGTTCGATATTGTTCATTCGGAAGAACTGACTATTTCTCGGTCTTGGAGAACTTCTCCTTGAGGACATCCTCGGTGATACCCTTGGGGTTTGATTCGAGGTTCTGCATAGAGTTAGTATCATGATCATATCTCAAAGCTTCAAGATGTCTTACCTTGAGCTGGTCCTTGGGGTCCTTGTCATCGGTCTTGTTGACACCGTGACCAGAGGCAGGAGGGTCTTGCTGCTGGCGACCGCTCTGCTGCTCAGGAGGAGGAGATTGACGTCCTTCAGGCATGATTGCTGTAGTGTATTGTTTGGTGTGGGTTGAAAGGTGGTAGAAAGTTTGTTGATTGTTGATGAGATTGAAATGAAAAGAAATCAGAGGTTAAGTATTAAGTAGAAATCAAAGCAAAGCACGGGCGCGCATGATTGCAACTTGACGTCGAGGTGGAATAGTATGCCGTCATAGGTGCGATTACATCATGTTGAAGAGATCGAGATGATGTTTATGGAGCACTTTCATAGGCCCGCATCCAAATCTTGAAGAGGGGTTGTTAACTTATCAGGGTCTGATACGGCCCTTTTTCAAAGACATTCAGGAACGTTGAGATGTAGATTTTCTTGGTGGTTGGTGTTGAAGACTGAGCTTGTTGATCTTGAAGCTTGACCCCACCCCACTTCCAAGTTGGAGGTTTGGTTTATCATGCTGACTTTGAGGATTGAATAATATTTACAAATTTTGATAAGACTTTGTAAAAATGCTTTATAATACTTGTCTTCCTGTTTTCGCTTTCCTTGCTTGTGTTGTCTGCTTGTCATGTTGCTGTTCATTCGGCTTCTTCATAATGTGGTCTATCACCAATAATAATGATACCTCAGCAGCCATGGCTTAGCAAACCACCTCTTGTGGTGGCGCAGTCTATAGCAATCAAAGATTCAATGATGATTTACACACTTAATCATTACTGAATATTTTGCTAGTAGCATCAGCTACAAAGGCAACTTTCAACCCCAAATCAACCTCACCATGCTATCTACAGGGTAACCGGGCTACTCACAAACAAGGACAGCTTCATACCGCAGTTTCACAAACCCCACCAACCAAACCAGTCGGAAGCTACTATGAGATCCCCCTAGCATGGAGGGGCTCTGGCATGTTTTAGCGTCCATTTGGGCGGTGCCAATGGCCTCATGCTAGCTCTAGCTGCCCCGGCCCGCGTTGGACCCCGCACCCGGGCTTCAAGGGAAAGGGAAACGCGCGACCGCCGGAGCTTTTGACGCCCCGTCTAGTCTTTTCAAACACGCGTACCTAACCTACCTTAACCGAACTAACTGATACTTCCTTCCTTCTTTCCAAAATCTCCGACTGTCACCAACTACCGTATCTATCTAAAACGAAACAACATCTTCATGACCGGCATGCCGGACCTTAACTCAGTTCCGCCTTCACCACTTCCGCTCGCGACATCTCGTCGCCAGTCTTCCACTCAGATGGCTACTCCGCCGGCTCCCACTTCTGAGTCCCTTAACATCCTCCCCTCGAACCAGAATACTGTCAACCACCCTCATTCGCCTTCTATGTCATCACCTGTCTTGACCGCTTCACAACCTTCTGCAACTCTTCCCGGCGAGCCTGGTGTTGGGCCTGGACCTGGACCGATAAGACATCCTCGTCCGTTGACCGCCGCCGAACTTCACCTCCAGCTTGAAAAGGAGCAGGAAGCTGTTGTAAGTACCAACTGAGGACTATAGTTCTGGTGTCGCTCTAACGTCTGCTAGGTCAACCGCTTAACCCGCGAGCTATCACTTCTACGAGCTGCCCAGAACGCTTCAGTCGTATCCAACACCTCTTCGACTTCTGCTGCCAACTCATCCCACGATGTCGCCGCCGAACAGTCTCTCCTCTCCGGCTCAGGCTTCTCCATCCCTACCGCTCGACACCACCGAACGTCATCGACCACGTCGCAGGGACTAGCCCACCAGCAGTTGTCATCGTCCTACGAAGCACGAGTCCATGCTCCTCGCCCCTCACAGGCTACCCCTCTCTCACGGCAGGATAGTACCGCCTCTCGACAGAGCCTAACAAATTCGCCCGGACCGCAGCACAGCAGCCTCGATCCGTCCAATTACTTCCAACAACAGCGACTCCCGCCAACTTCTATCCCACCAAGCTCCGTCGGTGCGACACCTGGGAGTATGAGCGAGCAACTCAGTCCCGGATTGATGCCAACTACTATGCGTTACGAAGAGACTGCGTTTTACAGGAACGAGCTCGAGAACGCCAAGAAAGAGAACGATGCCCTGAAGCGAAAGATCAGAGATTTGGAAAAGCAGGTCCGGCAACGAAGGGCTAGTGACACAAGTCGAACTAGGAGCGAGAGTGTGAGCACCACAACTAGTGTTAGCGTGACTCCAGCTGGAGGAGCCAGCATAGCAGGACCTCGAGAGGGAGGACTCATCCGACCAGGCGGCGAGCGAGAGCGAGGCATGACGACACAGAGTATCGCCAGTGTAGCTAGTGTTGGTGTTGGTGTGCCCGAGGAAGAGTTGAAGGTTGGTGAGAGCGCTGCTAGTGCAGGCGTTGCACAAAATACGCAATAGTTTGCGAGAGCGACTTTTAAGCATCAAGGCATCATCGCTTTTGTTGACAAACGAGAACTAAGAACAGCGATGGGTTACAAATTGTTTTGGCGTTGGATGAGGGTTAGACTTATCACCATAGTTTGCACATGCTAGTGAATTAAAGCGTTTCTTTTCCACGTCGTCGAGCTACATTGTTTGACTTTGTTAAATCCACCCTGATGGCAGGTTGAAAGTAAGATTGTCTCTCATTTGCTTCCTAGCAATTGATCTTGTTGATTTACCATCTGCTATGACTTAATTCTATGGAAGCACCAACCGTCAAACTTGTAGTATCTGCTGCACCCCCCGGAGACAATCAAAGGGACATGGTCACTCTAAAGAAGGGACAAGTAGCTTGTACCATAGCAAAATCTCCGAGGGACCAAGGTGTTTGCGATTGAGTCATCGGCGAAGCAGAAATCTGGTATCAGATACAAGTGATAGTTGCTATTACGTCGGTTTGTATATTCCTTTACATAAAGCCAACAAATAAGTCGGCAACCAGAACGGTGATTCCATTCTACCTCCCCTTTACTCATAACCGGAAAGCCTACGACACGCTTTACAGGCATAGTGAAGAGTTCCCCATCGTGGCCACTCAGACGTCAAGCTCTCCGAACTCTCCACTGCAGTCGCCCATAAATTCGCATAGTGATCAACTATCGACATGTTGGGCAGGATGGTGCGTTTGTGAACCGAATGCCAATCATCGGAGCCGATGGGCTGACGATGCATGAACGGGTCCTTGGCTGGAGGTCCCATGGCCCTTCTGGATACCGGCAACATCGCATTCTTGGCTTCATTGCTGTTGATGAAGTCGACGATCTCTTGCTCAGGTATAATCTGCGCCGTAGCAGTCTCGTCTTTCTTCCATGGCCCCAAACCGACTGTCTCAGGTATGCAAACTGAGAATCTATGCAATCGTAAAAGAGGATCTTCAGCTGCAAACCTGACCACTTCTATCAGCCCGTTGTCGCTTCCGGCGCAATTGTAAAGAAGAATGTGCTTCAACGTCTCCGAATGCGTTGCGATCATCAAGTTAAACTCATTAGTGGAGAATACCAGATTCACGAATTTGAGCGTGGTGAGATACTGGAATTGTAGCTGGTAGAGTCCTGGGAAGGTAGTTGAGTGTCTGCTGTTGGGCTCAAGTTCGGACTCTAGGTCTGTTGAGCGTAGGGATAAGACACGGAGCTCCTTGGCGACGGCGACTCTGTCGACTAGCATGGACTGTAGTTCTCTTCGTTGGAACTCCCATGATGTAGCTGAAGGAAAGGTAGCGCAGAGATCAAGCTCTTTCACGTTGCGTAACGCCATGGAGTCAAGTCTGACGCTGAGTGAACGGAAAGCTTCGATCAAAGCTCTATCGTATGACGGAGGATCACCAAAGATACCCGTACCCTCCCCAGGCCGAATGGCTTTTGCACTGCCTTGTTCTGGACCTTGATCTTGATCGTCAAGCATCACACTCTTGCACAACATACGCAGAGACTCGACCTTCGATCCGTAGCGGAGCATGGCTGGGACAAGGAAATTGTCGAAGCCTTGAAGAAGATCAAGCTTTGAGAAAGGAAATTCTGGAACGCTTCGTAGTGCCACGTCCTCATGCCAAAGGGCGCCCCGTGACTGCGAGGGATGCAACATGATAGTGGTAATGGTTCTAAGATTGACCATGGCATCGAGACCTTCCAAGAACAGTGGCCGAAAATTATGGATGGCGTCACTAGAGAGAAATGCTTCAAGTTGATCCAGACCGATGCTATCGGGGTAGTCTTCTGTATGACATAGTGAATGCCATCGTAGTATCCGAACATGAAGCGCCAGATGGGGCGAAGACGATATTCCCAAGAACTGAAGACGATGTTTCTCCAGAAAGGAGAGCCGGATCACGCTGAAAAGGCGGGGGAGAATTATGGCCTCGAGAGAGGGCCAGACAAGACGGACATTTCCAAAGGCTTGACGGTCGCTTTCAAGATGACCTAGGATAGTGTTCAGAAGCTCTTGGGGGAGATCGTCCAGTGTTGGCATTTTCAAGAGGTGAAGTTATATTGGGGGAAAGTGCATGTAAGCGCGGAATGAAGTCGGTCTGGAAATTGAGGTCATCACGTGTGGAGATTAGGCTACTACTGGTCTTGTACAACTACCAACTAAAATTGAAGACTCTACTACAACCACTGAAACCATTCTCGTAGATGAAGATCACGCATATAGTTCTATAGGCTCACTCTTTATTCCTTGATGTCTTGGCCGACTAAGCACCATTAGGTGCCTTGCTGTGGGTGTCAGAATTGGCCGCCATGAGCATACCTACCTAAGGGACGAAATAGTTTGGTCACCTTATGCCAGTTTAGACTATCTCTTAGACTAATTTGTTATAGTAGTCTAAGACTTGGAGGATAATCCTTCTGTTACCCGTCTGTTTTCCTCTCAGACTGACAAGGCTTTGGCCAGATAGCCTGGATGTTCATGGTACGAGCAAAAGACAATACAGGACCGAAGTTTGTGGAATCACGGCATATTCACTCCGAGGAAGCAAAGGATTCTTTGATTCTGTGGTTGAGTATTGTAATATCTAGTGCTAGTCAAACAGGCACCAATCAGCACTCAAATTCTTGTTGTCATAACCTGACGTAGTCGTCCAACTCCCAACGAAACCCCAAAGACATTCCAATCAAGCAGATTCCTATTCAGGCGTAGACTTGCGTAGGTAGTAGTTTTGATACTTAATTTGGCAAGCAGAGACTCATTCTGCTTTGTCAGATCCCTCCAAATAGCTAGCGACAAGCCGATAGCAAATATATTCAGACTCCAGATTGCCATTCCACCTTGCCTTAGGCAGCAGCAAGCAGCTGGAGTTTCTGTACGTCTTCTTCGGTGATGATATCCATTTTGTCGTCGAGGATTTTGACAGATGGAGCAGCAAGCGGCTGCTGCTTTGGTGATTCTTGGTTGGTGTTGACGTTGGGGTTATCGTCGAAAGTTTGAAGAGACGAAGCAGCAGGTGGCTGGCATTGCTGAGACTCATCGTTGAGCTCGATGTCAGGCTTGTTGATAGTTTGGACAGACTTGTCCTCGAGAAGCTGGATAGGTGACTCGAGACTCTGTTTGTCCCAGTTGACAACAAGTCCTGCTTCCTCAAGTACATCGGCAACCTCCTGGTTGATTCCGAATGTGTTGGGGACCTTCTTTGCCATATCGAGGATTCTGGCGTATGTTGCCTGTTCCTCAAGCGACGGCAAGATTTTGTATGCTGCTTTTAACGCAACTTGCATGACGCGATTAGTTGCAACTTTGCGGCGAACAATAGCAATCATCTTGGTGATCTGTGCATCGCGTCGTGAAATCTGTGCTTTGTCAGAGCAAAGACGCTGATTGTTTGCGTCATTCTTTGCCTTGAGCGCTTCGTTCTCCTGTCGCATCTTGATCAGATCCGACCTATAAAGCTCGCAGTCCGTCTTCTAAGAGTCGAGCTCGACGCTAAGGCCCAGAATTTCCTGATCTTTCTTCTGGATGATGCGTTCGTAACAATCTATCACTTCCCGTAGACCTTTGTTGTCCTTGGCGAAGAACTCATTCTTAAGGTTGAGGTTCTTGATCTCGGTATCTTGGGAGACGCAGGTTTGTCGGAGGCTGCTGGCTTCGGCGTACATGGCGCTGACCTGCTCGCCGATGTCGGGTTGCAGCAACATCTTGGGCAGATGCCTTTGAGGAGGTGACAGTTCGTAGGTAAAGCGATGAGAGAAGGTGAGTATTGAGGAAGACCTAATGTTCAGGTATGAGGTGATGATGAAAGGTGATGAGGAAGGCTGAACCGAGCGCACACTCTGGGCTTCCTCAAAAGCAGATGCTTAGGAGAAAGCGAATGGTCGGGGGGAATGCAATGGGGAAAGTGAGTATTGAGGAAGACTCTATGTTCAGGTATGAGTTGATGATGGAAGGTGATGAGGAGTGCTAACCTGAGTGCACCCTCTAGGCTTCCTCAAAAGTAGATGCCTAGGAGAAATTAATTCATGAGAAGCTCCCCTCATTCAAGTCTGAGCCAGAGTGACGGGGTAGTATCAAACTTCTGCCTCGTCATCTGCCATGCCCCACTCCCTTGGAACTATTCACAACCTTTTGTCATTTCTTGTCAGTGACAGCCACTTGGGCACCACTGGTCTTTAAGGATCAGCCAATCCTCACTCGCTTTTTATTCTGCAAATGCACAAAGACGGCGAAAGGGCCCTCTCTTTGACTCATCCTGGCTCTTTGTACCCAATGAGCAAAATGTAAGACTGCTTCGCACTCCCAAAGCCAATACTAACAAAGAACTGGTGGCCAATTAGCAACCCATGATGGATGTTAATAACTGTCATCTTGGGCCTACAAATCGCCGTATCTTTAGCGTCTTATCTAACTACATATCCAACATCCACTTGTATCAGACAACCATGCATCAGCAACCCCCTATCAAGTCTGCCCTTTACGATCCATCGAAAACCGCATGCTTCTTAAGATGCCAAGTAAACATGCCCTTCCTTAACCAGAAGACCTTTAGTCAATTTACTGGAAACTGCTGTTTTGAGAAATCGAGGAACGTATTATAATCGGCCACCTTTATTCTATATCAGCATTCTCTACCGACTTACACGTACTATATACAAAGAGGACAGCATCAACCCAACGGCAGATAGTCAGAAGCAATTCGAACCACTGCTTCGCAATACTTTCAGTAACTAGCTGAAGTTTGTTCTATGTAAGTTCTCTATACCAAGATGAACATCTTCTGCTTTGGAGCTTGATTAACACTACTGGAAGCAGCATTCATCCAGGAGTCTTTGAACTTAAGGTCCTCCGTAAGGAGGCCGACAGAAAATAACATGGCTCTGTTCGACGCTACCCCTGGTGGTTCCAATCATCAATTGACAGACCAGGGCGGAAGCCTCGCACTCAGTTGAACTGTCGCCCTTGGTCATATCGCCCATATACTGAAAATTATCTCTATATAAACTACCTCTCTTATGATGGCTAGATATCTATCTTCCCGTCGAGCCACCTACACGGCAGTTGGCCAATGCTTCTTTCCTTAGTTATTATACGGCAACAACCCTTCTTATCTTCTATATATACCTATCGAGGTCCGAATGGTAACACGGAACGTTGGTTGTGCTTCTACTCGGTATCGCCATCGGAGCTGCTTGTTCACCGAGTCGCATCGAATGACGACGTATCGTTGCGGCTAGGTTTTCTAGGTCTTTGGCTGGCATCATTTGCTATGTCATACAAGACAGCCATGCAAAGCTCTTGCTGCCCCCAAGACCTCTTCCCAGAGCCTCCTTATATGCAACACACCTGCTGCCGAAAGTCTAAGCGAGGCTGTTATATATACTTTGCTTTCTTGTGTTCCATATAGGACCACTCTCAATCAGACCACTTATTTCTATCAAGGAACAGGATGGACTTACTTCTCTGCCGAGCATTCAATGAGGCAAAGTGCCACCGGCCACTACCTCCTGGAAGTAGATTTGGTGACGAGGACTGCGCCCCCTGAAGGCGTCCTCTTCCCTGCAAGCAATGTATAGGACGCTTGCTCGAGTACGGCCGGCCCATCAAATGTGTCTCTGGCTCGTAGTGGACCTGCTCGTACTGCTCAAAGGTCAAATCCAAATGTTCTTAGTTGGATAACCTATTCACTACCTCGGCGGGCCTGACTACATACTATATCTCATGGAATCCGAGTACCGACCGGCTGCGAAACTATAGTATATCAAGAGGAGTGTTTTCGTTTCTTCTACGAATTTTATATATCTCTTCTCACAAGGTTCTCCTCATATTTCGTTTTTGAAATGGACTTGGAACACGACATCATCTTCGCGCGCTTAGTCCTCGTGCCTGAGGCGAGCCACGAGGCTGACGGTATCCATTCAATAATTGTCCCCAGGATGCGAAAATTCAATTCAACGGAATCTTCGACCCAAACCACGACTCGTGGGATGAATACGGTGTCAAGATGTTGAGCGTTCGTCGTTCCACAGCCATTGTCTTTGACAATGCCGCAAAGCTTGTTCAGCATTCCGTGCTCGTGGAGCGTTTCCTCTTGGATGAGCTAGCTCTATTATCTTTATAAAATGTATTTTATAAAGCACAATTGTGTTCAGACGACTTCCGTCGTGGAGACTTGGGAATTCTTTTTCTACCCTCTCAACTACTTTCCCCCTCATTATATAGTAGTCTCTACCTGGCCCTCTGCTAAGAACTAAGCTCGATCATGGACATCACTCACGATTTGATCATGGCAAGAGTTGCATTTTACAGTCAGGACCGCGAAAACGGAGATGTTAGCACAACAATCGTGCGTCTAAAAGACGCGAAGTTGAGCTTCCATGACATCTTCGACCCGGATATCAACACACTCCAAATATATGGCGTCAAGGTTTTGAACCTGCGCCGCTCGACAACCACAGTGTTTGATAATGCAGCCAAAGTGAACATACCATGGTCATCGAACGCGCCCTGAAGTCAGAGCTGGATCTGCATCGGACTCCCAAGTTGGTCGAAGCAAATGTAAGATAAAGTCCCCTGGCTATCCAAGTGATATATTACTTACTTTAGACAGATCCTTTACGGCGAAATTGATCCGAGCACTCAAGACATGGCCATCACCCATGTTGGCCCCATCACTATTACTATACAACAAGACATGCCCTCGTCTTGGGTCAAGACAGGTAAGCCAGGAGTTTCACCCTTTGGAAGTATACATCTAACTCTTTCACAGGACCAAGCTCTGGGGTGGTTGAAGAATTCCTACGACGCTTCTACGGAGAACGCAAGTTCGCCTGTCTTCGTGCCCGGCACTCGCGCTGGGACCCCGTCGAGTAAGTCATCAGTTTGAATAGAAATAGAATGGAAACTTACTGATACCTGTGTAGGGTCAGCCACCCTCTCTCCGAGCCGATGGAGCACTATCCATGGATTACCGAGGACACTCGAACTTCAGCGGACCGCTGGTTGTGTTTCTACTCACTCCAGCCTTCAGAGCTACTTGTCCGTCGGGTCGCATCGAGCGATGAGGGTGCTTACATTTGTGGTAAGTTCCAATCTAGCTGCGAGATGTTCTAAGAACAAGGCTGACATGTCGTGGATAGGACCCCTCGTCAGCTCGAACATCACGGGAGATCTTCTCATTACCCCAGAACACAGAATGAGCCTCAAGTTTGTTATCTGGATTTAGTCCTTTTCTTATTAATATTATACAGTATGATGAACGCTGTGTTCTTTTAAGCCCGGAAAGGGGAATGGATAAATATCACAGGGAACATGTTGACGGACCCAGAGCACAGGGCGACTCTGAAGGCTTTTTCTTTTTTGGACTTACTTTCTTCTTTTATATCAGAAATTGAACACATTATCTGCCTCTGGCTTTCCCTGTCACCTCACTTTCTTGCCACTTTTATATTGTTTTATTACTTAACGCACAGTCGCACTTCTTACTTTTGGTTATAAACGCCGAGTTGCCATGCAAAGCGCGGGACAGAAATGTATAAATATCACTGGCAATTTATCGGCCTTCTCAGAATGTCCAATGAATATAAGCTTTTACATCTGGAAGTAGCCACTCGCCAATTGCTATTCATACTATAAACTGCCTCCCTATCACCTCGGGAGATATGCTTATCAACCCAGAGCACCGTATGGTGTTGAAGTTCGTCTTCTCGGTGCAGCTCAATATCTCTCGCCTCCATTTACTTTACTATACTACGATCAAGGAATATCTTTGCAACCCTGTCGTGGGTCGTTTCTTTCTATCTACGCTCTTTTTTACTATATCTAGTATCCTCTCGCCGTTTGAGAGGACAAAACGAACAATGCCAGGCCGTCATGAACAAAGCATTTCCATTGAATACTGTGCAAGGCGGAAGAGTTTCGAACAGTTCAACTTACGTTCTCCCGTGCGTTAGGGCGGTCGCCGAATGGTCTGAAGCAACGAGATCTCCTTAGCAGAGTTTGCCAAGATCAGATCAACCATGGCTCAAACGAGGGACCCAACTGCTATCGCTAGCAAAGAAGCCTGATTGTTCCCAAGTGCAGCCTAAGCGAGTTCAAGATTCTAGCTGAAATGAGAGCCTCGGATCTCATCATGCTTGGAATGGACGCCTACCAAGAGCCAGCTATATGAAGATCAACAAGGCTATATTATTCCGCTTTCCATATCGATCTGGATATTACGAATACCTCCTCTTACATCAAGTATATAGGTTTTCATGACTTCAACAAGTCCATCACCCCAACTGTTGACTTCTTCATGGCGTCTACTGCATCCGAAGCAGCCTAGTCGTCAGGCTTATACAGCAGCACCCCAAGTGGTACCTCTATCTACGCGACTACGACTTCGGTCTTGGTCCGTCCCCTACATATTGTTATGCGGTAGAGAAATCCGTTGAGTTGCTCACGATTACGTTGCAACCACGACATTTCTCTCAGAATTAGTCGATGAATATTGCAGAAGGAGTGATAAACTCCACAATATTTATATTCAGACAATATAAACTATATATCCTGGGACGCTCCGAAGTAGCCCTGAGCCAAGGACATATGTGAAGCCATCGGCCGGGCCTTCACGCCCGGACGGAGGACACACAGGCGGGTGTTTCCCATGCCGGGGCCATGTCGAAACCTTTGCTACCAACGCCAAACTGCGAGACGACAATAACATGCCATCATTATGACAGCGCGGAATCCGACAGCAAAAGAGTTACATAGCCCTTGACTTCAAGCCTCATGATGCTTTAAAAGGGAGCTTGTTGTTCAGACTCATTAGATCTTAAAGGTCACCAGCAGGCAGTATATATAACGAAAATGGCCTTCTTTCACGTCCCTGTCGAAAATGGGACCTAGAATATGGGATTGGGGGTAGGCAAAGTCACCCGAAACGTCAACAACTTATTATATCTGTCCTTCAACAACTTCAAGGATATCATTCTATCAGCTTTGGCTTCTCTCAATCAAGCCATTTTCATGTCTCCTTTGGAGAATATTTACAAGATATTCTTGAATGTCCTGAAGTTTCTTGGGATATCTGATCGCTTAATGAGTGTGCAAAACCATACATATGTAATGGACCTTACAAACAACCTTCTCTTGCATGATCTCCCATGAATGATCACGACAGAGAAGTCAATGCTCATTGGTGGTGATTTGTAGTCGGCAATCGAAGATTGATAAGCGAATGCGCACTGTTTACACTGTGCCAAGGAGCTACACTACACAGCCTCATTAACCAACGACATTTAAAACCACAACTCTATTTTCTTTACATTTATCTTGATCCTATCTCAATATCTTTCATATGACCCGAAGGAAAAAAGAAGAGAAACGAGCCATTTTTTCTAATAAATTACTCACCGTTAAAGGAGGGGATGATGGGGACCCATCAAATCGCCATTACGCGGCCCGCAACGCAGATTTTGAGGCACTTACACGACAAAGTCATCAGCACCACGACAAAAGAAATGAGAGATTCGTAACAGAATAACCGATTACTATATAGTAGACTTAGATTAGGAGTAAGCTTATAGGTAATTTAAAATTAAACTTGTCCCCCTCTTTTGATTCATTGTTCCGGTGGCGTAAGAGGCAGACGTCGTCTTTGGCGAGGCCACGCAATGCTGCGTCGCAAGCAGTCGACTACTCCTCACCATCAAAAGCTTGACCAATACCTCTTCACTTTAGACTCACAGTCAGTCACGGAATGTTCCATCATCTCACTACTCTCTTTGTGAAAGTTAAAGGACAGGATATAAAATGACGATGCCCCCACCACTTCCTCCTGTGCTATCTACCACGCACGATCACGAAGTAGATAGTCCCTCAACTTCTATTCTCAACATCATAAAACCACCCGTTCCAAGTCGACGAATAAGAACGTCTCAAACACCCAACAATGCAGAAGTTTTGGTACCGCCTCTTATCGCAGGCACCCTCGTCGCTGCTTTCGCAACTGCCCTCGCCGATGGACTAAACAACGAACTCCTCACACATTACTACCTCCCCGAACAAAAGTTCCGAGTCAACATCGACAGGGTCTTAGACAGATTATTATCCGAGTTTACGTCGATGTTATGGGATGAACTGTGGACTTTTTACTGTGACTCCAACCCAAATTCGACGGAGCAGATTAAGAAGTTGTTTGATGGACCGGTTTGTCAACTTATACTCATCCTTAATGGACCTGAGGCACCAAGATGTCTGCTTGATAAACTTGGTCCCGGTATTTCGAGACGACCTTCGACATGGTCCGAGTTGGCGCAGGGGATTGATCTTCCTGTTGCGCTGCAGTTGCTTTGCAATTATTGGGATAGGGAGTATCCTGCTCGGTCGCCCAGGGGTTCACCCAACGAGATTGCTGCATCACTGCACAAGTATATCACGACAGGGAACTCGGCTAAACGACTTATCTTGAGGATCCGGGAGACACTTATCTCACCTCACCATGTGCAGATGCATGTCATGGAGTCGGCGATGTGGCATATCCTCACCAGGCCCCTTTATCGACCGCCCGGAGATGGTTTCCATGTTGTACAGTTCAAGTTTGAATGTCAACTACCAGGGATACTTCAGGGTATGAACGACCCTCAACTCGTAAAGATTGGTAGTCGGACAGCTATCACTGGAACCGCCAATGACTGCGTCTACACCACTATATCCGAATACACAACCAAGCAGTGGCCTAAGTGCGGCGAACTCCTCCTGGGATGTATCGAAGATGCCGTCAAAGAAGGGTTGACATCAAGTCGCGAAGGCCACTCGTTCTCTGGCATGTCCATCTGGGACGGAACCGATAACCCTTTCTTATGTCCTGGTCTACGTCTTCTACACGTCGAAGTTGAAGACGGCTATATTCGACTCACTGTATCAGCATGGACACATACCATGATTGAGATACTCCAGCAAATGGCATGGACATGCTCCACACTTAGCGCCTCACCACTTCCTGGCTCGTTATCTGAGTCTTCTGTTGAAGTAGCAGACTGGCAATACATGGAGGACTCAATTTTTGTCGAGTGCAGTCTCTCACATCGGCCTGTGCCGGAGGGAGATGGACCTACGTGGTTGAAGCAACTGGGAGGGGTCGCTATTGCGAATGGGTTTCCTATAAGTCATATTCGGGAAGATGCACAGATGTCGTGACAAGGATTGAGAGGGATTAAGATAAAGCTATTACGTGACGAGGAAACGTTTACTGTATTATCAGATGATACCCGTAGTTTAACAACATATTTTGACAAGCACTGTATTGCAAAGTTGAAAGTTGAGATGAAGAGCTTTTGTATTTGTCCCACGATTCGTGTAGTTCCATCGTCCATGCTTTCGGTCAAAGTAGTTAATAGAGGAGTGAGAATCTTCTCATTGAGGCAACATTCCTGCGAAAAACGACGGGCTTGACAAGGTATGGCGAAGTGCGACAGATCGTGATGCGGCAAAAAGCCTGCATCAATTGTACATGATCTCCAAACTCAATTTCTTCTCATTGAACCCTTCGTCGATGATACGTCCGTTGCTGTTGCGACATGTATGAAGTTGAACGTTCAACCTCCACCGCAAAAGTCCCAACTTTGAGACGCCCGTCCCTTGGAGCCTCCAATGATTTCTCATGCTAAAAGCCCTCAAAATTGACCATTCATCCAGTTTCCCATGCCTGAAACCAAGATTAGTTGACCCTTCACCTGATAGTCTGTGGCAGTCCATACTTTGTATTGCAAGCATCTGGCCACCCTGTTACTACAGGGTATCCTCCAAGCTTTGGCCATCCATTGGCACTTATACGATCGTATAGGCGATTGGCGAGCTTATCTGTCACGTGGCCATCGGGAATGGTGTTTAAACTGTGGAAATGTTCTTGGTCTTCACTTGTAGCGATACGGTTGGAACGGGGGCGAGAAGCTTCACGTATGGCTCGGCGTATTCATTACGGTTGAAGTCTGTCGCGGGCGCACGAGACGAGGTCCGGCGGATTGGCGAAGCTAGGGACTAGGCTATGCTAATTGGATGCGATTGAAGGTGAATTGGTTTCAATTGAATCGGCGTCACAAGGAGAGCGAGTGGATGGAGGTTTTGAGACAACTAGACGGTATTGTCAGTTTCGCATCCAAACCCCGATACCTACTTTCTTTGTGGCAATCCAATTGCGATCCTGGATGGATATCGGCATATTGGCGATAAGATAAGACTAATAAGCGGCAATTGCTTCTTGGATGCTAGACAATGTTGTTCGTAGCTGGACGAGTTACCCTGGATGTTGTTGAAATGATATGATGATTGAAAGTCGGTGTCGAGACTGATCTGAGTTTAATTGATTGACTGATTGCTTATCGTGGACTGTCCAGAGTTATTGGCATTGTCATGGGGGTTGCGTATCACGGGACGCCGCCTGTTCCTGAATGAGGTCATTCTGCGTCGAGCTTGTGTTATCGCTTCGTATCGCGTTTCACTGAGTGAGCCTCGGTTTGGAGAGAAAAACGGAATGGCAATGGCGAAAGGTAAAGGTGAGTCAAAGAGATGAGATGGATGTTCTCGTGATCAATCGTTCAGCTTTTACTCTTGAGACAATTCGTCGCTCGGCGTTCGCCTGTATCTTGTCTCTGGCGGTCGAGGTCGTTAAAAGGTGGCATGCTCTCGAATGAGCTGACTTTTTAGCAGTGCGTGCTGTGCTGTACTCGTGCTCTAGCCAAAACAAAAACGCCCAGGGAAAGGGAGCCAGGGATCAACGGGATCCATTCAAAACGTCTCCACTTGATGTCGCCTGTTGCCGACCCCACTATCGGATGTTCTGTAAGACATAAGATATGGGGAAGTTGATGATAAAGTGAAGTTATAGTAAACGACACTTTGATAAGAAAAGATAAAAGATGAAAAAGAAATAGCACTCAGTGATGAGGCTTCATCCAGTTCATGGTGTATGGACCATTATCCTAGAAGTGGAGGAGGGTGCTCGAGATGCAGAGCTGCCCTCTTTATGTGGGAGTAGCCCACCTTGTTTCCGACAGCGTCATGGTCCAGAGAGACTCAGGTACAAGTTACGAAGTCACAAGGAACATGGCACGCGGCCTCTGCCCATGGGGAGATGAACCTATCTCCACGCCATCACGGCAGTTTTAGCTCTCACCCTGGTCTAAACAGCATGACGCTGGTACGATACCAGCATAAGGGTAAACAAACCATCTCTAGCTAGCTCTAGACGATCTCTGGCTCTGCAAACGAAAACATGGCTGATTGACACCCTTCTGATTGCCCAAAGACGTCTCGCCGACCTCTTGATTGATGGACGAGACTGGGCGGCATACTAGCAGCATCGTGACTAGCCAATCGACCTAGCACTTCCCCTCAATTTACTGCCACAAGGTTTCACGCGGGTGGGGAAGAAAGAAGTTTATGATTGATTGCAAAGTCCCTTTTTAGTTGCAACCCTAGCGAACATGTACCTGTCTCGATTGATACCAAGAGTCAGGTGAGTTGCGCCAACAAGCGCCAAAAGCACGCATCCGCGAGCCGAAGCCTCCGGGGGACACGGACATGGATGAGGGATGAATGAGGGGCAGGATAGAAACTGGCGATCCATCGTCATAGGCCATGGCTGAATCAACAACGTGCCAATCTGATAGTTTGGTTTCGTCTCTTTCGATCGGCAACACCCAGTTACAGTAAGTTGCTACCCCTCTTCAGATCCATCTCATCATGATTCCAACTGCCCCAAATCTCAATGCTTAACTGATGATTCTATCGCGGGCTTCCGCGACCGTCAATTGCTCTCCATTGAATCACCTCACTCGATTGCCGGGGCCCATTCAACGCGCCACAAATCCACAACGAACCCGATCGCGAGTGGATCAATGGACAAGCTTTCCCCGGATTCTGCTCTCGAGAGCTAGCTCTATCTGGTAGTAAAGCGGGTACCAGACCGGTACGTAGAGCGGGTTCCCACCAAAGACCTGCAGCCGCGTCGCGCCAGCGCTAGACCCGTTGCGGCTTCAGGTGTGGTCTGCTGAGCTTGGAGCCAGGGGCGTCACGGCCTTCCGTCAGGCCAAAGTCACGCGATTATCCAACGACGACATGAATTGAACTGAGTGGTGCAATAATCCACATTCACTGTGAATGTACTTGATTATAGTAACAATCCTAATGCGTGAGGTGCTTGTAACATTGAAACAAAAGGAGAAATCGGAGCGAGGCGCAGGCACAGCACAGTACAGCTTGCAGACACCAGACACGCAATTAGTTCCTTAGCTGTACCCCCCTAGGTCGTGCCCTTCCCTTCCCTTCCGGGTGTAGGCATGAGCAGTTACCCCGCCCAGTCTGACGACAGCTCATTGTAGTTAAGGTAAGGGCATGTAAGGTGAAGCCTTAGGATAGACGGGAACGGGGATCAGATGCGGTAGCGGTACCTTCCTCAGGTACTGCCTTGCACTGCCTGTTAAACGACTTCCCGGTGGAGGTGGACGACCCCGAGAGGAAGGTGCGCATGCCCGTGCCTGTGACTGTGAATGCAATAAGTAACAACCCCTTCCCCTCCATCTGGTCCTTCTTTCTTTTCTTTCCTCTCACCATCACACCTTCGAACCACAAACAGCAAACCAACACTTACAATCTTCTGCTTTTGACGCAAAAGGTTCGTGGCCTTTCTCACTACTCCTTCCCTTATCAACATCACTAACATTCATTTCCCTCAGCAGAATCAGCTACAACAACCAGATCTCCTCGATCAACTCACAGCAAACCTTCATCATGACGGAACCACTCTCCAAGGTCGATTCAGCCGTTGACGGTCTTTCAAGCTCTCCCCCCACCAAGGATCTTAAGACGCGGCGACAAAGTTCAGCAGCCGCACCTGGCGTCTGGAACGTCAATGACCTAGGTAAGTTATGACATACTCATCCCTCATGGCTCCTTCCGATATCGGATATGTTGTGGTGAGGGCTTCATAAGACACCTCACTGACCTGTTACTATAGAGGCTGAGGGCAAGGAGCTCGAGCTTGCTCCCGAGACTCAAAAGACAGGATGGTAAGTCACTAGTCCTTCACGTCGTCGACCCCGCACTTCGACATCATTGATCATGACAGCCACTGACATCCCCAATAGGAAGATCAACACCAGCCCAAACACGGTAGAGGACGCTGCTATCCTCAAGCTTCCTCTCTCAGAACCACCAGTCAAGAGAATCGATCTCCACTTCCCATTAGGAAAGGAGGTGACAGCACGAAACCTCAAGGGTGTAACAATCAAGGATGCTCTTGATGCCATCCACAAGGCGTACAAGAAGCGGGTATGTTTTGGATCATCTCACACTTGGATGTCCATGCTAACATTCTCAGGCCGATGATGAGCTCGACAAGCCCTACCTCGCTGGATTCGAGTGGGACAAGGAGGAGTCATGGACCCGACTTGTTGTTCATCTCCAGGCCCAGCCCACAGCCACAACATTGGACGGACCTTCGGGTGGCGGTAAGAAGAAGAAGAACAAGAAGAACGCCGAGGAATAAGTTCTCTCCGCCACCCTGGTATCTGTTCCAATAGTTCCTATAATTCATGTTCGTTTCGCTGGTTTCGTTGCGAGTCGGCGCTCGGGATATTGCGTCTAGATATTCTCGGTCCGGTCATATTCTGTGCGACTGCTGGAAGCGTCGCCTGGTGTACTCCTCAACTCTAGTTCTTTGTTATCGCTGGTCGATTCGGTCGGCGCCCTGAGATTCCATGATGTCATGGTTCTTTACATAATATACATTTCCGAGCAATTATGTTTTCATTGCATGTGAAGAGTGGCTTTCAAAGTGAAGTTATAAGCTAATTCGTCTCGGCCGAAGCATGATAGACGAAATAATCTAGTCATCTTATGCCATCTCTGAGGCTATCTTATTCTGGCAGTCTGGGTCTCATAGACTCCAGACCCACCATGAGCTTACCCCGCGATAATGATGTTAGCTTCGGGTGAATTGTACCTGGACCCTTGAACTAATTCAAGGTTGCACTCATTTCAGATTGATAATCAGAATATGACTTCTCATCAATTTCTCATCCCGATCATATGCGATAAAATGGCCTGTTATGGCTTCTCTCGTCTTTGCTGAGGTAACATGCTTCACCGTGCAAGATCAGCGGAATCAAAGCGCGTTGATCTCCGGCTAACGTCGGGCCGTGCCCAGACTCAAGATGCGGAATTACACAGCAACGGCTTACACGGCGTCATCCGTCTACAGGTTGCCAAAGCCGTGGAAACACAGTTATAAGCAATCCTTATTCCCACTCTTGTCGATCTGTTATATCACTCATTCGAGCAACAGACTTTACTGTGAATATGCCCATTACTACCTTTGATCTCAAGGAGAAATACCGATATCAGAATGGCTTCAACTGCTATTTAGAGTGAGTTTCACATGCTTTCATTCTTTTTCATCAACTGACAACATTCAGGTCGGAAGCTGTCGAGGGCGCTTTGCCTATCGGTCACAACTCCCCTCAGAAGCCTCCATATGGTCTCTACGCTGAGAAGCTCTCCGGAACAGCCTTCACTGCCCCTCGTCATGAGAACAAACAGACATGGCTCTACCGCGTTCTTCCCTCTTGCGCGCATCCTCCCTACCAAGCAGACACCAAAGCTGCATCCCAGGACAACAAAACTCTCGACGGCGCAGAGGATGGGAAACTACACTACATCCCCAACCAACTCCGCTGGGATCCTTTTGACCATAATGAGGCTAAGGATCAGGACTTTGTCACTGGTTTGAGACTTGTTGCTGGGGCAGGCGATCCTACGCTTAAGGAGGGGTTGGGTATGTATATCTATGCCGCAGGCAAGAGCATGGATGAGAAATCAGCATTTTACTCGGCCGATGGTGATCTTCTTATCGTTGCTCAAGAAGGTGCTCTTGATATCCGCACAGAGTTCGGATGGCTACTTGTGAGACCCATGGAAATTGCTGTCATTCCCAGAGGCGTCAAGTATCAAGTCCACCTGCCCTCAGGTCCAGCTCGCGGTTATGCTTTGGAGCTGTATCAAGGACACTTCAATCTTCCTGAGCTTGGCCCCATTGGATCTAACGGTCTAGCCAACGCCCGAGACTTCCAATCTCCTGTTGCGTGCTTCAGCGAGGACTTTGGCGCTACGGCTTCAGAGGGATCAGGCAAGTATACCGTGTCTGTCAAGTTCAACAACAACCTCTTCAAGACTGTCCAAGCACACACACCCTTCGACGTCGTATCTTGGCACGGAAACTACTATCCTTACAAGTACGACCTCGGTCGCTTCAACACCATCGGCAGCATCTCCTTCGACCACCCCGACCCCTCCATTTTCACCGTTCTCTCCGCCCCGACAAACACCCCTGGTACCGCCGTCGCCGACTTTGTGATCTTCCCACCGCGCTGGCTCGTCGGTGAAGATACATTCCGACCCCCATGGTACCACCGCAACACGATGAGCGAGTTCATGGGTCTTATCCAAGGTGGCTACGACGCGAAGAAGGGCGGTGCAGGAGGTTTTGTACCTGGAGGCGCGAGTCTGCATAATGTCATGAGCGGACATGGTCCTGATGCGGAGAGTTATGAGGGTGCTAGAAATGCGGAGCTCAAGCCTGTCAAGGTTGGAGCGGGTAGCTGTGCGTTCATGTTTGAGAGTTGTTTGATGGTTGGTGTTACGCAATGGGGATTGAGGACGTGTCAGAAGGTGCAGGAGGGATATAATGAGGAGAGTTGGTGTGGTGTTAAGAACCATTGGAAGATGCCTGAAGGGCTTAAGGTCAAGTCCCATATGCTGTAAGCAGATATAAAATTGGTGTTGAGGGCTAGCAGATTCAGTAAAGCAACAATTCTTATTCATATTTATTGTCCACCAGTTCTCAGAACAACATTCGAGGGCATCTCCCTATCCTTAAACTCCTCATCCATCTCATAAACCGTCTCACTATCCGCCTTGAAACCCATCTGCAGGTACACCAACCGTCCCATACTCGATCCCTCAGTAATACACTCCAAATCTCCCCTTCTCACAGCCTCATCCAATCCCCACTGGACCAACTTCCTCGCAAGACCCCTTCTCTGGAACTTGGGATCAACGGCACAAAGATCCATCGCAAAAACAGCCGGCTTCTCAGCGGAAGCCTTCTCCTTGATGATCTCGCGTCGACGACTGAAGAGTGATTTATCCGCCTGCACGAGGAACTTCTGCTCAGTCTTGTTTCCAGGGTACAAGTCCTCCAGGAAAGACCCCTTTGTGAGATCGCCCGGTGCGTCGCCCCAGCCTTCTACGACGGAAGCTTGATGCCAGGTTGCCATACCGGCGATGGTGTTGTTGACTGTGGCTTTGACAAAGACAGTGTTGGGCTTTCCATCGCGGTTTTGAGTGACTGACTTGAACTGGTCTGCTAGACGTTGAGCACCAGCTTTTGCGCCCTCAGGTGTATCCCAGCCTGGGTTGAAGGCGATCCAGATTGCATCGTTAGTTTGACGACCGAAGGCGTTGGCCACCGCCTCGAAGGCACCTTCGAAGTCATCAGGATTGGTGATGGGTTCGATGCGGATATCTTCGGTAGACATTTTATAATGAGATTTCAGTTTTGGGTTATCTCGGAACAATGAGATAGAATGAGATCGAAGCCAGTATTTATACAGTTGGTGGATAGATATGAGAAAGTGTTCATCGCGATTGAGGCATTAGTTCTCGTGAGTGCATGATAGTGGACCAGGATTCCACTTCTCTATTATAGCCCCGTGGGGGTGTGGGTTAGCCTCTACACCGAGGTTTAGGTTGACAGACTATCTCAATCTTAATTCCTTTGCTCTCCATAGTAGCATTTGACTACGACTTTAGTAATTTCTCAATATGTTGAGGAGTTGCGAATACCCAAATGCATGATGTCCGTGACCAGCCTGGGATAGCTTCAATCTCTAGTGGGAGTATCTCTGTCCGGCGTGAGTCACCGTGAATGAGATGGTGCTGTTTTTGGTAGGTGACGGGGCCTCGAACTACTCTTATGTCAAGTACTTGGAGAAAGCTGGAAAAAGTGCGCGATTGATCTGTACGGCTGCTCAATGTTCCTAGGCTTTCATCCCTCTGAACATATAGGTAGCCAATTTACAACACCAACTTCAACGCCCCAGGCAGTTAAGACAATAAATATCCTCTAAGACTTAGACAATAAAAATAAAGTAACCTAAAATTTAGACTAAACTCGCATAAAGTAATCAAAATATTTCATCCCTTATACTGTCAGCATTATCCAATATCCGCCCTCTGCTTCATAGATCGGATTATGATAGTTGTCCCTCTCTTCCTAATAGTCATCAGAATCATATCCAGCCGCTGCGTAGTTTCCGCCGGCGTTATATCCATTATCATCATCAGAATCTACCTGGCCGTAATTGTTCTCATCCTCATCGCTATCATCAACTTGTCCGTTGACCTCGCTGTCGGACTCATTCTCGGAATCAGATTGCACCTGCTGCTGGTACTGTCCGTACTGATTCTGTTGCTGGTACTGTCCATGGTAATGATCTTGTTGCACTTCATCTTCATCTTCCGAATCGGACTGAACAATATGCTGCTGATTGGAATAGTGGACTGGCTGATCCTCCTCCTCAGAATCTTCCTGCTGGAAAGTCTGTTGCTGATACTGGTCCTGGTAGTGCTCTTGCTCCTGATGGTGAGTTTGATCTTGGTAGTAAGTTTGTTCCTGGAAGTGTTCTTGTTCTTGGTACTGATCATGATAATGAGTTTGTTGAACTTCATCCTCTGAATCAGATTCTTCAAAAGCATGTTGTTGGTGGTTGTCATAGTAGCCTTGCTGTTCTTCATTGTCGGAATCAGCCTCGTCGTACGTTTGATGCTGGTGATATCCGGTGAAGTTGCCATGTTGCGGTTCAACATCGCTTTCTTGATCCGACTCCACCTCTTGCGCGATGTCGGAGTCGGAGTCGGAGTCTGAGTCGTCCTGACCTAGGTCTGCATCGTGCTCGCCCTCTGACTCTGCTTGAAAGCTTTGATTGATCATGTCGTCATCTGAAACATCAGCATCAGTGTTTTCATCCGACTCAACATCGCTCTCAACATTGCTTTCAACATCGTTGTCCACATCGCTCTCATCCCCATTCTCATCTTCGTTCTCGTCGTCTGTGAAATTGGTTGCGAGGTGTAGGCTGTCGTCCTCGTCCTCGTCAAAGTTCAAGCTCTCGACATCATCTCCATCATCGGAGTCGCCGCCAATAGAATCGAGGTCATTATCATCAGAGTCTTCTGACAAAGCTTGATCATCATAGTCTTCAGCATCAGAAACGTCCACGCTGAAAGAAACCGACTCAACTTCACTCGAATGAGCTTCACTTTCATCATCTGACTGGTGATCATCTTCGGATTCTCCAGCCCCAGTCTCCTCTGCTGAGTGTTCAGATTGCTCTACAGGTGTCTGCAAGTAATAGTACTCCGTGTGAGTTGAAGGTGGAACGGGTTGATAATAACCTTGGTCCGGGTTTATGCTCCTCTCATCGTTAACAAAGTTGTTCTCGTAATGATTCTTCTCATAATAGTTGGATAGCATGTAACCACCAACTCCACCAGCAACAAGACCAGCACCAGTAATTGCAGCGATCTTGCCTGCAGAGGATTTACCCGAACCATCGTTCTTTGCGTCGTGGCTCTGTGTATGCATGCCACGAGAACCGTATGTATCAACTGACCTCTGTCCAGTGGCGTGCTGCGCCTTTTGCGAAGATCCAGAAGATTGAGCTGGCGCGGGAGATGGCTTCTTGGGCCCTGACGAGTCGGGTCTCTGTACTGTTGAGGGTTGGCCCGGTGCCCTCGCCGAAGCAGGGTGTACAGGCTTTTTCTGGTCTGAATTAACCTGCTGAACTGGAGGCTTCTGAGCTGGAGAGGGCTTGGGGGCCGAAGCAGGCTGCTGTGCTGGGACAGGCTTTTGAGCTTGAGGAACCTGACCAGGAGGAGGCTTCGGACCGGTAGCTGTCTGTTTTGTCGGGGCAGACTTTTGGTCTGCAGTTGCTTGCTTTGCTGAAGCGGGCTTCTGGTCTGCACCAGGCTGTTTTGCTGGAGGAGACTTTTGGGCTTGGGTGGGCTGGCCAGGCGTAGTCTTCTGGTTTGTAGCGGGTTGCTGTGCCGGGACGGGCTTCTGGCCCAGAGGAGCTTGGCCGATTGCAGGTTTCTGGTTTGCAGGTGGCTGCTGAGTTGGGGCTGGCTTTTGAGACGATGGAGGCTTCTGGGATGAAGGGGCCTTGGGCGCCTGGGCAAGTTGCGCCGCAGAAGGCTGCTGTACTGGAGCAGGTTTCTGAGCTGGAGGAGCTTGACCGGGAACAGGCTTGCGACCTGGAGCCCCTTGTTGAACCGGAGAAGATGTCTGGCTGGTCTTTGGCAAAACCGGCCTCTGAGTCGGGATGGGCTGCTGCGCGGGAGCCGGCATCTGAGATGGGTTCGACTGAGTCGCCGCAGGTTTCTGAACTACAGGGCGCTGAGCAAGAGTCGAGCCTTGGGACGCGACGATATAGGCACTTGAAGCGCCTTGCTGAGGACTGGGAGGCTTTTGAGCTGGAAGAGAGTGCTGGGTTGGCATCGATCTTTGAGATGTACCAGGTGCTGGCGATTTCTTTCCTTGTGCTGCCTGCGGAGGTGCGTTTGATCCAGCAAGAGGTGGCGAAGCGAAACTGTTCTGAACATTCTGCCTTCCTGGCGCAGATTGTCCCATAACAGCAGGAGCCTGGTAAGGTTGCCAGAGGTTGTTTGGTGATGGCTTCGTAAACTGGTCTGCCACAGGCTGTGTTGGCTGATGCCTGCCTACAGGCTTGCGACCAAGGCTCAGGGGTGCAGTAGGTTTGATAGATGGATCCATAGGACTCTGGTAAGGTGCCTGGATCTGGTATGAAGCTGCACTGGACGCGAGGGGGTTGCTGCTAAACGGCTGATAGGCCTGGGCTGCTCCGTGCTGCGGTACCGGTTGACCCGGACTGCTTTGCCCAGCTTGACCTAGAGACTTCTGCGAAGGCAGAGAAGACCTGTGGTCGACTTGACTTTGTGGCCTTGAAGCTCCACCTGGAGAAGCACCACGGGTCTGATCAGGCTGGAATGGTTGAAAAGGCTTAAACGAATTGCTGCTGTTAGAGGGTTGCTGAGATGGGCTAGAATACGAAAAGTACGAATTCTGCACGGCCAGGGGCGTTTCTTGGGATGAAACTGGAGAGCTTGATGAGAGCGCGCTATACATAGCCCAGCTGTTTCTGTGGCTCGGCTTTTGGTGCTCAGTCACCACCGCAGGTTGAGGGGGCTGAGTGGGTTTTGCGAGAGGTCCTCCAGAGTTGGGTGTCACTTGTTCCTTAGCTCCAATGGTAGGTTGCGAAGGCTGGTAAGACTTGAAACCGGAGGTTTGCTGCTGCTGCTGCTGTCTGTCTGCAGACATCGGGGTCGAGGTGTTGGGCTTGGATGTCTGTTGTTGCTGTACCACAGGGGGTGTAACTGGGACTGGACCACCAGATGCGAATGGAGAGTATGTGGTCGCCAGCGTCTGGCCTTGGGCTGTGTTCGTAGCTCCAGTTGGAGGGCCATGCTTTGCAGATTCCTGCGGTCCTGCTAAAGGGGGACTGGGTTTCGAAGCAGTCATTTGTGCGCCTGCGTTGGCGGTCGGCTTAGCGACATTGACGGCTGGTTTGGCGACGTCAACAGGTTTGACAGGCTTCGGTGCCCTTGCGGTCTTTGAAGGAACAGAAGAAGATGTTGGTGCTATTTTCTTCTTGGACTCTGTCTTAGACTTTGGCTTGGCGTCCACGTCCTTCTTCTTTCCATGCTCAGCTGCAAACCTGTCTTTACAGGCCAACCATTCCTGATCCCAGACTGAATACCTCTTCTTGTAGTGTTTCAACAACAAAGATGCAACGAATTGCTCTTGATCTGAAAGCAACGGCACCGCTTTTCCCCTATAGACAGCATAGTAGATAACTGTATGACCTTCACTGCTAAGAGCATTCAGATCTGGGTTTGCTTCTAGCAGAAGCTTCGTGATCTTCTCCTGGTTGGCTCTCACTGCCAGCATAAGAGCAGTGAAGCCGAGCTTGTCTTTCACGTTGACATCAGCCTTAGCCTCTAGAAGCAGCTTGATGAGATTGATGTGGAGGCCTTGAACGGCATATACCAGCGCTGTCTGGCCATGCACATCCTTCAAATCAACCGGTACCTTCTGCCTCAAGAGCTCCTGTGCGCATGATTTGTTTCCTGAAGCTGCTGCCAAATGAAGAGCACTCTTTCCCTCCTTGTCATTGATATCCACTCGACAAGAGCGTTCAAAAAGAACTTTGATAGCGGCTGGGCGGTTTTCTGCAATAGCGAGATGCAGTGGCGTACGACCCTGGCCATCTTGCAGGTTGATATCCGCACCACCATCGAGAATTAGCTTCAAGACATTCGCCTTGTCTGTGGCTACAGCATGATGCAGAATGGAGTTATTGAACCGATCTAACGACTTGGCATTGGCGTTTCTTTCCAGAAGAAGTTTGATGGTAGATGAATTACCACGAACAACGGCCAAATGAAGCGGTGTCTGGGCAAATTCATTCGTAGCAGATACCAAACTTGGATCACTATCGAGTAGAGGTTTCAAAACACTTTGATAGCCTTGTAGAACAGCAAAGTGTAGAGTTGTCTGCCCGTTGATTGCTCGAGCGTTTGCCTTTGCACCGGACTTGAGAAGTTGCTTTGAAGCTGCTAAGTGTCCATGTAGCGCGGCATGATGCAACGGGCTTCTCTTCTGAGTATCCAATACGCCCGAAACCTCCGTGCCAGCTTTCTTGATGGCCACGGAGAGTAGGGTAGCATGTCCATAGACTGCAAAGATATGTGCCCAAAGTGTTCCTTGCAGCTCTGCAATCGCCGAATTCTCCTGGTCTAGCTTTACTAAGGGGCTAAGCACGCTGTCAGAGGGCCATTGGAGCAACTTTAGTATCTTCGAAGCTTCCGGCTTGCTCAAACCCGCTGCCGAAATATGGATGGACCAATTGGTCCCAGCATACTGAAGCAACTGAAGCGCAGGTTCTGTCTGGAACCTTGATTGCCATTGTGGCTCCTTAGGAAGTAGTGCAAGATAGCGCAGGAGGCACATGGCAAGGGAGTGATGAGCCCGCTGGAGTGGAGAGCTTGGATTATCTTGGGAGCTGAAAGACAGCATGTCTAGTCCCTTTGAAACGAAGAAAGCTGAGATGCTATCGTGCATCACCTTTACGACTCTCTGGCCGCGTAAGCTCACAGTTTCTATCAGACCCCAGGAGGTAGTCTTGATCCAGGACTGGAAACTCTCGTCTGAGCTGTATCGAGAGAACGGCTCAGCATTCAAGAGATCCTTGCTGGATTCAAGCTTAGGCATCATATCGAGTGACAAAGCCACTCGAAGCTCAGCAAGGGTTAGTGGTCTAGATGCCAGACAGCACCAAGTCAAAAGTGACGTCAAACTCTTGTTCCCTTGTTGCGCCAGGCTTTGGAAGTAATCGCCTAGCAGAAAAGAGATAGGAGCGGGTGTAGGAGAAGGCTGCTGGACAAGAGAAGACCGCGCCGGACCAAATAATTTGATGTGATTAATGATCAGACGAGCCGAGATGAACGAAGAGCCAGATTTGGACAGAACCAGCTGTCGTGTGTTAAAATCGGTGGTAGAGAGTTGTTCCTCGAGGAAATGCGCAAGACTTGGCCCGTTCTTCTCGTCCACATCGACGTAGGATCGGGGGAAAGGGTCCTTGGTAGGGATCAATGTGCTAGAGAAGATGATCTTGAGCCCATGTGCAATAGTCGGCTCTTTGGCAGTAGGCTTCGGCAGCGACTTCTCAAGAAGTTTGGAAAAGTCTTGCGCCAGTTTAGGAGCAGTCTCCCCTTCCGACCGGTCAATACCGTCAACGTAAATGGTGATAGATCGCGTCTTCAGTAGCTTAGTAACAGCTTTGGTCAAGTCTTCATAGAGCTCTTGGGCGCCCCATGCCACCTGCTGCCTCAGAGGCAAGGCCGATTCGATTTTCTCAAACCTTGCCTTGACGTCGCTGAATGTTTCGGGGGATTGTGGGATCAGCTGGTGGATCAGCGCCTTGTAGAATCCCAACCGCGACCTTGGAACTTCGCTTCCGCACATGGAGAACGAGTAGGTCAAGTGAATCGCGTTCGGCTCTTCCTTCAACTGAGAATGAAGGGCATGCTTCGTCAAAGTGGACTTTCCGCATCCTTCAGATCCTCGTAGCCAAAGCAGCCCGTGCTTGGAACTCTTCCAGTTGATGAAGAGGGGATCTTGGTTGAGCCATTGGTGGGAGTTGGGGTTTGGTGCTGTCGGTTCGATGTAGAAGTTTTGCATGGAAGGAAATCCGAAGCTTTCCAGAAATGCGGCCGGGTTGGCCTTGAAGGTCGGTTTGCGCGGAGGTAGGAGCGGGGCTTCGAGTTCTGTTAGCCAAGTAAGTTCTCGATATTATGCATCGCATACCTTTCTCAGGCCCTTTGGTCATGACTGGCGATGTATTGCCCTGGGGTATCTTGGTGTTGCGATCATCTGACATTTGCTTGGGGACGCTTTGGGGCGCATTGGTAATAGGTTGAACGGCCAATGGCTTCCTGGCGACACTGCCGCCGGGCTTCATAGTGGCCGGCTCAACGTCTACGAAAAAGGGCATCTCGTATGACTGATCGCTGAAGTCGACCGTCGAAGAAAAAGGCTTCTTGGCTTCTGATCCGGTGGTTTGGGAGCCATAAGGCTGGTAAGACTGAAAAGGCTGCGCGAAACTCATGGTGAAACAGGCAATATGAAGAAGAAGAATAGAATGACGGAGGAAAATGGAGAAACAATATTTGCTAAAGAAGGTCAAGAGGGAAGCCTGTATATATGGAAATTATCTGACATTGCGCAACTTTTTGCACTGGCAGGAAAGAACCACAAGACCCTGCCCAGGCTGCCACCTTCCCGCAAACACCGGCGGCTACTCCTTACACCACACCAGGTCCAGCATTCCAGAGAAGGCATACCCACCAGTTTCAAGATTTGGAATAGCTGCTCCTTGCGCCGCGTATAACATGCAATACTAGACCTCAGCTCTGCCGTGTTGATGGAAAATGTTGGGGGCCAGACAGCTTGCCAAGCCGCTGGGGTCGTGGCCTTATAAACCCTTGTTTGCTGACTGCATCTTCCTCTGGGTATCTAACAAGGTTATTCGACTAGGATAACGTTGCAATAAGGCTCGGGTATCTATAATGTTGCCTAGTGACCCGTCGAAACTCCCTTTAGGGTCACAGGGACTTTGGCTCCGTCAACTCAACAGACGATCCACGAAGTCAAGACACTCTGCGGTAACTTATATTAGCTTTCATGATTCAAAACATACACTTCTGTTGCTCCAAGTCCCGGGCTTAAGTACCTTTCTACCATCATGGCTTCCTCACCTGGTCAAATGCCTGGGAAGAAATACTTCGTGAGGTCTTGGCCCTATACCACGCCACTAGCACGGGATACTCGAATTGTCACAAATACAAAGATTCACTTATATGTACTCAGAATACCTAGATAAGAGTTGTGTTGGCTTTATCAAACCTCTCGTTTCCATAGGTCAAAAGTCTAAGAAGTCTAATCTTGCAGTTGAGCTCAGGTTTCCTATTACGGTTCTTTATACGTTATCCCAAGTCAAGAAACTTCACGCCATAGTATCCACCCTTGTTGTTCCCGTTGTCCCCTCTACATAGTAAAACATTCATCTTAGACGTTCCCGTTATGGACGAAAGGGTCAATATCTGCTTACTCCCGGTGGGTCTATTGCGAGCCGAGGTCGTTAATGGACGGCTTGCCTTCTCACAATGATAACTACCCTTGTCAGCCGTAAGCATCCCCTGAAGAATTGGGGGCCATTTCTTATCATATCATATCTCTATTGGCCAACCTTTATACAATTCTGGGGTTGGCCCGAGCCTTATTTGAACCCCCTGTTCCATCCAACGTCAAGTACCCTAGCGTGATCCTTCGCGCAAACTTGGGGGCCAAATTTCCATTTGAGCCTCATGATATCTAGCAAGTACATGGGGCTGCAGCAGGCTGAGACTTTTAATCAAGTTACAAGAGTAAGCACTTGTATATAAAAGGCAAATGAGAATAGCCGCGGGCCGTGGTGGCGTTCACGGTTTCAACAACCGCCTGAATAAAAATGTGCAAACGATATGGATGCCAATGTTGTATCTGTGCGACCATTCACTTGGGAGAGAGTTCGAGACGGAAACTCCGCACATGTACACCCTCAAAGATCAGAAACAGGTAGTCCTCTGGTCGGCTGGCGTTTAAGGCGGATATTTTGCCTGATATAGATTCGGCCACAGAACGTGAGCAATATATGATGGTGTGCTGCCAAGCGCCGACCAAGACCATTAAACATCATTGGCAAGCACTACTGTTTCGTTCAGAGGTTAGTCCTTAAGTGTTGAGATCAACAGAGTATGTCACTCGAGGTAACAAAGTGATCCTACTGTTGTCGAGAAGAATCTCTCTGGGCAACTCTCTGACCATTAAGTTGTCAACTGGGTGGCACAGAGCATTGTATCTCCTGGACCTTCAGCGACTAATTCTCCCAATACCCGGGCCGTAACCCTAAGGCCGATGTTTATGATCCTAAAATGTTTATTAACTCTTGTTTCATGAGCTATCAGCTCCTCTTCTATCGTTTCAGACGTGTCCAACACCCATCCTAGAGCCCAGTCCTATCAAACTCGAGAGTCAACACACTACAAAGACTCTCGCCTTTCATCCCATGGAACAAACGTCCCATACATAACCGCCCTCTCCTGATCGACATCATCATCCGCCGCATCAACCTTCCAGATGACAACCGCCCTGACGAATCCAAAGAACGCAAGTCCCCACATCAAAACATTGCTACCCATCAGCATACCTTTGACACTGCGGCTCTCCTCCTGGAAGCACCGCGTCCAAAGGACGAAACTGGCGACGGTTGTGGCGACTAGGATGAGTGATTCGAGGTAGAGGAGTGCGACAGAGGGCAGGAGCTTGACTTCGTGGATGATCAGGCTTGTGGAGCAGAGGAGGAGAACGATGACGAGACTTGGATCTGCGAATTTCCAGAGCCTATCAAAAGTTAGAAGATTGTAAGGAGGTTGAGGGGAGAAAGACTAACCAGTTGTCAAAGTCGTTACCAGGCTCATTCTCCTTCCAAACAGTAATCCACATCAAAGCGCTAAAAACACCCAGTGTCACAGCAAACTGCAGCACAAGCACGAGGCCATGTATGACAGAACTAACAACCCACCTCCCCTCAACGCGCACAATCGTCACAGGCACATGACCGCCATCGTAACTATGCCTTTTGGTCGTAGAGTTCTCCCAGGTACGATTCTCACACTCTTCATCACCCTCGTCTTCTTCCTCGCTGACCCACGGCGGGAAGGGCGTGAGGGGCGGCGTACCTCCTCGTTCGGTAGGAGGACGGATCGTTAGGGCGGATTCGGTTCGTGCTTCAGAGTGCATGGAGCCATAGTCGATGGAGCTTGGCGAGGGACGGGAGCCTGAAACTGTGCGGTGGTGTTGGGGGGTTGATGCTGATGCGCTTCGAGTTAGGAATTCGGGAGAAACGAGGGATGAATGCGTTGAGCGTGTTGCGGAAAAAGGTTTGACGGGAGATGTTATGCTCCGTTGTTGTTGGTGATGCGAAGCGCGTTCAGGAGAAAGGGATATAGTGAGGGTGTTTCCAAGACTGCTTCGCTTCTTGCCAAGGGTTCGACCCGAGTCTCGATGAAGCGGAAGGTCCATGATTGAAACCGATGAATATCAAACGAGTGTGAAGAAAAAGGATATTTGTTGAAGATGTAAAGGTGAAGAAGTAGGAATTGTAGGTGATGATGCGATGTTGATAGAAGTCGAGAAATGGCAGTGGCGGGCACTGGCAATAGCAACACCAGCACAACTGCAAAAGAACCATCACGAATAAAGTGTCATGGCAATCCAGTTACCACTACTACAAGTGTGACAACCTTTTTTCTTTCTGTGTATCCTAACAACGCTAACCAGTGCCACCAGCATCGTTCTTTGTTCCAGATGAAGCATCGACATCGGGCCAAACTACCGAAAGAGTCGACGATGGTTGCAAAAGCGTTGGGGTGTCAGAAGGATTGATCGCTGTAAACACAAAAGAAGAAAATACATAGTCACCTTGTGTCAGATTAGACCAGCACTTAGAGCACCGTATTTTGGCGCTTTAAGCCTTAGAGGATTATTCATCTGCTACTCAGCTCAGGGACGAGTTTCCTTGTTTATAGTCGATCGACTAGAATATGTAGTAATTGGTATTGGTCATAAGTTCCGCTCCTTGTTCTTACACAGAATGCTCAAATCCGCCATGCGCCATCCAACAACTACCTGCCATGAGTTGTTCATCCCGTACCCTATCCATATACCTAGCCCTTGGGCTATCAATATACCTGACCCATCAAACGCCAATAATCTCGATATGCAGTATCGACCCGTACAAAATCCCCCGTTACTCAAGACCCATTCGTGCCTCGTCGCCAATACCCCATTGTCCTCCAGGCCTACCTTGTTTCTGAATCTCCAAAGCTAACTCCGCACTGAGCGCGCTGGCGTCATCATCGTTGTACAAACTGCTCGTCCTACTAGCTCTACTGTCCCTTCTGGCACGCTCTTTATTGTCCGCTCCTGGAGCCCGTTTTCGCATAAAAGGGGATCGTAGGAAAGACTTTGAGGATGTCGACTGAACTGATGTCGAATGTACTGATAATGAATCGTCTGCCGCTTTGGAGCTCGCGTCATCGTTACTGAGGTCCTCGGCTTGTGTGTTGTCGGTACCGCTTCTTGTTGCTACCATCGTCTCGTTACTAGAGTTGTATGGTTGAGATCGTAATTTCGCTACCGCTGGCGAGTCCTTGTTCTCTTTCTCGGGCTCCTTGGAGTCATTCTTCTGATCGACTTCGACAAGCTCTGCATCGCGATACCACTTTCTCCTTCTTGTCCATCGACCCCAGCCATCGGAACCTCGTTGCCCGTATTGCCACTAGAAACTTGTTAGACACGTAGGATCGTAAATTTATCAAGTAACTTACCTTGTTGTCATAGAATATCCACCCGTTCTGCCCCTCTTTGCCATCATAGTCTACCGGGCCATGGTCGTCTGCTACGCCGTCAACACGCCAGCGACTTCCAGGAACCCATCTCCACTCCATGCGGCTTCCGTCTGAGACGTCAGGTAGTTCGAAATCATCCTTGGCAGGCACAGAGTTGTTATGATCATCTGTCCATGCAGCTCGTTCATATGCGAACAGATTATTAGTCCACCCCAAACCAATCCATCGTCTTTGGTTCTCGTATATGATGAAGGTGAATTTGACACCCGCAGTCTTCCCTGTACCATTCATTCGTCTATGGTTGGTTTGGAAGCTTGTCGTCTTACCAAGAGCCTTGGTAAGTTCCGACTCTTGATGCTGAGCGACACGATCAGGGCCCTTCTTGGCTGCGTTGGCCAAGTCCTTTCGGAGGGGTTGTTCGGGGGTGTCAAACTGGAGACCGGTGATGCCGGCAGCGAGTCTCCGAACTGTGGAGCTTCTCCAGAGAATGGCCCGTGATACTCGGAGAACCCTTGCATGCCAAGTCAAGATGATGGTTCCAGCCACTAGTATTACACGTCTTGTAGTGACGACTCTCCACGGCGGAACAGTAAGCGCAATCCAAATAGGCGTGATAATAAGCAGTCGCATGAAGATGACTGTCAGCGCTGGTCGAGTGGTGGCACTGGTTGGGGTCGTCTGAGTGCTTAGGAAATCCGTCATATCAAGCAAAGGCTCCATAAGCACGTTGCATCTCCCTGTAAGCTGCTTGAGGGTTTCGACGATTTCGTCGAGTGTCTTTTGATGTTTCGTGTTTGTGACCTCGGAATTTCCCCTTTCATGTTTGGACTTTTTTTCGCTGGAGTGTGCCTTTCCGTTTTGTTGGCTGCTCTCGCCGGTATTCTGGTTTGTTCCCTTGGGACCAGCATTCTGACTCCGGGACTCAGTCCACCCGCTACTACTGAGGGGACTGTATCTCCGGCCGTACATGCCGACTATGAGGGCTACTCCGACCAGGACAGGGCCGGCCCACGTTATTACTATATCGCCATACAGAACAACCGCCCAGAAGAAGCTCAATAATAAGAAGCTTTGCCAAGGATCTCCGGTACTCCAAGTAAGGAGTCCTGCAAGTGTATTTAAGGGTAGGAGGAACGGGTGGCTATATGCAAGGGCGCGGGTGATCTGAGGAGGAGTAGCGAGGAGCAGGGGACTCTTTTGGTGGACGAGGATAGTGGATCGACGAGAGGATCGCGAGGGTGTATTCGCAGAGAGGGTTACGGGAGAGAAGCTGGCGAAAGTCGGGGGTGCGCCGGTAGTGGAAGATTGAGGTTCGTAAGAGGGAGGTGATGCGCCGTGAGACGCATCGTCGCGGGAAGACATGGGTGACGGTCCAAGATGCGACAGCCACGGCGTGTCCTGGAAGAAATTTTTTGTTAATAAACAGGCTATTTTTCGAATATGTATGGTGTTGTCGAGATAATATGCAGAGCAATGTTGGTTGTGCGCATCTGCCCGCGTGAACTGAACAGCCGCGTCGCGACGTCAGAGGGTCAAAGTGATGTCGCTAAAGCCAGGGCCAGGCAGGGAGGAAGCTGAGTGGAGATGGAGGGACGCCTGAACGGGACGGGTAGAGGTTATGTCATGGGGCGCCACTTTTTAGCGGCTGGAGACACACGCGCAGAAGGACAACCCGGCAATAAGTAAAGAGAAATGGTGGTAAAAGGGAAGAGAGATAAATAAGACAAATACTTACAAAAGCTGCCATTGACGCGGGTTTTCCAGGTTTCCTCAGCGACTTTGTAAGCCACGATTTAATGGCAGCGTCATCCAGCGTTGAGGTTGCGTTTCCTCTACCCCAGATTGTATGGACCTTTGTATCCGTAGTGGGTGGTTGCTTTTCTGCCCCGCGACGTCAGTCACTCTCAGCTCTGCAGCTGCACGTCAGGTCTCCCGTCTAATCCTTGACTCTTCAAATAAAGACACTCTAAAAGAAAAACAAATTCAAGAGCAAAGGGCAAAAAAGAATGTTGCAAGATGGAATGAATAAAGAAAGAAGCATCGAAAAGTCCCACGTGAGCTTTTCCGGGGTTGGCGCAGTCATCCATTTTCTGACTTTTCCCGTCGGTCGGGTCTTGCTATTGTCACATGCTAATGCTCCATGCCTTTCGGTTCCATTCAAAGCACATGAATCAGGTTCTCGGATTCCGCAACGTCCTTAATCAGCAGGGTCTATCGCTGTTTCTATCCAGTCACGGGATATATCCTATTTCGTCTTTTTCATCTTATTATGTTACTGTGTTATGCCAAGATTAGAATATTATTCGTCTCGTTTCTCTTGTTGAGGATAATTGTGATTCAACCTTTCTATTGCACTTTCAAGCCTCTTCTTACTTGAGTCTAGGAAAGGATACATTGCCTCTTATGTCACTGCCGGCTGAAAGATTGTCTTACTGGTCATATGGCTGGTACTTAAGCATTTCAATGTCTCACAAGTTATACAACGTAAGTATTGCTTCAAAACCTATCGATTCAGCCTCACGATAGTTTATTAAAAGCCTTTGCATAATTGTGAATGCTTTGAGTAGCTGTTGCTACGCTCATATGCAGTGCATTAGTTACTCCTTGATGCAGTTTCACTACGACCTTGTTCTTCCAATGTAGGGCATGTCCAATCTCCCCAAGGTCCATTTCCCCACGGTTCCCTTACCCATCTTATTTCTGACCCTGTATAAGGCCAATTTCTATGACGGCCCTCCTCGTATATTTCTCTACCCCTTTCCTCACATGTGATAATCCCCAGATGTTCCAATGTCTCCGTATCAACATTCGGCCGCTCAGATGCTGGGTCCAATTCTTCCATCACAAGAGTCCCTTTCCCAGCGCAGTACTCGTGGATGGGTTTGGACTTTTCAAATCTCCAATGAGTCCTCTCTTCATATTCTGACGGCATAAATGGAGCCTCCCCATACCGATATAAGAAATCGTCGATTTCAGAATCAAGTCTCACTGTCTGATTCATGGGCCATTCAAAGAAAATCTCCGAGATCAGAATGGTGACTGTCGGTTTCAAGGATCTGTCGCGCCAGCCAGTCTTATCTCTTAAGTCGAAGAGAAAGTCTCTGGGGTTGTATGTCCTGTAAGTTTTCGGCCCATAACGTCGTATTAACTCTTCGCCCCGTAGTCTTCGAATCCAACAGAGCGTAGTTCTAGAGATCGTAGTGAAATCAGAGAATCCAAGAGCCTAATCAGGCTACCTTTATACACTGAGACAGTTTCAAGCACAAGACTATGGAGCCGCTGAGTGAGGCACTCCGGCAGTGTCAAGTTTCTTGGGGTCTCAACGAGGTGCTCTATACGTGCTCTCTCGTCGCCGTATAAGCAAAGGCTCTGTAGGCTTTCGACCTTTTCGAATGCTTTGACAAGGCTTCTGTAATTTTCGTAGTGCAAACTCAATCTTTGGAAGCCCTGTCTTCGTATGAGTGAGTAGAGATCATCAAGTGCGCAACCTTGGTCGTCCATCATGGATGTATAGTCTTCAATTTCGAAGGGAAGGTTGGACTTGTGGCGCCTATACCAGTCGATGTCCCGGCATTCATCATCCTCAACGATGAACTCGGAGACTTTATGCTTGCCATGCTTTGCAAGCACTCTCAATGCGGAGCAAAGGCCACGCCTAAAGATCTGGTACTCATTGGACGGTTCCGTGCTCTTGTCTTTCCATATTATTCTCGAGGTCCGATGGGCATCGGGGAAACCCCGTGGGCTAGGAAGAGGATATACAAAGCCATAGGGGAATGAACGAATAAGCGGTGTCTCGTACCGAGGCATGAACAATTTCCCGTGAACTTTGGTTGAGATAGTGACTCGACGGAGTGAAGGAAATCTGTCGAGGGCATACTCAAAAACCTTCCAATCTGCCCCTGACCTGAGCATCCATCGCTCCTGTTCCAACAACTGGTGATAGTAGTAGTATGATTCCCCCGGCAACATCGCTGCCGCAAGCTTGCGCATCCTATCAAGAAGGTCTGGTCGGTTCGCGACAGTATCATTTCCCTTGCTTTTAGCCAGTTGGCTGATGGCACGACGGCCACTCCACCAGTACCATGATGGACAGCCTAAAGCGAAGTCGAAACTGCCTGTCTTGTACTTGTAGTTGGGCGGGATGGTTGCATGGCATTCAAAATAGGGCTCATCCCATATTATCTCGGTGACACCTTTCCGAAGGTATTCGTGATTCGCCACTTCCTCGACGACATGAATGTTGAGAGGATTGGCGGAGATGAAGACTCGATCCAGTCGTAACTTGACGCAGCTGTCTACGAAGCGGGATGTGAGGCGTAGTGATTTGATGTCACGATTGGGTAGAAAGTTGGCGATGTTATCCACCAACTCTGCTGGCAGAGTTGGCAGATTAGCTGGGGGTGGTCTTTTCTCTTCCATTTTGCGTCCACGGATGTATTAGGAAGATGGTGTTGTTGAAGAAAGATGTGATGAGGATTCCGGTGTGCAGGAAAGTGTATATATAAACAGTCCAAACTTTGTGTTTGACTCATCTTCCTTTTTTTAAATTTAAACTTTTCTCTTACCACTCATATCCAGGATGAATTGAATGACTCACATTCCCTCCTCCGATTTACGGTAGAAGCAATGTCAAGAAGACCATGGGAATGTATGCTGTGCGGTACGAATAGGGGGTACTTGCGCGATGACCTCAGGACGTATGCTCATCCTAACCACCTCCAACTTCCACAATAAGATGCCAAACATTACCCTGGGACATACATAGCCGATTCCTGTAAACACTTCAGAGTGCATATTAGAAACTTTAACAGCCAAAATCATAAGGGACGAAATGAATCGGTCGGTTTCTGCAAGTTCAGACCGACTCTTAGGTCTATTGACTTGCAGAACATTTCCTTTCCTGCCGAGTAGATAGGTACTCTGTCCGGAGGAAAATTACAAAAATGTAGGTGAATTAATTGAATGCATGATCTCTGACAGAGTTCAAGGTTATTAAAATTCCAGAAAAAGAAAAAAAAAGGACATGGTAAACCGCTTGACGAGACGCCTTGGGCCGGCAATGGTACACTAGACTAACCCGGTATATAAGCTGCAGTATCTAAACGCAAATACTTGAGATATACTACTATCGAAATCATTCCATGTCAGATAGATGAGCCATTAGGGTGAGAGCGTATTTATCATGAACCTCGACATAAACAGTCACATGCTTGGACTCAGAGATACCCGCTGACATTACGACATAGCACAAATATACTGAAGTAGTGAAAGCGTCGTTCGACAATAGGGATAGTATTTAAACTTGACTAGTAGCTAGCTAGTTATAAATCCCAATCACAGCACAACCCCAACTCCATCCTTCATATCCATAACTCGTTTCGTCAAAAGTGATGCATCCGTTAACCATACTCAGGTAGGCCAAGGAAAGAAATGCGACAAGTGTCACAAATGTGGTTTTTCGATGATTAAAGTATCAATAGTTTATTTGCCGCAGCCAGAGCAAGTGCCTTTAATCTCATTAGTACTGACTCCGGTAACAGGGATAGAGTTATGTCGACTTACAGCTAGAGCCGCAGTTGCAAGAAGAGGCACCAGAGCAGCCACAGTCGCCAGCCATTGTGAAGATAGTTTGGTGGGTAGTTTGGAAAAAGGTTTAAAAAGATATTGTTTGTTTGTAGTGAAGATGAAGAAGAAAGAATGTCTCTGATCTGGATCATGCAGGGTCTTATATAGACATGCGGCCTTTGTGCGTTTATCTTCAGCAGGCCCCTCCCTGCACAATTGAGGGGTCTTAGAGTGTGATCTGGTTGGTGATCTGAGCTTCTGTTGTGGGGTTTATGTGAGTGATTTTGGCGGTTGGCCTAGAGCAAGCGAGGCCCGCGTGATGATCCACGATGGATGGTTCGAGATTAGAGACAGGGACAGGGATGGGATATCGCGGTAGCATTAGTGTCCAAGATTCGAGATATATATGTCTATTTCCATACCTGGGTTGTCAAACTTATAACTATTTGAACTTATCCAGTTGATAAAAACAGTGAAAAGGCCGCTTTGAGCAGTCTGTTATCTGGTCTTTAACTCGTGATAACGCTCTTGTTGTTGAAGTCAAGGTTTAAGGCTGGTTGCCACTGACACCATCCACCCCAGCTACGCATTGCTATTGGATCGCAATATTCACGCTTATTTGCCACTCTTCAATAGAACTTCTCTCATCAATCGGCAGTTGACATGGAACTTATGCGTATGACCGACGCCAGGGTATCAGAACAATTAGCTGCTGAGAGCATAAGAGACGAAATAATTTGGTTACCTTATGCGATCTTAGACTAACAATTAGGCTACTTTATTTACTCCCCTCAACCTAAGAGGATATTTCATCTGTTGTCTGACCCGATAACTCCTAAGAAACAATAGCTTCATAGCTCTGACTTTATCATGTCGTCCGGCTTGACAATCTTCAACCATTGCCTCAGTTTCTCGAGTGCAATATCATCATGCTTCTTCTCACTAGTCCAAAAGTCTTCCTCAAACCATCCCGGCGTACCAAAAGTCTGCAGCAATTTACCAAAAGGTTGGCAAGACCCAAAGTCAATCAGCACAGGCTTATTCTTCTCTCCCATCATGATGTTGCCCGGGTTGATGTCGTTGTGCGCCATTCCGAGGGAGTGTAGATGGTCTACCGCAGAATTGATGTCCGATAGAAATGAGTTGACATTAAGATCGCTAAGTTTCTCACTCTTTATGAATTGTTCCAGGGACATTTCGTTCTTGTCGACAACAATTCCTGTGATGCGACCGCGCTTTACACGACATCCTTTGTAGTGTGTTATGTTTGGATGGGGATTCTTGGCAAGCTTTTCCATGATGAGTGTTTCGTCGAGGACCTGCTTTGGCGTCCCAAAGTCAAATCCAGGCTCGAATTGAAAGAGGCCGGGTCTCTTGCAGAAGGATGAGCTTTCGTCGTAGTCAAGTGCGATAGTGATTTCAGTGTCAACAGGTAGTTCAGGAAATAGGTCCTTATCAGGCACGGGTTCAAGCGCCTGGACGTAGTCGTCAAGAGTCATATCATTCGTTGAAGCTCGCCCAAAGAAGACGTTGTCATCTTCACTCATCCATAGGAATGTTCTTTGGCGATTGTTTGTCTCTAAGTCATTGTACTCAACGAGAAAAAGGTCGTCAATCGACGTTGGAGTTGCAAGCAGGGTTGGCTCTTGCCCAGCCTGGCCCTTGGAGGCACACATCTTGAGCTGGTAATGTTATCAGCGAGAGCGCTAGTTCGAGTTGAATCAGGAGATCTACCTATAGACAGGACTAGCAGTAAATAGAGCCGGCTATCGCTTGATCAGGCGCAAAGTCTTGAGCCGCAATCATGACCTGACGGGCGACAAGGGTGTTGCACATATTGTCGAGACCTCAACCGGGTGGGTTTCACTCATATATACTGGGCTGACCTGTTCATGTGTATCATCGTGATTGGCCGGTGGGTTGCAACGGTGTTGTAGCATCGATAGCCGTATTCTGGAAGTTGCGCTGCGTGGAATCCCAACGAATGACACCTTGGATGGTAACACTACATATGCGTGACCCCAGAAAGGACCCATGTTGACAGCGGAATTCATCGAGCAGCGGCGTATCTCGACCCCGAAAGCCGTATCCCTTCACTTCCGTATACATAAGCACGTTCCTATCGTCGCTAACATAGGTGAGTTCAAGATCATAGCTCTATCTATTGGATCTCCAGATCAACCAACATTTCTAGATCACAATTTGATGAACAGTTTATCTGAACTTCGACAAAGGATAACATAGTACTTCTAGTTATCTTTCGTTAATTTGGTACCGTGCTCGGAAGGCCTCAGTAGTAGTTTGCAAGGGAGGTGGGTAACAGCAAGATTATTGTCCAAGGACTAGGCTACCGAAGTAAAATAGTCTAAGTTAGTCTAATCTGGCCTAAAATGATCAAAATGTTTCATCTCTTGGGCTTTCAGCGGTTAATTCTCCCGATACCCTTGCGAGAGGGTGTGCTGGTTCCATCTGAATGGAGGTCAGCACATAGTCACTCACCTCTTGAGGATCATAGGTAAGGATGTGCACTTCATGAAACCTCCACTATTCGACTATCTAGAGGTCAGTTCCTTTCAATTATAAATTCACACAAGCCTCTCCGTTCCAGGTAGGCATTCTAAGCCCTTCCTCCAACACTATTGCTGCCTATCACTCAACACAAGATATACACTTCAAACACTGCCACTATGTGAGCCTGTTTTCGCAAGGTTTTCTTGGTTTCATTAACACTGACACGCTATATAGGTGTTCCAAGGCAAACATCAACAAGACGGTTAAGGTCAAGGGAGTGGAGATTATTGTCAAAACTGTAGTTATATATCATACCGACCCTCACGATTGCGGGCTTCCCAACCCTCCTAAGACGTAATGCTACAAGTATATACAACGGGGACAAGTCCTGATAAGGAGTCTAAGGCATGGTCATTTTGCTGCGAGACAATATCGTTCTATATCAGTTTATGCAATTAGTCATACTGAGAAGATAGAAGGGCGGACAACATTCTGTCGGCACAATTGCTCATTAGTTGAGACGGTGATTCCTGTGTCTTGTTCCCCTGTGTTCCTTCTGTCACAACAGATAACAGTTTGAGCTTCTTGTCTTTTGTTGCATGTTCTCAATTTGAATATATATCAAAGAACCATAAGCATTGGCGTCCTACAAGCATCTATGACATATGGTATACCCTCCCATTTGAATTTTGTCATCACCCCTTTCTCAAAGTCCTTTCGATAGTTGAGTTCGAAAATTTCCCCAACAGTAGCCATATCAGCAACTGGTGCTACAGGTTTAGCCATACAAACCTTTTCATTTACAAGCTTTTCAAAGTCTGATGGGCACATATGGCATGCCCATGGTGCAGGACCAAAAGCGCAGTTGTGAGGTCCCTTCTCTCTAGCTTCCTCGGCGATCTCGATTACCCGCTCTTCTAGTAAGTTGCCAAATGCTTCCCATTTTGCTAAGTCGTTAGTCTTCTTCCGTTTCGAACTAGAACTGATATCTTCATCTGCGCGTCTCTTCTTCGTGTTAGCTTTCTGCTCAAGAACTTTGTCCTTTGCAGCTCGTCTTGGCTGAATGCGAGTCGGTTCTGATTTTGATTTGATGATGTCGAGCGTATAGTCTATGAAATGCTTTTTGCATAGAGGTGCGCCTTTGAGAGGCTTCGTCTGGATATTTTTGATTGCCATTTTTGGTGTTGTGGTCACTTGAATTTTTGGTTTGCTCAGACTACATGGGGTTCCGCATGTTTATGTTGGGTGGTCGCTGTTGACTAGCTGACAAAAGAGCATTTTCACTGCTTAAAGGGATATGAACATGCTTTGATTATGTACAAAGAAATAAGTTTGTGATGGTCATTGTTCATAGAATACATTCAGCTCTTCTTATGTCTCTAGGCCTTCCCTTTGTTTGGTGTTCGTTAAGCACTCTCAATGTATTCAACGTGTCTCAACACTCGTAGAGAATACATGTAAGATGTTCCATATTAATGTTCATATATCTAGAACACCTTGAATATTTCCTAAAAGCATCGTTTAGACAATCCAGACAGCTGGCTTTGGGTAACACATGTGAAGAAGTAGCGCCAATCAGCTTATCAGTCAATCGTGCTTATCCGCACACCAACACATGAATAAGTTCTCAACCAATGGGCTCACCCTTATCTCTATTACTAACAATAGTTAGGAGTAAACGATTGCAGCTAGACTGGCAGCGTGGACCGTCGGCTTGCATCGTAAGAAATAAAGATATGGGGTCAATTGTGGCTACCCTACGCCGCCAAGACAGCCAACATTGGATTGGACAATCGAGACCCACAGTCTCCGGCGCGGTAGCTGTATTCCGGCGCTGCCCCGGAGTCGTGACCGGAATTCCGTGGTAAGGCACTTCTGACGGGAGTCTAAAAATGTCACAAGATGCATGGCGTCCTTCTAGAAGGCTTGTCAGGTTCACCTTGATCATCAAGTGTTCTTATCATCACCCGGCCAGACCATCCCGAACTCGGACCCCAGGTTTCGGTTACGAGACCGAGGAAGCAAAAAGAAACCGACCCTTGTTAATTAAGTCTAAGAGGTTGGCGATAACGTCGTGGCTTTGGGACCCACGGCTTCGTTGCCGACCCTGATTAGTCGCAGCGGCAATGCACTGCAGCCTCTAAATTTGACTCAGTGAAAGGGCCCTGTAGTTTAGCCGTTTGGGCTGCGCCGGGCCCGTTGACTCGGTGAATAGCAGGGCGATAGGGACCTGGGAGCTTATCTTTCACCGAGTCACTGGTTTCACTGAGTCAAGAGGGACCAATCACAGTGTTTATCGCGCATTAGTCTTGTGCCTTTAGTTGCCGCGCAGTTGGTTGCGTTTCACCGAGTCACAGTAAGAAAAAAAAAGACCTTCTGGAATTGGGTGAATGCAGATCATGGAACAGATGTACCTCGAAGTACCTTTTTCCCGGTCGCGGGGCATTTGGTTTTTGGAGAAGGAAGGAAAGACCACCGGCTGCAAGATCGGACCATGACGGCCGATACGCCACTCATGACCATTCATGACCGGCCATGTACTTATTCTTAAAACTTCTGGAGTGACCTTAGTTTTTATTCTTGGACACGCATCTCTTTTCCCTTTTCCCTTTCTCTAATCATCATAGTTTAAGTTGTCTGATCTTGAACTGTGAAGAGGGGATCCATTCATCATCTTCATCATGATGTCTGCTACTCGTATCGGACAACGGCTCGTCCGTCAGTCCCGTCGCTCCCCCATCACCCTTCAACCTCGCCTCACACAAGCCATCCGTCTCAATGGCGCCTCAAGGGCATTCTCAGTCACAACCACAACTCAGGCTCCTCGCTTCGTCGAGTCCCAGAGCAGCACCAAGCTGCACGAGCATGAGCTCTTCTCAAGGAGACACATTGGCAGCGAGTCCAATGAGCAAACAGAGATGCTCAAGATGCTTGACCCTCCCGTGAGCTCCATGGAGGAGTTCCTCGACCAGACTATCCCCCCGCAGGTCAGGAGGAAGCAAAAGGGCCTTAACCTCGTTGAGCAGTGGTACGAGGGCGGCGCTGAGGCTGAAGTCCCTGCTAATGGTCGCACCGAGCACTACATCCAGCAGGAGATGCGAAAACTCGCAAAGAACAACAAGGTTTACGAGTCTTTTATCGGTGCTGGTTACTACGGAACTCTTGTTCCTGCTGTTATCCAGCGCAATGTTCTCGAGAACCCTGCTTGGTACACCTCCTACACTCCTTACCAGGCTGAGATCAGCCAGGGCCGTCTCCAATCCCTCCTCAACTTCCAGACTCTTATTACCGACCTTACTGGCCTTGACATCGCCAACGCCTCCGTTCTCGATGAGGCTACCGCCGCCGCTGAGGCCATGACCATGTCAATGGCTCACGCTCCCAAGGGTAAGGGCCAGAAGACCTTTGTCGTTTCCAAGGACTGCCACCCTCAGACCATTTCCGTCCTCGAGTCCCGAGCTGAGGGCTTCGGCATCAAGCTCGTCATTGGTGACGTCCTTGCTGACAACTCCAAGCTCGTCCGCGAAGTCGAGGGTGACCTCATTGGTACTCTGATCCAGTACCCCGATACCCACGGTGGTGTCCACGACTACCAGGCCCTCGCCGATATCGTCCACGAGAAGAAGGGTCTTCTCAGCGCCTCTACCGACTTGCTCGCTCTTACCATGCTCAAGCCCCCTGGTGAGTTCGGCGCCGATATCGCCATCGGTAACTCCCAGCGATTCGGTGTTCCTCTGGGCTACGGTGGTCCCCACGCCGCTTTCTTCGCTACTTCCGAGAAGTACAAGCGTAAGATTCCTGGTCGTCTCGTCGGTGTTTCCAAGGATCGTCTCGGCAAGCCTGCTCTCCGTCTCGCTCTCCAGACCCGTGAGCAACACATTCGACGTGAGAAGGCGACTAGCAACATCTGCACTGCCCAGGCTCTTCTTGCCAACATGTCTGCTTTCTACGCTGTCTACCACGGTCCCAAGGGTCTCAAGACCATTGCTGAGGATATCTGGAGCAAGACCCGTCTCGCCCAGAGCCTCATCCTCGCCAAGGGCGAGTTCCAGCTCCACACTGACGGTGTTCGTGAGGATGGCTCTGTTCTCTTCGACACTGTTACTCTCAAGGGCTCCCCTGAGGCTATTGCCAAGGTTCACGAGAAGGCTGATTCTCAGCAAATCAACCTCCGCCGCGTCGCTGATGACAAGGTTGGCTTCTCTCTCCACGAGGGTGTCAGCCTTGAGAGCCTTGGCAACCTTGTCAAGATCTTTGGTGTTTCCGAGTCTGACTTCAACGCCGCTCTCGAGTCCGACAAGGGCAACTTCCTGAACGCTGAGATCCCCGCTTCTCTCCAGCGAAAGTCTGGCTACCTTGAGCAGCCCGTCTTCAACCAGTACCACACCGAGACCGAGCTCCTCCGATACATCTACCACCTTCAGTCCAAGGATGTGTCTCTCGTACACTCCATGATTCCTCTGGGTTCTTGCACCATGAAGCTCAACGCCACCACTGAGATGCTCCCCGTTTCCGACCCCGGTATCAACAACATCCACCCCTTCGCCCCTGTCGAGCAGGCTTCCGGTTACCAGGCTCTCATCAGCTCCCTCGCCAAGAACCTGTCCGAGATCACTGGTATGGACGCTACTACTCTGCAGCCCAACTCTGGTGCTCAGGGTGAATTTGCTGGTCTTCGTTGCATCAAGGCTTACCACGAGGCTCGCTCCGGCGAGAAGCGCAAGGTCTGCCTGATTCCCGTCTCTGCTCACGGTACCAACCCTGCTTCCGCTGCCATGGCCGGTATGAAGGTTGTTACCGTCAAGTGTGACGGCAAGACTGGTAACCTGGACATTGAGGATCTCAAGGCCAAGTGTGTCAAGCACGCCGATGAGCTTGCTGCCATTATGGTCACTTACCCCTCCACCTTTGGTGTTTTTGAGCCCGAGATCAAGCAGGTTTGCGACCTTGTTCACGAGCATGGTGGTCTCGTCTACATGGATGGCGCCAACATGAACGCTCAGATTGGTCTTTGCTCTCCTGGTGACATTGGCGCTGATGTCTGCCATCTTAACCTCCACAAGACCTTCTGTATCCCCCACGGTGGTGGTGGCCCTGGTGTCGGTCCCATTGCTGTCAAGAAGCACCTCGCTCCTTACCTCCCTGGTCACCCTGAGATCGATCCTCAGCGCGTTGGTGCTGAGCGTGACAGCACCGCTGTTGCTCCCATTAGCGCCGCTCCTTGGGGTAGCGCCTCCATCCTGCCCATCAGCCACACCTACATCCTCATGATGGGTGGAGATGGTCTTACCAAGCAAACTGGTACCGCTCTTCTCAACGCCAACTACATCATGTCCCGTCTCCTTCCCCACTACAAGGTTGTTTACACCAACGCTCAAGGCCGATGCGCCCACGAGTTCATCCTTGATGTCCGACCTTTCAAGGACACCGCCGGTGTTGAGGTTGCCGACATTGCCAAGCGATTGGCTGACTACGGCTTCCACTCTCCTACCATGAGTTTCCCTGTTTCCGGAACCCTCATGATTGAGCCTACAGAGTCTGAGTCCCGAGCTGAGCTCGACCGCTTCTGCGATGCCCTCATCCAGATCCGCAAGGAGATTGCCGACGTCGAGTCTGGCAAGGTTCCCCGCAAGAACAACCTCCTCACCAACGCCCCTCATCCCCAAGAAGACCTCGTCTCCTCCGAGTGGGACCGCCCCTACACCCGTGAGGAGGCCGCCTACCCCCTTCCCTGGCTCCGGGAGAAGAAGATGTGGCCTTCTGTCGGCCGAGTCGACGATGCCTACGGTGACACCAACCTGTTCTGCACATGCCCTCCTGTCGAGGGATCTGAGAACTTGTAAAGAGGAAATAATGGGATTTGAATAGTTTATTAGCGATTTGTATTTTCTTTAATGAGGCGAGGAAAGAGATATCATATTCAACCATGATGGGGTTTGAGTTTCTTTGCATTTGGAATGGTTTATTGGAAAGCTATTCAACTATGGCGAAATGATCTCTGTATTGGCGGAGTTTTATGCGAGATATGATGATTGGATTTTCTAGAGAAAAAGTTCTAAAACTGCCTAGATCAATTTATGAGTTAAAATATTTGAACCATCTTCTTAATCAGTGAATAGACAAATATACGAGGGTTGTTTGTAGAACCTGTTATGAATAGACAGAGCTACTCAACGTTAGTGGGAAACATTAAACATAGCACATGCTGCGTCTCCCACACGCTGTGGACATTTCTACAACGATAAGACTACTACTGTACGTTAAAAACACGACTTAAGATTTTGTGGAAAAATTGTAAAGTGAATTCCTTGTTGAAAAGTCTCTTGATATCTTGCTTTAAATCACATGCATTATTTTGTTAAAACTACCCAAAAGCATCGCTCGTTTAGTGCTCCTCCTTGATATGCTCAGCATAAGCAGCCTCATCCATCAAACCGTCCAAAACTGAAACATCCTCAGCTTCAACCTTGATCAACCAGCCCTCCTTCTCAGGGTCCTTGCCCAGATCGGCAGGTGTCTCAACGATGGGGTCGTTGGTCTCGACGACTGAGCCAGAAACGGGAGAGTTGATGTCAGAAGCTGACTTGACGGACTCAACGCTGCCAAAGGACTCGCCCTGGGTGGTCTCGTCACCTACTGCGGGGAGTTCCACGTAGACGACATCGCCGAGAGCCTCAGCGGCGTAGTTGGAGATTCCAATTGTGCCTGAAAAATGTCAATTCAGTGTTGATTGGAAATGTGAGGTGAGAACTTACAGGTCTTGCCGTCGGCGGCTACGTCAATCCACTCGTGGCTCTCAGTGTATTTTCTAGCAAGGACTGCGATGTGTTAGATCAATTGAATAGACACAGAAGTCAATTGAGACCCACGGTTCATGGAAACTGAGAAGCATCGTCGGGGAGCAATGTTGTTGGCTCTGCAGGTGAAAGCGGCCTTGGGAGCTCGGAGAGCAGTAGATCGGAGCTTAGAGGCAGAAGCCCAAGCTTGACGAGCAAAGATACCAGACATTGTGAGTTGATTGAGACGTGTGATTGAATTGGTTTGATTTGGTGGTGATGGTGTTGAGAGTTTAGTATGGTGATGATGATTTTAGCTGACCTTGTCCCTCATTTACTAAGTTACCACTCCCTCCCATCCGTCTTCGGCGGCGCTCCGTGTCTGACCTTGGCCAAAGTACCTCGGAGTCACTGTCCGGCCCCAGTAAAGAAGGCGTTTTTCGTAGCGTCATGAGTTGGAGATGGGCTCCATGGAACAGGGGGGTCATCAGGCCATGATGGTACTTCTGATACCCCACCAGAGAAAGTACAGGTACATGCTATCTTTTCCCATGACAACCGTTTTGGGAGCGGGTACTTGTTTGTACCTGTAGACACTACTTTCATCTTTCACTGAGTCATGTATAGATAAACCCCAGATTGAATGCAAAGCTTTGGCCTTTGGTTTTTTTCTGGGTATGCGGGGAAAGCTCTTGAATGGAATTCCGAGGATTGGAAGTTTTCGGAGTTTGGGAACGGAACTTGAAGTGCAGCAATTTTTATCATGTAATTTTGACTCAATTGGGATGAAGTTGGTAATTGGGGCATGTGAACGAAGGATTGGTGTGACCACTGGTGTGTTGGTGATTACGCGCGTATTACAAGTTAATTAGAACATCATGAGATAAGAGACCAAGGCATGAGGATGCAGTACAACAACAAAATACAAGTTCGTGATACTCAGATAAATATTGTTTGAAATCTTATTGAATGTCGATTCTGCTATGAATAAACTATTTTACCAACGCCAAAAATGATCTTGCTACCTCTCATTAAAAACATCATGACTTGAGCCAAGGCTGGGGGAATCCTCCAACCCACTCAGCAACCTCATCCCGTAGCGCAGCAATCTCCTTGACATTAGATCCGTCGCCCAAGTACTCAAGGAAGTTCTTCACAGTAGCAGGGTTCTTGGCGCCCTTGGCCTCGGCGGCAGCACGGGCATCCTTATCAACCGCGAGGGTGATCTTCACTCCGCGGTCCACAATATCGGCCACGCGCTTAAAGTCCTCGCCGTTGAAGCCGCGTGTTGTCATGGCGGGTGTGCCGAGACGGAGACCGCCTGGCTTAAGGGCGGAGCGATCACCAGGGACGGTGTTCTTGTTGCTCGCGACGCCCACGAGCTCGAGAACGCGCTCGACACGGGCGCCATCAATTCCGTTGGGCTTGAGGTCGACGAGGACAAGGTGATTATCTGTGCCGCCGGAGACAAGCTTGTAACCAAGGTCGCCGAGCTGCTTAGCCATAGCCTGAGAGTTCTCGAGGACCTTGACTTGGTAGTCCTTGAACTCGGGGGTCTGAGCCTGCTTAAGAGCGACAGCGAGAGCGGTGATGGTGTGGTTGTGAGGACCGCCCTGGTGTCCTGGGAACACAGAGGCGTTGATAGGACCCTCAAGGTCGTACATAATCTGCTTGCCCTTCTTATCTGTGCTTCGCACGCCCTTTCGGTAGAAGATCATGGCACCACGAGGTCCGCGCAGGGACTTGTGGGTAGTGGTCGTAACGATATCAGACTCGTCAAAGGGTGTTCCAATAACACCAGCAGCGACAAGACCGGAAACGTGAGCCATATCAGAGAGAAGGTAAGCACCAGCCTCGTCGGCGATGGCACGCATGCGAGGGTAGTCGATGAGGCGGGAGTATGCGGATGTACCTGCGACGATGACCTTGGGGCGGTACAGCAGGGCGTTCTCGCGCAGCTTGTCGTAATCGATCAGGCCGGTCTCCTCGTTGAGTCGGTAGGGGAAGGTCTCGTAGTACTTTGAGATCATGGAGATCTTCTTGCCGGGAATCTGGTAGCCGTGGGAGAGATGGCCTCCGTGGGGAAGGTCAAGACCCATGATTCGGTCGTGGGTGTTGAGGATGGCCGAGTAGGCGTAGAGGTTGGCGGGAGATCCAGAAAGGGCTTCACGATGTTAGCATTGGTCATGATGAGGGAAGAACAACACTTACGCTGAACGTTGACACCCCACTTCTCAGGATCGAGACGGAAGGTCTCGAGGGCTCTGCTTTGGCAAAGGCGTTCGGCCTCATCGATGTGCTCATTGCCTCCGTAGTATCGTGCTCCTGGGTAGCCCTCGGAGTACTTGTTTTGCATAACACTGCCTAGGGCATCGAGAACTGATCGGGAGGTGAAGTTTTCGGAGGGGATGAGGTTGATGAAGTGGTTCTGGCGCTTCTCTTCCTAGGTTGGGGTCAGAGGATGTCAATTGATAGTAGGAGTAGGAGAACGTACACGCTTGAGGATGGCGTGAATCTCAGGGTCACCTTGCTCAAGGCTTGAGCCGAGGAGCTGTGAATGTCAGTTACCATTGTGCATAGTTGATAGAGATGACTTACATCCTTCTGAGTAGCAAAGGTTCTGGAGGTAATGCGCGTAGCCAGAGAAGGCTTGCTGCGAAGGCATTGCTGCCGGAGAACTCTCATGTTCATCATGATTGCTATGAGATGGTGGGTATCGAGGATGAACTGCAAAAAGAAAAAGTAAAAGATGAAATCAGACAAGTTACAGTAACAACTTCTCGAACAATGGCTTCGAAACTAAAGAAGGCAGCCCTTAGATCTAATAAAGAGTGTCTGACATGTTTGCCGCTTCGGCTCATGAGTTCCAGGATCGGAGCATGAGATTCAAGGATGCCCAAAAAGGTACGTACCCCGGCGGCCGGCTTAATGTCACCGAGTCAATCTTATCAGAAACGTCACTGAGTCGAGGAGAAGGAACCGCCCGGAGAATGGATTATGGAGGGGTTGGGTTCCACATGACCCTCGGAGGATTGTCATGGAGGGCCGGAAGTGAGTTACCTCGAGGTACTTTGTTAAGTCTACAAGGTGGCTTGCTTTGACTCGGTGAAGAGAGAGAAGAGAGACTAAGAGGAAGAGGCAAAATGGAAGGTGTAGGGTAAACTAAGCTAGTCTAGCGTGTTAAGGAGATAAGATTAGTGGAGAGATACAGTAATTTAGAAGGCTTCTCCCTCTGTTATTCCAGTTCTTTATTCCCCGCAAACAAAAAATAGAGACTCCACTCGCTTATTCCGGAGCCACGATCCGATTTACGGCCACTGCGCTGCATTGCATCTTTCACGTAACCGCGCCGCGCTCACAGTACAGTACAACCTAGTACCTTTCACCGAGTCTGTGGTCTGTCCCGTCTGTCCCACAATGTCGCCTACAAACCAAAACACAACCCCTTCCTCAGGCTCAGGCTCAGGTATAGCCACAGCCATGCGTCCTATGCCTATAATCCGCAGCAGGACAGGCTGCTTTACCTGTAGGAAGCGCAAGAAGAAGTGTGACGAGAGGTACCATAGATCCAGTCTAAAGTGATAACTCTTCCTCTAACTTACGTGAAATGTAGTAAACCTATCTGCAGCGGTTGCAAACGCAATAAACTCGACTGTATCTGGCCAGATCCTGCTGCTTCTGCCCCTAGTAATTCGTCATCAACTTCATCTGCCAAGGTAGCAGCAGCAGTATCCCGGTCATCACGACCCTCATTTGGTGCTTCCTCAACAGGCTCTCAAACAAGCATTTCCTCTTCACTACGCCGCAGTCAGGACCGTGATCATGAATATGACCAAGGTCAAGGTCGTGACCCGCACTCGGCCACTGACCCCGTGCTACCGGACTCGGCGCCGGACCAAGACCGAGCTTTTGCTGATAACCCCGGCATCGTTATTCCCCATAATGGCGACAGTTCTCCGGTGTCTGGGGATACTCACATGATCGATGCTCATGATACTCAAGTGGATGATGATGATCATGATGCTGAGACTGTCGTTAACGATAACGCTGATCACCAGCCTTCACACTCACCGTCGTCATCAGCTTCATCAGAATCTCCAACGGCTATAACGACATATGATCCAGATACTGCCAATGCCATCACTCTCGCGTTGCCGCCTTCTCCAGAGGGAGGACTGCCACTCAATGGAGTCATCACTATGCCAATGTCGATGCTGCCAGAGCAGGGACATCATTCATATGAGCTGCTGAGTTACTACCTGGATCGAACAGCCAATAGTATGGGCAATGGCTCTACAGATGTGAATCCCTTCATATCAAAACTCATACCGCTGGCCTTCTCAAAACCGCTCGTGCTACAACTCATCCTCGCGCAAAGCGCTGCTCACCGCCAGGCGTCAGCAGAACGTCATCCAAGTGATGAGATTGCACAGAGATACTATACAGACTCATTACGGATGTTCAGGAATGTGGTCGATGAATATGTGTCTGGCAATGCTGAGAACACACTTGTATTGACTGTCGGGAGTTTAATTATGTGCTTGACTGAGGTTCGTAGTTCCGGTGTCTCTTCTAGGAGTAAGCTAACATGTGCCAGGTTGCTAAAGGCGATATTCATGGTACGATATTTGACCATCTAACAGCATCAAAGTCATTAGTGAGCACGTTACTCACAGGAGCACAAAACCATTTATACGACGATTTACCCGACTTTCTCATCGAGTATTACATGCACATAGCAGCCACAAGCATGATCTCGATAGACCCGCAGTACAACTCTCAATCACTACTCAGCCCGGATATAGAAGTAAGAGCCAGGAACTTAGTCGCAAGGAAGTATGTCGGACAATTATGCGGATGCTGGCTCGAACTACTCATCCTCATTTCTCAGATCTTCCATCTGGGACAGGTCATGTCGTCGCCGACGGTAGACAGCGCTATATCGCCAAGTCCTGATAACATTGTCAACTTTGCGTTTCTGCAATCTCAAGTAATGGCTTTCTATCCAGACCCCTCAGTCACACCATATACGCGTCTTGCAGGATTAGTCTGGAAACAAGCTGCCCTCTTATATCTCTGGACAGTCCTGGGCAAACCACATCAACAACCAGAAGGAAGCTTCCAACGCGCCCTGGTCGAATCCGCAGTCGCCGAAGCAGTAACACTCCTCGATCAATTCCCTGCCACAGTGAGAATAAACACAAGTCTCTGCTGGCCGTTAGCTGTTATTGGGTGCAGCACATCCGACCCCTCAGTCCAGCAAGTTTTGAGGACGCGACTGCAGACGATGCTGGATACCATCGGTCTTGGAAATATGAAGCAGACGTTGGTGCTGTTGGAACATATTTGGGAGCAGCCGCCTGAGCAGGTTAGTCCGTGGATGTTGTGCAGGGCGATGCGTGAGCGTCAGATCTGGATATCTTTTGCGTGAAAAGGACACTGTTATTCTTAGATACCCGCCTCGATTATGTATAGAGTCCTCGGGGCACATGCAATACAGCTGACCACGTTCTACAACGCCAACACCGTAGTGCTCTCTTACATGTAATCATCAATATGTCAAGATCTATTGCTTGCTGAGTAGAATATCCCACATCTTGGCCGCCACCAAAACACCATCATGAGCCGCCCTAGCCCTCGTAATACCCTCCTCATACATCTCCTTCGAAAAGACCTTTTGATCATATCTCGCCTTCATGATCTCCTCCATGATAAAATCGTCAAATTCGGGATGAGCCTGGGTCGTCATAATACGACCAGGCTTGTAAAGTCCTTGGATTTCACATTTTGAGCTGCTTCCTAGACTGACTAGACCTTCGGGGACTTCTAGAACTGCGTCTCTGTGCATTTGGTGAAGGCCCTGTAGTCATGTTAGCGAGTTGATGGTTTGGTGGATGGGGATTGCTTACAAGGGATGGGACGCCGAGGAGCTTCTGACCGGTTTCGTTGAGCTCGACTCTATCGACGCAGACTTCCCAACCACCTGGGCTAACAGCGACCTTCGCACCGAGTGCTCGAGCGATTATTTGATGACCGAAGCAGATTCCCACGATTGGTATATCAGTGGAGGTATAGACCTTCTTGACATAGTCGACCAGCTTCAAAATCCAAGGATCATCGTTGAAGGATGTATGTTCTAAAACCTAAGTCAGCTTTTTCAAACTCGGTTCAATGAGAGGAGATACTTACTGCTTCCTGTCAACAAGAACCCATCAACATCCTCAATGTTGGGATATTCTTGAGCTGTGACAACGTCCCATTTGCTAATCTCATAGTTCACATTCTTTCCCTTATCACCCAACCCTTCATGCTTTAGGCCCTTATCCATAAGATCTCGAAAGACATCTCCGTATGTACCACGCTTTCCATTAACGGCAGGAATGGGAGTATCGCATTCCAAGACACCGAGTCTAAAGTTGCGTGTCATTTTGAAAGATCATATAATGTGAGAATAATTGGTGAAAATCGAAGAACAAGATTGTTTGATAATGGAATCTGCAGTGCTGCGGCGAGTCTTTAAGTGGTTACATATATGACTTCAACCCCCACTAATAAGCGATCTCATGACCGGTTTCATAATATGTGACACTTGTTTGAGTAATGTTAGCCGAATTGGCGGATTGTATGCTTATTGGACTTGAGTTGCGCTGGTGGATGGGTTGTTCGGTCCGCGGTGGATAGCCGCGCTTTACCGCGCCTCCACAATGACTCGATTGTATCGCGGTGAGCGGCAGTTGCGATATCATCAACAAGATAAGTGATAATATGACAATTCTTTGTTAAAAGTTAGAGCCAGTGGCTGTGAGGTCGCCATTCTGACTGGAGATAAAACCATATGAAGAACGATGCTGTGCCATGAGTTGATGGACTAGCATCTGACCGTGTATATTTTCCAGCGACGAAAAGACATCACAAGATATGCTCGAAAGGTGAGATCAAGATACTTCGGACTATTCGCTATGCTATAGGATGAGAGAACATCTGGGATCTCACGTCATAGTTTTTGTGGTTTCGGTCTCTCCCCACGCTGAGAATCAGCTCTGTCAGAACAACTTTTTGATATTTTTTTACTATGAAATGACGAAAAGCAACACAGTGATAGGGTATCTTGGAACCCTGTATTACCTTCATTCATGGAAATAAGATTATTTATCAATATCAGTAGTTCGTTTTCTATAGAAGCTGGGCGGAAGGATGAATCCGGTTGATGCGTTACTGATGACAGTTTGGAATGTTTCCAATATCAACGTTGATTTTCCTGGGCTTACAGAACCCAACGAGACCTATACTTAGGCTATATGAAATCGGCTCTGGTTTGAGTGGTCTCCTCGTCTTAGTCGTATGAACGAAATGGATGATATCTAATACCAAAGAGTGACGACACTTCACCTTCAACAAACCTCGAATAGATTACCAATCCAATTCCTTACCAATTCTATGAGCTTTAGCTTTCTTTTCAATAGAGTGAACGGTTCCTGTCATCTCACGTTCTGCGCTCGAGCAACCAAGTAATACTTGGAATTGGGGGAGTTGTGGCGAAGCACGGTTGTTGATGGCTGACTCCCAGTAATATTTACAGTTGGAAACTTGTAGATTGGTTAATCCTAGTCAGATGTTCTATTATTTTTGAAGATGGTCTATTAATGTCAGCTTCTACAGCTACGAGTTGATGTGTGAGATATCAAGGGAAGACTGGTTGGGTGATGGATGTCCTCTGAGTTACTTAGTCTCAGTCACTATTCTCTCTATCCTCAAACAGATGTTTACGTATCCCTTCAAATGTAAGGCATATAAACATGCACACCTGAATAAGAATTCTCTTACCAGCCACCGTCGGAAGCATTGACCGTTGTGAAAATAAGAGACGAGATAATCTAAACACTTTATGCTAGCTTAGGCTAATACTTAGATCACTTTATTTTAGCACCTTGAGTCTTTCAAGACAATTCTCTACTACCTCGAGGAGATAAAAGTCGGATCCTTCGGATGGAAAATAAGAACGTGGTTCAAAACTCCGGCGTCTCCAATTAACAAGCCTTGAGCAGTACCAGGATCAATGTGACAATGCACGACAGATGAACGTGAAAGTGGATGCATCTCTTTGCTTCCTTGAAACCATCATTCAGCCGAGGTTTGTGACAGCCAATTATCTGCCAGTCGTAACAAAAGCTCCTGACTTTTAAGACAATCCCAGGCACTGCCGTTGACTAGTGTTGAAAAGTTCCTTGAATTGGGTGTCGGAGTGCTAAACTAACCAACAACTGGTCTGGGCTTTAGTGAATGGGCTGGTATAACAAGTCAAAGCTAATGGTCAATGTACGTCATAGAGAAGTGATCTGCAAGGTCCTAGGATTAAGCTCACTGTGGAGCGGGGAAATCTATTAGAAGCTGATGACGGACGGTTCATTCAAGAATGACGTGAAAAGGCACTCATTTACAGTTCATTTTAACAGTGTATTTCTTATTCCCAGCCTCTTTGTTCAAAGAATTGGGTTTGAGTAAAATCACGCATTGAACGGGCACTAAGTTAAATAGTTAAATTGACCTTGATTTCCAGTTTTATCAATTGATCTGTTTGCGCCTTTCTCTCACTCATCTCCAGTGACATTCTGTTATACAGTGACATCTATTCAATGGCTCCTCTAAAAGATCTAGGCTTAGGCCAAGTCCTCGCCCGAGCACTCTCCTCATCAACACTCTCTCAACCACCAACTCTCGTCTCCCGCCAAACCGTTGAAACCGTCACCGTCACTGCAGGCGACAATGGCAACGACGCCCAAACTTTAAGCGGCGGTGCCATCGCGGGTATCGTCATCGGTTCCATCGCTGGTTTTCTCCTTCTTCTCTGGGTCATTCGCTCGTGCCTCAATCTTGGCGCACCGCCGCAAGAGAGGGAGAAGTGGTATCACTACAAAGAAGAGCCGAAACGACATCATCATCGCTCGAGAAGCAGACGGTCGCATCGCTCGAGCATTTCTGCACCGCCTCCTATTGTTATTCGGGACTCGAGGTCGAGAAGCCACCACCGACGGGGACGATCGCCTGGGTATTATGGCGAGGATCGCAGTAACCGATACTACGTCTAAGTCTTGACAATAAGCGTTTGCTGAATAGCAACCAACGCTTTCACAACATTTAGTGTTGAGATGCACCGTCTCAATTCGACTGATCAAAACGGTTCAGAAATGGACAGGAGTTTGGCGCATGGTATAACAGGCGCGCCATCACGACTTATGAGATGAATCACATTATGGGGTGGAGGAATGATGTACATGGATTATACGACTGGGACTAATTGAGTTTCGATACCATTTCTTTTCTAATGAATATATGTTCACTCTGTTTTCTTTTAACTTGGATGCACTGCCTAAATCATGATGTGAAGAGCACGGTAGCATCTCGTTCCTGGGTGTCTCGCTTGTCACACCAAACTAGAATTAGCTGACTTTTGACACTTGACAAGTCTACCATAGCGCGCATCGGCTGAGACACATACGTCAAGGTTTTATCCAGGTTGCGCGCAGTCAGTCAAATAGCACATTACAGCCGTGTCGAGAAGGCGCTTGTTGGAAAACATCAATATTTCTAATATAGATCATCTTTCATCTACTATTATACAAATTATACACCTATTCAGGTTTATGGCTCTTCATATCATCTTCAACGTTAGAAGTACAAGTCGTCTCAGCCATAGACGCACCCTCTAAAGTAGCTCCATCCATACTCATCTGAATAAGAGGACCCTTGTAGTGTTTTCTTCCATCAAAGATCCATGTGCCGACAGAAAGGAAGAGAATTACTCCAAACGCAGCGATACAGTAGTTCATGTTCGTAGGTGTAACGGGAAGTTCGGGTGGGAACACGAAGAGGACTGTGGTGAGGATGGCCCACGCGATACCGACCAGACTGCACACCCAGCGCACCGGAGTGCTCAGTTTGAAAGGCCGGTCTTCAGGAAGCAAGTTTCCACCACGCAACAAATGAATTGCCGGTGGAATGGCATAAGTTACGCCGAGAGCAACGACTGAAGCTGCAGTGATAGCGTTGAACGCACTCGAAGATCCTAAAAGGATCAGTCCAAAGACGATAACCCAACCTGTCGTCCAGAATAGTGCGTTCAACGGGACATCGAGTGTAGGATGCACCTTAGACCAGATATGGCTAAACGGCAGACCTCTGTCGCGGCTGAAAGAATAGGTCTGAGCAAAGAGGGTCAGTAAAAAAACCACACAAGGAAAGGAGCACGAGGAAAGCTGCAACGAGAGGTTGAGCAGGTATTTACTGACCATTCTTGCGCTCGTCGTCATGATCGCAGTAGCAGTGAAGACCATGCATACAATAGAAAAGACGAGCAAGCAGATACTTCCAGCTTTGCTGTTCGTGGCGTCAAAGTACATCTGCAGCAGCGCACCGGCAGGGGACTCGATGACGTTTTGAACGTCTTTGACAACAAATAGAAGACACGAAAGGAAGATGAAGCCGCTTGCCATTCCAATCAAAATACACCAGATCATAATGCGAGGGCCCTCGACGCGAGCGTTTGGAATCTCCTCGATCATGTGTGCCGCAGCGTCAAAGCCAGTAAGAGCAAAAGCACCCTGGAGTAGGCCGAGCATCCAAGCTAGGCCGTCAGGCCAGCCGACCTCGTTGATGAACTTTCCATAGACGAAAGCGCCGCTCTGATAATCCGGTGCAGCACAAGCCAGGACTGTAATGCTGATGATGATGAACCCGGAAATACTCCATAGGAAGGCGGCTTTGTTGAAGAGAGGAAGCAACCGCGTTGCAAAGGCGTTGATCACCAATGCGATGAGCGTAAAGGCGAGGTAAATTAGGAACTGATGCCAAGCTTGAGCCTTATAGCTGGGATGCATAAATGTAATTGCATCGGTGACGAAGGTACTTCCAAGCAAAGGCGCCGTAGCCGTCAAGACGACGTAACCCGCTGCATTAATCCAGCCGGTAACATAACTGATTCCTCTCGACCACTTGGGCCACGCCAACAGGGCTGCCCAATGATACTGTCCACCAGCAGTAGGATACGCAGACAACATCTCTGCCAGGGGTGCAGCTAAACAGAGGTTACATATTCCAGCAACCATCAAACCCCAGATAACTGAACTAGGGCCACCGGAGGGCAAGGCCAGAGAAATAGAAGCGGAGAGGGCGGTCCATGTGTTGAGAATAGCAAAGGCGAGACCCAGGAGGGAGATTTTGGAAAAGTTGCGTTTTAGTTCTTGTTTATGGCCTAGTTGTTCCAAGGCGGCTGAGTCGTCGATGTGGACGTTTTTGTCCCTTGGGGCTTGGGACTCCATGATGGGTATCGTGATGGAGAGTAGAGATAGGGTGGTGAGAGCAAGCTGGGGAAGAGGGTATTGTATTTAAAGGCAGCTGTTTGCCGTTAACGGAGGATCGTTTCTCTTGCTGGGTTAGACTGATAGCTATCAGGGCGATCCATAGGATGAAACGGTATCAATGAGACTACAATGGTGTGTTAGTGTATGTAGCTGGCAACAGAAATAACTCAGATCCATGTTCATAGTACAGTAAATAGATAACTAACTATCCAGTCTAAAGTCATATAAACTGGTTGCATTATTCTTTTCTCTATCATGTCTGCTTACAAGTTTTATGAGAGTCATGCTCTTGCGTAACAGGGCGCGCTCTCCAAGTATGACGATCCACACTCTTCTCACCCCATGACAAAATAGATTAGACAGATCAACAGAATGACGTTGTGGGGAAATTTCTTGGCCCCGGGCCGGGGAAGAGCCTATCTCCTTTTGTTCTAGAATTGCTTTGCAGTGACATTCATCTCTGTGAATTGAAAGTTATTTCCTGCTGGTGAGCATGCTTCAGAACGAAGCCACTTACTGCATATTATGAATGGATAACCTATCTATTACTCAGTTATCAATACTGTTAATAGTTGTTCTTCTCAGTTATGTTCATAGTCTAAGGGTTATCAGAAAATGCATACCTTATCATTTTACCGTCTTCAAAGATCCATGCTAGTCGGTTCCCAGCATCTTCGGAGCCGACAGAGCTAAGCTAGTCACTCCGGAATCAGCGGGCTTTGTTATAAACACAGTCCCTTCTCCAAAGCATCCTTCTTTAAGTCTAGTCCATTGGTATACGTCACCTTGTAGTTTGCAATGAACAGTAATGGTCAGATTGAATACGCTCGCGGTGTAGGCAGAAATGTTCTCTTCGGCTATGCGGCAGTCATAGCTTCACAATTTATTACCCCAACCTCAGCTTGTATTGAATAGACAAGATACTAAATTACTCAAACGTTTAATGCTGCAGTGGGGTAAACCCCAAACATTCCCCGACTCTTCTGACTTATGGTTATTGTTCATGAATAAGTCAGATAATACTCTATCAATTGCGACTCTTTGTCCCTATATTGGCCCGTGCTACCCCCGCCAGTACATCCGTCTTAACCGAGTGAACCGGTCAAACCGGCTTCTATAACAACGATGTCCCTTCATGAGTTCTATTGATGAGGCTTTTCAGTGAATTAATGACCGGCATCGACCGGCTCCTTAACAAGGTCCGCATGCCATGTGGAACTCTCGTGGCAAGACATCAAACTCTCTCCACGAAACCCCGTATTGATACTCTGGAGAAAAGAGATTTCATTACGTGAAGAATTCTACAGTTGACAGGCGACTCCGCGATATGCCCCGCGACCTTGAGGGGTTTCCCCAAGTCTTCCCCTTGATTTGTGTGGATTTATTGAGTAATAGTAACTCAAGTTTGGGACATTAGGTTGGGTATTGATCGTCAGGTTGGAGATGCGCCCGTTGGAGAGATTGTAGGCTTTCGTGGCCGATGGAGTATTGGAGTTGCGTGCTTTGGGTTGCCCGATCAGTTCGCCGTTTTAATTAAGGGCATTGTTGAACATTAAAGAGTGAGATCGACGGCTGAACAAGACGTTGACTGATGTTGGGTCTCGAATGAAGTGGCATTGCAGCTTAAAGCCTTGCTTGTTCCAGAACTGTCTCAGGGCGTGTTAATTTTTAGCTGTACAGCCATATATCTACGACATGCAATTGATACCACCGTCCAGTAGTTGACATCAAGCCGTCGACCACATTCAGATTGCATTATTGAGGCTCTGCTACCGTCCGTCTGGGTAAATCGCCAAGGACCTGCCAAGACGGGTAGACCTGCAGGGTAGATGTGGTGGAATTTATAAGCCTCATTGAAGTTTTACAGCAAAGCAGTATTAATCATTGACAGTTCTTAAAAGAAGAAAGAGAAGAAGAAAAAAGACACAGGAAAGTTCTTAGCAGGAAGGAAAGCTTTAGGGTCAAGGAATCTCATAATTCATGCCAAAAAGTGAAGACAGATAGTTGTCTGGAGTGCAAAAAATGAGGTTCTGCCCGGGCTCGAACCGGGGACCTTCTCGGTGTTAACGAGATGTCATGACCAACTAGACCACAGTACCAAGCTGTTTTTGTTAAAGACCAACGGTGTCAAACAGAACAAGAGCGGGAACTGATGCACTACCAGAGTCTTCCCCCACTAGCAAAGCGCAACACCTACCAACTCTCCCCAAAGACCGACGCACGCCACTGGTCACTGTACAGTATGCACCCTAACTGGACGGCGATCTTTATCTAACAACAGCATAATCCACAGTTCCGTAGTCTACAGGGTTGGCTATGATATCTCACTTTCGGGGAAGGCCCTTGGGCGGAACCACCCTCTTTACGTCTTTGACCAAAGACTGATTGTGTTTCTTTTACTCATGCTATCCCATCGTGGTGTACTTGAGAACAAATTGCGGTGCTTCTGACATCTCAATTGGATAAACCTGGTCTTGTGGCGTAGTTGGTTATCGCATCTCGTTTACACCGAGAAGGTCCCCGGTTCGAGCCCGGGCGGGATCAATCTTTTGCCATTCACAGCAACTATTCTTTTTAACTCTTTTCTTCTGTGGTATAATTGTCAAATGGAATGCTGTATCATTTCTATTTTTGATTCTAGAGTGTGGCTACTGGATAGCAAACAATTTATCCCCCTAGACTGCGAACACCAATATAAAGTGGTACAAGTGTAGGTTAGCCAGATAGCTAGCTGGCATGGATTGACTGAATTCCTTAGCCTCTCTCTTTCAGGCCGGGCATGACAATGAGTGTGGAGGTTCTTTGTCGATATGGCGGTAGTCCAATCGTTCGGATACCATCGAGCAAGCATAGAGCAAACAGGTATTGAGTCGGTTGCAAAAGACTTCTATAGAGGTACCGAAAAGCTACTTTGCAAGCAAGACTGACATCGGCTGCCTTTCAATAACTGCATGTCTATAAAGAGGCGGAATCCACAGCTACCATCCAATCATACAATGGAGAAAAACTCTCTGTACTCGCGTTTTGCTTCACTGCATTTTTAACCTCACCCTGGGCCAGGATATGTAGCTCGAGGACGGTCACCCGGTTATCGATAAGAAGAAAGAAGTAAAACAACCTACAGTGACAAAGACAAGTGCAGCAATGTGATATTGGAATCTTCAAACACGTACGCATCAGTGGTTAAAGGTTAAAGCATGAAGGATCCAACAGCCCTGCACCCGCCCTCGGTAGTTTCCAACCGCGTCTGAGTCCCTCGACAAGCGCAGTAAAGACAAAGAACCAATTTCAAGACATGCGAATCAACTGACCGCAATGGGAAGAAAATCCCCGAAGCATGACGAAAATCGGCTCGGCCTCGCTCTTTTTTCGCGACGGATTTACGGTCACTCAGCTCTGTTTCACAAGAGGGACCTCTTTACTGGTTTTCGTATTTAAAGACGTCCTATTGGTTAGTCAAGCTCAAAGTGGAGAATCTGCACTCTGTCGTGAACCCTACGGAGATCCACTTACCCAATATGGTAATGGCTATCCCGCTCGATAAGTCCGCGATAGCATCATTGATGATTGAGGTGGAAGGAATTAATCAAGGTTCGGAGTTAGTGATGGAGTAAATACCTGAGTCTAAGGGAGCAGATGAAGTATAAAGATGAGGAGGAGGACGGAGGTTGAAGTGTTCGCTATCCTCATCACTCTACAGCTACAACAACAACAACTCTACTACACTACAACAATCTTCTTATAAACACTATCAAAATGTCTCAGCAATTTGCCAAGAGCCAGCCTGAGGGCTTCGCCAACAAGATCGAGCGAGTAGCCATCATTGGTGTAAGCTTCCCTATCCTCCTTGGCCCATCCAATCACTAACATGTCATAGGCCGGTGGAAGTGTTGGCAAGTACCTAGCCAAGCACATCATTGCAACTGGCAAGCACACAGTCACAGCCATCACTCGCAAGGAAAGCACCAACAACGCCCCCGAAGGAGCTCGTGTTGCCGCCGTCGACTATGAAGATGAGAGCTCCCTTGTCGAGGCTCTCAAGGACCAGCAGTTCCTCGCCATCTCCCTCTCCGTCCGAGCTCCTCCCGGTACTCAAGAGCGCATCGTCCGCGCTGCTGCCACTGCTGGAGTCCCATGGATCATGCCCAATGTTTACGGCATTGACATCACAAACAAGGCCCTTGCTGAGGAGAACATGACCGGTGGGGGTGTCTACCCTGGCATCGAAGCTATCGAAGAAGCCGGTGTATCGTCTTGGATCGCTATGTGCTGCTCTTTCTGGTACGAGTTCTCTGTTTGCCAGGGACCTCAGTGGTACGGCTTCGACTTTAGCAATGGCCAAAAGAAGGTTACCTTCTACGACGACGGAAACACTCAGATCAACACTTCAACCTGGGACCAGTGCGGTCGAGCATTTGCTTCCCTCCTTAGTCTGAAGGTCATCCCCGATGATGAGAACGACAAGTCTCATACTATCTCCCAATGGCGAAACAAGCCCCTTTACATCTCCAGCTTCCTCCTCTCTCAGCGCCAGATGCTTGACAGTCTGCAGCGCGTGACTGGCACTACCGATAAGGACTGGGTTATCGAGCACGAGGGCGCCAAGGAGCGATGGCAGCGTGGTGTTGATATGCTCAAAGCCGGTGATCGATCCGGTTGGGCGCTGGCTATGTATGCCCGAACATTCTTCCCTAATGGCGACGGAAATTTTGAGGCCAAGTATGGACTTGCTAATGAGGTTTTGGATCTGCCGAAGGAGGATGTTGATGAGGCTAGTGTTAAGGCTTTGAAGATGTCTGAGGATAACTACAACTACTACATGAACCGCACTCACTGAGTCAGTGGGTATAAGTGTAGAAGATTGGGAAGGAATATATTACTTAGGATTCGTTGATCGCTCTGCTTTCCGTCTGAATCTTTATATTAATTTCATTAACAAGTTTAAATCAGTAATACTTTACATTATAGCAACTAATAGCTTTAGTAATAACAAATTTTCCTAGAATACAAAGCAGCGCTGAAATCTGTGGTGAGGTCAAAAATGCAGTGAAAGACAGGCGCAGGCGCGGCTTGATATGGAACATGTCTAAGACATTTGCAGGGAACGTGGCGATGGCGTGTGGAGGCCCAGATAGATTGGAAATGGCAGTGAACTTCGGGCTGGGCATCTAACTACTATTCCCAGGATATGTGACAGACACTGAACAGCGAAAGAACCTCGAGGGAGGTTATAACTGCAGTGCACAACGAACGGAAATGTTTTAAAAGAAGTGGACTGAACAAATTGTTCAGAGATAGTGACATTTGATTGGCCTAAAGAGGTGGAAACTGCAGTAAAATCTGAGCTGATGAGGTAGATGAGACAACACTCGTGGAAAGAGGAACTTGTGTCTCTGTATGATTGGTAGCTTTGAACTTCAGCCTCCTCAGGCACTGTCGTTGAGACGCAGCTGTCAATTCCTCAGTCGCTAATGATTGCCACATCTCTAAGAAGGATTGCTGCGATTAACCTGTTGATGTATTCATTCTGGCCTCAGGCCTTTAGAGGTTGGCCTCTATCAACTTGCCAATTAGCCCATTCGACATCATCTTAACTATTTCTTAAAATAAAAGAGTATAGACTACTGGATACTATATGAAGAAGTATTGGAGAAGGGTAGGAAGATGTGTGCACCATGTCTGTTTCTTGCCATAGTGCTTCGGATGGACTTAGATGGGTAACAACAAAATGAAGTAGTCTCAGGTGCTAGTCTAAGCATAAAGTAATTAAATTGTTTCATCTCTTGCACTTGTAGTTCAGTTATCACTTCGTCTTCTATCCCATGTAACAAAAAATGATAACCTCAAGTTCCTTTTCAATTTGACTATACACTTCGTATCTAGCTCTGTCTAGCGGGATCCAACTCAACCTTATTCTTAGTAACAGCATCAATCTCCTCCATAATCTCCGGCGTCAACTTATCCAACACCTTCAACGAAGCAACAGTATCCTCCAACTGCTCCGGCCGACTAGCACCGGTAATAACACTCGTAACATTAGGATTCTTCAAACACCAAGCAATAGCAAGCTGCGCCTGACTAATACCCAGCTTCTCAGCAATAGGCTTCAGCTGGCGCACCTTTTCGATCTCGGCTTCCCAGTCGTCGGTGCCGATTTGGCCGCGCATGAATTCGGCGAATTGGTCCTTGCTGGCGCCGAAGCGGGAGTCCTTGGGTGGTTGGCCATCAACGATGTCGTTGTACTTGCCGCTGAGGACGCCCATCTTTAGAGGTGAGAAGGAGGTGATTCCTAGACCGGTGCGCTCGTAGAGGCGTTGGAATTGGCCTTCTACTCTGTCTCTTACTAGGATGTTGTAGAAGGGCTGTTCTACAACGGGGCCGATCATGCGAAGATCACGAGCAATGCCAACCTATAGAGTGTAAGGGTTTGATTTTAAAAGAAGTGTATGGTGTTGAGTGACTTACAGCTTCGGCAATCTCATCGGCGGACCACTCTGAAGTACCCCAGTAGAAAGCCTTTCCGTTGTCAATCAGCCAGTTGAAAGCGCGAACAGTCTCCTCCATGGGAGTAAGTCTATCCGGCCTATGGGCATAGACGATGTCAACGTATGGGAGCTGAAGACGTTCCAACGAAGCCTCCAGGCCCTCAATGATGTGTTTCCTTGAAAGACCATGGTTGTTGACAAGAATCTCTCCGTTCACAGCACCCCAGTTGATCTCTTGACAATTGTCAGTATGCGTACGTTCATCATCGGGAAATAGACTCACTTGTGCTGATAACCAAGTCACTTCGCTTCCAACCAAAATGCTTAATAGCCTTTCCCATAACAACCTCAGCCTGACCAGCAGTATAATTCTCCGCAGAATCAAAAAAGTTAATTCCCAAATCATAAGCCTTCTTCATACAAGCAAACGCCTGCTCATCTTCAGAGTAACCGCCGTAGGTCAACCAGCTGCCGAGACCGATGGCGCTTACATGGAGTCCAGAGCGCCCGAGGCGGCGGTAGACCATGCCAGTGTTTCGAGGTTCAGCCCAAGCCATTTTGATGAGTTTTGATGATGTTGATGTGAATGCGAGTTCTTCTGGCCAGATTGGATCAGTATTAACGTTGCGACTTGCGGAGTAATTCTCGGAGAAGTGATAGTGGAGATGAACTTACACTGAAGTTGCGGGGGACTTGGAGCGGCTATTTCTGAGTTGTTCTTTGCGCAGAAAGAATTGAACAGATTCAAAAACTGTTGAGATAACTGTCAGCTTGAGTCACACGGTGAGGGTTACACAACTTCACGTACTGACTCTTTGCCGTGCCGACCATGTTCCGCGTTGATTTGACAGTCGCCAATTTGGATGACTTGCAGCGGGGAATTGATGCGACAGGGGTCTGAGATGGCGCAATGCGGTCGCTCTATGCCACCATTAGTTCGCCGTTCCCCTCATCTTGAACACCAAGAAAACATGCCAAAACAATGGACACTTGTTCTAACAATTGGGCCCAAGTTCGGATGAACACGGTCCAAGTCAGCTCGTCGGACAAGTACTAGGTAGATGTCTCGATGATTTGTCGCACCGCTCGCGGGTCTTGCTCCCCATCAACATCGCGGGGCATAGACTCCAGCAACATGCGAGTAAGCGGCGACGGAGACCGAACGAGGTAGCCGAGGTCCAACGGCGCCCAACAAATTTGAGAGGCCTGATCCTCCATGAACTGGTAGGTTGGCATCGTAAGGTTTTGCTGCGCAGTCAAGATCTCAGCTGTACCTTGAAACGAAGTTTGCGGGTTTGTCTCAAAGGCAACTGCATCACCCTCTGATCCCTCAAGTAAACGGCCTGCGTTGAAGATGGCGTCCATTCGCATCGTGAGAAGCGACAAGAGTGTCCGATTACCTCCTCGACAGGAGGATAGTATGTCTCGTAGTTGGTGTAGAACTGGACCAGAGCGGTCATCTGTTATGGAATCGTCGCTTGCCATTGCGTCAATCACGGCTGTAGCAATCTCAAACGTCTTGAATTCCTATCCAGATCGTAAGCATAAAGCAAGTCATAACTGTATATAGGCCTTACCAGCGTCGGTCCATGAGACTCAAGCGCAGTCTTCGGAAGTTCAGAAACAAGACTCAAAAAGTCCTTCGCAATATCCACAGGATTCATACTGGGAGTAACAATCCCAAACCGAAGTGCCGCTCGCCAAAGTACAGCGCGCATCCACTGTCTCGTAACAAACATATCCGCGCGCTGAACTTCATTGATCGGACCCCAATCGTCATTGTCAGCCGAGTCAAGAAGCTTCTGCTGTAGTAACTCGAGGCAGTTCTGTGCAACAGAGACCATATTGGGAAGATCTGAGTCTGAGTCAAAGTTGTGAAGAAGTTCAAAGATACCGCTTTGATCGAAAACCCAGAAGAGATGCACCAGCTTGAGAAAAGCTGGGAGGACCTCTGCGCGGTCGTTGGCTCCTCCGAACCAGGGGAATAGAATGTTTGGCTTCAGAACTGGGGGAAGCTTGTGAAGAAGAGCAACGCCCCTATACAGTGTAAGTATTGAACAGACTCTTGCTTGATTTGAGATGTGTACCTTTCTGTGACAAACAGTAGCCATAGAATCCGTCGCGAAACATGTTGATCGGCTTCAGACAAGGAAGCATACGTAGATTCGCGATCAAGCCTCAAGATCTGCGCTTGCGTGATTGCTTCACGCAAATAAACAAGAGACTTGGTTCCCCCAGGGGAGGCATTTTCATGGTAAATATGTAGAAAGAAGGAAATGCGCAAGGCATCCAAAAGACCCAGTGTCTCGCTTAGTCTCGTTTCCGCGTCCTTCACTCTGGGTTGCCACGCAGTGTCCAGCTTGAGCTGAGCAATAGCAGCCAGGGCTACAGCATTAGCAAGGTATCTAGCTGCACCTCCCTCTGTAGGATTCAGCTCGATCTTGTTTCGCAGATCAGTTGCGTCGACGATGGGCCAGATGGGGTACAGTCTCTCGGAGTAGACCTCTAGAATCTCCAACAAACACGCTACCTCATCAACAGGGGACGGGGACTTCTTAGCAGCAGCTTGATCCTGGTCTGGACTGGAAGTATTGCTTTTCGAAGCCTCTGCTTGGCGTCTCCGCTCAATCTTGTCCAAGGTCCTGGGACGCAGTCCCCTCGGTCCTCTAGTCCCTTGCTCACGCTTAAAGGTGCACTCTATCCCCGACGCCTCGCATGCTGTACAGGGGGGCGTCTCTGAACAACGAATTTTGCGAACCTTGCATGAGTCGCATGCTCGTCTTGCGAGTTTCTGGCGAGGTTTTGGAGGGGAAGAGGTTGAAGGTGGGGTCATGGTTGAGACACTACAGTGTTACTGTTGGCCAGCAATTGCCCAAGAACATAAGTAGCAAATAAGAAACCTAGACTCCTGAGGAAACAAGTCGGAATGTTTAGTTTCTTGGGTGGTGTTTTGTCAAGATGACGTGCTTGTTGCTTGTGATCTCGCCTTAAAAGACCCCTGTCTACCCCGGATTTTAACTTCTTAGACCTCGGTATATCTATCCTTGGCGATGGGCTAGGATCGGTGTAGATCGTCACTCAAGTACAGGACATAAAACGTTCAATTGTGAACCACTAGCTATTGGAATCCCTTTTATTTGAATCATACGATATATTTCGTAACAACTTGAGATAAATTAAAGCAAGGGCAATTCAGTGGACTCACTTGTGGCCGCTATGGAAAAATTTGCAAACAGATCTTTCTGCACTTACCTACACTTACTTACATAGAGAATTATAGCTAGCTACAAATAGCTTCATACAAATAACTTTGGCCAGTACTCTCGCATTCTAAATTCCCAAATGATAACTTCCGATAAAATGTCATGGACCTGCGATAATGTCCTCGCCTCCTGCTCCGGGCCTCCAGCCCATTTGTCTTGTTCGCCAGCAAACGCCAATGGGTCCTCCCTTCCGCCCAAATGTGCTGCGAAATGACGCAAGTCTCTCAATTGCTCTTTCCACCGGTATTAGGGTATTGACTTCAAGCTCAGAAGGATCGTAGAAGTCGAGGAGTCGACTGTGGTTGCCAACTTGCTTCGGTTCGGGAATAAACTAAAATCCTGGGTGCCAGTATCCGGAAACTTGGGCTGGGGTTTGATACATACCATTGGGTAAAAGAGTTGAGAGCCTCTGCCTCATGTCGAACGTAAGGTCATCCAATTTGATCTCCCCTAGCTTGTAGTAGAGATACATAAAAGTCTGGACAGTACCTCCTCTCATTATGGTCGCACGGGGTTGCAAACAGAACAAGAACGAATATCAGGTTCTTCTTCGTTTTCTTCATGGTCGTCGTCCTCGTCTTCGTCTTCCTCGTTGTCATCCTTATCTTGGCCAATGCCGCTCAGAAGTTTCGAATGCAATTGTTTTAGCAAGTCTTGAACTTTCCCTTCATTTTTGTTGCGTCTCATTAGTACTTTGACATACTCGGCGCTGACATTCTGGCTTGTTGCATGCTTGACCAGAAACTCAAGCTCAAAGAAGGGATCACCCTTTACGTGGACGGCTCGGTCATAGTATGCTTCGAGGTGTTGGAGCTGGTATTGGCTATCGCAAACAACTCTCGTAGCTCTGTTGCAGACCTCAATGAGTGCCGAATTACGGAGCTGGCTTGGGGCGTCAATCCGCGCACCCCTCTTCAGTAGCAGCTTCAAAGACCTTTTGAAAGGTTCGAGGTCCGTTTCATCCACCGGCTTTTCCTCGTTGTAACGATAACGCAAGTATCCGTTCTGCCCATCGAAGAATGCATGGAGTAGGCCACCAGTATCGAATCGGTTGTCGACGAAAGCATCCTCGATCCTTGCACCAGCATCTAGCATCATCTTTACGCACTTGAAGTCTCCTGAGAACAACAATACATCGTAGAGCGGCCTAGTAAAAAGCTTATCGTCAGCTTCAACCACTCTGTTGACATCTGCACCGCGCTTGATGGCAAGCTTTAGTGCTTTCCGTTGGTCGTTGATAAGTGCATTCGCTAGTTGGCTGTTACCTTTCCGCTTCTCGCCGTTTATACGGCACTTGTACCTGGTCGTGAACATCTGGTTAATGACACCAGGCTCGTTTCTAGAGGCGTGGAGCTCATCTGAAGCATCGGCCCCGGCCTTCAGAAGCTCGATCGCGCAAAGCAAGTTGCTTTTTCCGAGCATTTCTCTGAATACCGTTTCTCCATGAGCTGTAGCGTTCATGGGCACACCTTGATCGGCAAGCCCCTTGATGGTCGTCAGGACCTTGTCGCACCTCTGCTCTAGTTTCAGATGGTGGTAGAATGCCTCGCCTTCATTAAGCAAATGGAGAGCGGTAGCTCCGTCATCTCCTTCCCAGCTTGGATCTAAATTGCCTTGTTTCAATATGGCATCGATCGCTGGCTTCACTAGACCCAGTAGCGCGGAATTTATACCAGGGAAGTCTTTCATTGCATACCTAGCTCCATGCTTCACAAGGAGAGACAGTATCGATTCGTTGGCCCCGTGAGAGATGGCATGGTGAAGAGGATACCAGGGAGGGATGTAATAACGACCAGTAGGTGAATAGGAACGCGAGGGCATCATCAGGTATTCAGGGGCTCGACGCGGATGGGAACAGCCACAGAGCTGGACTAAAGGAATGTCCACCCGAGCTCCGCTTTCCAGAAGCCATTTCACAATGTGTTCATGCTTGTGAAAGACCGCTAGGTGCAAAGGCGCAGCGTACATCTTGCCCAGCCTTTCGCTGCACTCATCATACAGCCATTCCTGACCCTTTGCATATTTCCAGATAACGTCCTCGCTGGAGGCACCAGTATAGTTGAGATCAGCTCCATAGCTAAAGGCGAGTTTGAGAGTATCTAGCGAGCCTTTCTTCGCTGCCCACAACACGCTAGCTTTGCTGGGTTTGTCGTGGAGTATATTGTGCTTGTAAAGGCACGGATTGTACACTGCGTGAAAGTGTCGACTTACTAGACTGAGCGACCCAAGTTGCCCAGTCTGGCAGAAAGTTCCTATGAGAGCGAGCATCTCGTTAGGAAGGTCAAAGAGACTCATGATGGGTTTACCGTGTTGAGTCTTTGACGTAGAAGGCGTAAGGTTTTGTATATGTTGGCCTGACGGAAACGCCTCTTGTACTTGGGCACCTGTTAAGCCACTCGACATGGAAATTAGGACAAGGCGGGTACGAGTCGGTTATTTGAGTAGTCTTGACTTCTTGACTGATCGACTGGTGGATGGATGGATAGGTTTGCTATGGTGGACGGGTTGATGGTTGATGGTTGACGGAGGAAGGAGGAAAGAGCTTCTGCATACAGGCTGAGTAGTTGTTCTTATATATAGGTATCCAAAACAATCAAAGTTCATGTTTCCACAGTGGTGACTCACTGAGCTTGACCCACCTACAAACATCATTTTATTGATAGAGATATTCGAAGAAGTGTAAAATATGGGCTTGTATTTCGTTAAGTTTATGTTGAACATAAATGGAAGCCACTCAACGGAGGTTACGGTGGGCTGTCCCGTAGATAGCTGCAGTGGTTGAAGCTTGTTGGTGCTCAGATGACCTGGCACTGACTGGTCGTAAAAGAGTAAACGGGTTTTCCTCCACCAAACACTGCCTCAACCTTCACCTTTACATCCTTTGCATCCCCTAAACTTTATCATTCAACCTTTTACCCGTAAGACATATTCACATTCGCCAGAATTTCAGAAGAAAGCCACTGTAGGTATTACAGACGAAATAAAGCAGCCACCTTATGCTAACTAAGACCAGCACTTAAGCTACTCTATTTCGACGCCTTGTGCCATAGCAGAGGATAACTTTTCTGTTGTCCAGATAGGTACCTTGTCTGGTACTTGATCGTCGCCATGGCACCCTTGTACAAATCGGCCACCTGTGTCTTTTGTGGTGTTCCGGCAAGACCACACCACTGGATCCAAGTGCCGCGTACATCGCCCACGGGTTGATCATTGACAAAGGACAATGGCTTTCGGAGGTTCGTGCCGTGATGCGGAAGAACTAGGAACAGATTCCCACAAGGTAAGTATATTCGCTTGTTACTGCTTTAACCAGGAGAACTGACCTTAACTCTACTCAGGTCGTACGTCTCTCAGCCGCTCCGCTATGTCCGTGCATACACGTATGTTGATTCTGGTGAGTTTCTGGAAACGTAAGTGACAGCCTCCCCTTGGTAATACAACCTGTCTCATGTCTTCATAGCTACACTACAGGACAGGCGTGGCCTTACCACGAAAAATGTATGGAGCAGTGGAAAATTGCTACTTAGTCGAAACCTTGGACCCCTGAGATTATGGGCAAGACATTCTCAAATCCAGGTATGCGTAGCGCCACCACCTACTGCTTGCGAGGTATTGACTACGGTATCATGTAGTGCTTCGTCGGCCAACGCTGGGGATGGATCACCCTTTGTTTCGACGATGTCCTTTAGCCACCGTCTTCCAATCCTATCTTGGACGGCTTCTACCGCTGTCTTGTCGCAGAGGCATACGTCGGCGGTATGTCCGCTACTCGGCTATCTGGGTCAGAAGATTCTTCACATACCTCCCCGGTCGATTCAAGCACCATTGGCGACAGTCCAGAACAACTATCACTCATTCGCAGTGTTAATGCCGCAGTTGATTTATTCCTACAGCGCATTCAACAAAATCGCGCGGAAGAGACAGAGCCACATGGGCGAAGTTCCTTAGCAGGTAACCCCTGGGCTGAAGATCTAGCACGACCTTCTGCTAAGGCTTTGGCCAAGTTTTACGAAGATAGTATTCGACAGTTCCCCCAAAAGAGGGAATATGGCCAAGCCTACACTGCAGTTACCCTCGGTCCGCCCTGCACATCCAAATCGTCTGACCCTTTCTATAAGCTTGGGCCCGCTTTGATCCTCTGCATCATTGACTTTATGCACATCCCGGATCTATGCCCCCTACGCAAAGCTTCTCGCCCTTGTGCTCGCCTTCGACTATCCTTTGGCTTTTGGAGGGCTCGGCTACGCAAGGACATGCCGTTTCTATACGACTTCGCTGTACCCAAAGACGTGCCTGTTGATTGGCGACTGTTGTACATGGTCCTGGATGGCATGAGCTCACGCTCGCACAGCCTTGCCCGCCAACAATATCTCAGAGATCACACTGCGGCTTTCGTCAATCTACCTTTCACTGCGAAGAAGCACTTGGCCCTTCACAATCTCAACGCCGTGAACATCACACTGCTCAATCGACGACGAATCTGGGAGTCTATCGACCAGATCATCGACAGCAAAGCCGAAGACGACGGCGGCCTGAACGAGTGGATTCTCAGGGAAGACTGAAGCCTCAGTCTCGAGATAAATGGTATTTCCCTGGTTTTGTACGAGTGATTTCGAGTAGTGATTTTGAGTGGGTAACTTCGACAGCAGTATCGCAGATAAGGAAACAAAAGGAAGCTATTTGGGTCATGGGCTTCCTGGACCTCTTGCAGTTGGAAGTTGAACAAATGAAAAAAGATATCATGTTCTTTTCTTTAGTACAGTCACATTGGACTTGTATGAGCGAACAGCCCATGGCCTGCACGCGTGAACACTTGTATATTAAAAGGAAAACAATGTACGAACATAAACTAAACAAAGACTCCTACACACCCAAAAAAAAAAAAAAAAAAA